GGGTGGGGCGGGGGGGGGGGGCTGGTGCTGCAGATTCCCTCCCCCCCACTGCTGCACCCGCAGCAGGGGGATGGAGGAGAAAAAAAAGAAGGGGGGGGGGGGGGGGGGGGGGGGGGGGGGGGGGGTGCGGTGCAGGAGCCGCTCGGGCGACAGCAGGACGCGCCACACCCGCCACCCCCATACCCTCCCCCCCACTGCTGCACCCGCAGCAGAGAGATGGAGGAGAAGGGGGGGGCTGGGGGGGGCTGGTGCTGCAGGTCCCCTCCCCCCACTGCCGCATCCGCAGCAGGGGGAGATAGGAGAAGGGGGGGAAAGGGGGGGGGGTGGTGCTGCAGATCCCCTCCCCCCCCACAGCCGCTCGGGCGACAGCAGGTTGGCCACACCCGCCACCCCCATACCCTCCCCCCACTGCTGCACCCGCAGCAGAGAGATGGAGGAGAAGGGGGGGGCGGGGGGGGGGGGGCTGGTGCTGCAGATCCCCTCCTGCCTCCCCCTGAACCTCCAAGCTCCCCCCCTCTCCCACCACAAGGTGCGGCAGGGAGAGAGAGAGGAGGCGTGGCGGCAGCTGCTGCTGCTGAGGCACATCCGCCACCCCCTCACACCCTCTCCCCGCCATCCCCATGGAGGGGGGGGAGGGCGGGGAGGGGGGCGGGGGCGGAGCTGCGCGTGCGACTGTAGGGCACGCGGGCAGGAGGAACCCCCTCTTGCCACCCCCTCACCCGCCATGTTGCAACAGGGCACCGGGGCCGCGGTTAGGGGCGGCAGGTCGCGAGGGGCCATGGCTAGGGGCGACGGGGCCATGGCTAGGGACGGGGCCGGGCGCTGGGCAGGTACGGGGCTGGGCGCTGGGCAGGTACGGGGCCGGGCTCTGGGCAGGTATGGGGCCGGGCGCTGGGCAGGTACGGGGCCGGGCTCTGGGCAGGTATGGGGCCGGGCGCTGGGCAGGTACGGGGCCGGGCGCTGGGCAGGTACGGGGCTGGGCGCTGGGCAGGTACGGGGCCGGGCGCTCGGCAGGTAAGGGGCCGGGCACTGGGCAGGAACGGGGCCGGGCGCTGGGCAGGTACGGGGCCGGGCGCTGGGCAGGTACGGGCCGGGCGCGGGCTAGGTACGGGGCCGGGCGCTGGCTAGGGTCGGGGCCGTGCGCTGGGCTAGGTACGGGCCGGGCGCGGGGCTAGGTACGGGCCGAACGCGGGCTAGGTACGGGGCCAGGCGCGGGCTAGGTACGAGGCCGGGCGCGAGGCTAGGTACGGGCCGATCGCGGGCTAGGTACGGGGCCAAGCGCGGGCGAGGTACGGGCCGGGCGCGGGGCTAGGAACGGGGCCGAGCGCGGGCTAGGTACGGGCCGAGCGCGGGGCGACGGAGTCGACGGGGCCGAGGGGCGCGGCTAGGGGCGACGGGGCCAACGGGGCCGAGTGTCACAGCTAGGGGCGACGGGGCCAAGGGGCCGAGCCTAGGGGCTAGGGGCTACGCCAAGGGGCGACGGGCCAGGGTCTAGGCTAGCAGGGCATTAGGTGGTGGGCCCATTGATGTTAGGTCCTAGAACTTATTGCTCTTAATACCATGTTAGAATAGTAGCTTGACATAGGAACCATGGCTTGGGTTCAGGGCATAAGTGTCGAGGGAATTTTGGGTGAGGAAAGTCGGGAAGAATGAGGGGGTTTCACTATAGAAAGTTGGGATACAAATAGCAAACCCTAAATTGGGTTGTACTCACTACAGAGTACCCCACTGCAGGCTAAACAGCAAATACATTCTGACACGAATTAGGGTTTGCTATATGTACTCAACTGCATGCTAGTGAAAACCTCTCTTCCTTGTTTCTCATTTTCGCCTGCTGTTTCGACAGGGGGTTGATACCCCTGGGCGGGACGCATGTCATTTCGGTCGTCTTGTCGGCCAAACCAAGTGCTCGGATTGGTCTGGCGAGGGCGAGATCGGGATTTGCATCAATCTGCCAAGTGCCCGAAGTTTCTGCAGATTTTGCAGTAGAGGCGCCGCGGTCGTCGCTCTTCAGTATTGTCAGCGTAGAAGGCGAGGCGTTCTCTCTCTCGTTGCGGCGCTGGTCGCTGCTGGTCCATATCCCGTTGTTCTACGAGGAGGGCGGCGCATAGGGCGGCCTCCGAGATGACCCCCTGCTGTCGGAGAAACGCCTTGCAGGGTCGCCACTCTGGGCCGAGCCCCCGAAGCACAATGTTCACGAATATTTATTCGGAAATGTTGCTTCCCAACTTCGCGATTTGATCGCGAAGGCTCCGAGAGCGGTTGATGTAGCTGTTGACTTTCTCCTAGTGGCCATTTTCGTCTCCAGTAGCTGCTGGAGTGAAGGCTCGAAGAAACCGAGTCTTTCGGTTGATAGACTTTGTTTAGGTGGCGCCAAGCGTCAAGGGCAGAAGCAGCCGTAGTCTTGTACGATCGAATGTTCAGCTGTTCCGCCGGCGACATGTTGCGCAGCAAGACGCCGTACGCCATCAGGGAGTCGTTGTAGTATTTTGCCCTGGTGTCGTCGGTGTCTTCTGTAGGCCCCGAGTAGCTCCCGTCGAAATAATGGAAAATCTGCGCGTTTTGCAGCAACAGCTCCAGCTCGAAGCTCCAAGTATAGAAGTCTCTATCGTCAAAGCACACACTTGTCTTTATTTTTTATATGCTCAGAAACCTTGATTGCGCAGAGAGAATTGTTTCTGCGCTGGGCTTGGGTGTTGAGCCATTCGTGTCGAGGGAGAAAGTGTGCGGGGCGGAATTTCGGCCGTTCGAGGTCGGTTGAGAGGGTTGGGAAGAGGTTCCGGCGTCGCCATTCCACAATGTTTGGAGTCCTTGCTCCAAGCTGGTGAGTCGTTGAAGCAGTTGTGCGAGAACGGCGAAAGAAATCGTTATCGTTTCTTCGCTAGTCGCAGCCCGGTTGGGCTGCGCTTAAGCCGTCAGATCCGTCTGACCACCAAATCCTCCGGCCATTCTTACACGCGAGCGTGTGCCGGACGCCACTTTTCGTTCGCCGAAAGTTTCGGAAGTGGCAGTGCGAAGGATTCCTGAGTCCTTCTCGTACCATGTGGCGATGAGAAGTTGATCGTAGCCAGGATCACCTTAGGAAGGTTCGCACACTACTAATTTAGTAATGGTGGGCCCTTCACCTCAATAGCAGAGTGAATGTAAATGTTTGAAATAATAAAAACATGCAAATACAGCACTATAATAATAGTACAGGGGAATACCAGTCGTCCTAGCTAGCCATGTACTCCAAGGAGTACATTCCCTTATTACAACGAACTTCAATCGTGCGACTCCAGACAGTTACGAAACCGTTCGGGCAGAATCCTCGCCACTGCTGCTGCCTGATGCTGTCTGCCCGACGGTGCAGATGGTTTTATAGCTGTGCGACCTTTCACATCACTTCCGCCCTTTCACGTCACTTTCACCTTTCACGTCACTTTCACGTCACGTGATGGAGGAGGAGCTGTATGATCTGGTCCCCAACCTGTTCTACCCGGTCCCCGCGATCATTCCGCCGGATGCGACCGTCGAGGCAGAGGAGGAGACAGTGCTGGCAGCTGAAGCGGCCGAAGCTGATGAGGAGGTTGTACCTCCTAATTCCGACTCGAGCGAGTCCGATGATGGTCTCGCGGGCTCGTAGATAAGTGGAGCGACAAAGGGGACAGGTGGTGGGCCCCTGGTCACTATGAGGGGTGTTACAATCCTAAACAGGACTTGGTCAGAGATCGGCTCAGGGTTGATCGCAGATAGTTTGTTTGCAGCGGAAGTATTGACCTTAGGTCAGAGTTTATATCCGGGAGAATACGGCACTTCAAAACTCAACCGTGCGGCGCGGGAGTCCGTTTAAATCCTGTTTCCGCCCTTTGCTCACTGATGCATCTGCCTGCAACAGTCTTGATGCTTCAGCTGTTTTTCGACTTTTCATATCATCTTGACCGTTGGTCTTCTTTTTTGGTAGTACTTCAACTCTGTTACGTATACGTTTGTTAAGTTAATTTCTTTCGTAACAAGATAGACGGCCTAATCGGTTTCCTACCGGTTTAGTTTGGCCTCTGAATTCCCTTTGTGGATGCTTGTTGATGTATGAATAAAGAATCAAGCCTAAAATTACCAGGATATAAACAAAGTTCGAACCCATTTAGAATGATGTAAAGCCCCCTTTCCATCCATTTTACGGTTTGCCAATGTTACACGCTTGGCGTTCAAATTTGAATTCTCAAAAACAGCCCTCCCCACAAACCAACCCCACCACTGGAATGTCGTCTTACACCTGGCACTGGTTATTAGCGTGAGTGGCTGACAATGGTATTTACTGGAGGGCATGTTACGTGAGGTAGGGTTTGAATGTGCACAGGACAAGTCGAGTGTGTCTCATCTTGTCACAAAGCTTAGACAAAATGAACGGAACAGTGTTTTGGGATAGGCAAAAATGACTGGAATCTGTAGAAAAGGGAAGAGGTTTGCGTAGGGACCAGATGAGACCTCCTCCTAGGGGCTAATGTAATTGCAAATGGGTGAAGCGAGGTCTGGAAATCAGTGTACAGGAGCGGCAGGTCGGGGGGCAGCAGGAGCTGCAGGCCGGGGGGCAGCAGGAGCTGCAGGCCGGGGGGCGGCAGGAGCTGCAGGCCGGGGGGCAGCAGGAGCTGCAGGCCGGGGGGCGGCAGGAGCTGCAGGCCGGGGGGCAGCAGGAGCTGCAGGCCGGGGGGCAGCAGGAGCTGCAGGCCGGGGGGCAGCAGGAGCTGCAGGCCGGGGGGCAGCAGGAGCAGCAGGCCGGGGGGCAGCGGGAGCTGCAGGCCGGGGGGATGCAGGAGCTGCAGGCCGGGGGGCAGCAGGAGCTGCAGGCCGGGGGGCGGCAGGAGCTGCAGGCCGGGGGGCGGCAGGAGTTGCAGGCCGGGGGGCAGCAGGAGCTGCAGGCCGGGGGGCAGCAGGAGCTGCAGGCCGGGGGGCGGCAGGAGCTGCAGGCCGGGGGGCGGCAGGAGCTGCAGGCCGGGGGGCAGCAGGCGTTGGCGACGGCGATGGAGGTGGACCCACAGGCCGCGGGGCAGCAGGAGCCGCGAAGCGGAGGGCAGCAGCAGTCGCAGAGCGGAGAGCAGCAATGGCTGCAGGCTGGGGGGCAGCAGGCGTTGGTGACGGAGATGGAGGTGGAGTCACACGCCGGGGGGCAGCAGGAGCTGCAGAGCGGAGGGCAGCAGCAGCTGCGCATCGAAGGGCAGCGGACGCTGCCGAGTGGAGGGGAGCATCCAAGGAAAGGGCAGCCGGAGCTGCCGGGAGAACGCCAGCTGCCGGCGAGGGAGAAGCAAGCTGCAGACGTGGCAATGGCCGAGCTATCACGAGCCCAGGAAATCCCACGAGAGGAGCGGCAGGAGCTGCAAACAGAAGGGCGGCGGGAGCTGCCGGCGCAGGGTCAGCGGAAGGTCGCGAATTCGGATGCTGTAAGCCAAGCGAGCAGAACCCGGGCACGGGGCCGAGGCGGGAGCCGACGTTCCTGCAAATCGCAAGGGCGGATTGGAAGCGGGGCTGCCGCACAGCAGGCGGAGGGGCAGCCGGGAGCGCCCGGTGCACCCCAGGGAGAGCGGCAGGCAGGGGGGCAGTCGAGGGCGCCCGGTGCACCCCAGGGAGAGCAGCAGGCAGGGGGGCAGCCGGGGGCGCCCGGTGCACCCCAGGGAGAGCAACAGGCAGGGGGGCAGTCGAGGGCGCCCGGAGCACCCCAGGGAGAGCAGCAGGCAGAAGGGCAGCTGAGGGTGCCCGGTGCACCCCAGGGAGAGCAGCAGGCAGGAGGGCAGCCGGGGGTGCCCGGAGCACCCCAGGGAGAGCAGCAGGCAGGGGGACAGCCGAGGGTGCTCGGAGCACCCCAGGGAGAGCAGCAGGCAGGGGGGCAGCTGAGGGTGCCCGGAGCACCCCAGGGAGAGCAGCAGGCAGGAGGGCAGCCGGGGGTGCCCGGAGCACCCCAGGGAGAGCAGCAGGCAGGGGGACAGCAAGAGCTGCCCGGAGGTCAACAGGCGTTGGCGGCAGAGATGGAGGTGGAGCAGGGGGTCGGGGAGCAGCAGGAGCTGCAGGCTGGGGGGCAGCAGGAGCTGCAGGAGCTGGAGGTGGAGATGGAGGAGCCGCAAGAGGAGGCGCGAGGGGAGCTGCCGGTACGCATGCAGGACGGGAGTCAAACAGACAATCAACCCCAGTCGCAGGCAGGGCGGCAAGGGTGTCATGAGGGGAACCAGCCCTTGCTTGGAAGCGTGCAACAGGGGTTGCCGACGAGTGAGTCGCAGGAGTTGAAGGTGCAGAATCAGCAGGGGGTCACTAGCCCGGGCGGCACAGGCCAAGCCGAAGGGTCGCGGGCACGGCGCCGAAGGGGGCGACGACAGGGAGGGCAGCGGGATGGGGGCCAGCCGGGGGCGACCCGGGCACCCCAGGGAGAGCAGCAGCCAGGGGGGCAGCCGGGGGTGACCGGAGCACCCCAGGGAGCGCAGCAGTCAGGGGGGCAGCCGGGGTTGACCGGAGCACCCCTGGGAGCGAAGCAGTCAGGGGAGCAGCCGGGGTTGACCGGAGCACCCCTGGGAGCGAAGCAGTCAGGGGAGCAGCCGGGGTTGACCGGAGCACCCCTGGGAGCGCAGCAGCCAGGGGGGCAGCCGGGGGCGACCGGGGCACCCCAGGGAGAGCAGCAGGCAGGGGGGCAGCCGGGGGTGACCGGGGCACCCCAGGGAGAGCAGCAGGCAGGGGGGCAGCTGGGGGCGGCTGGAGCACCCCAGAGAGAGCAGCAGCCGGGGGTGACCCGAGTGCCGCAGGGAGAGCAGCAGCCATGGGGGCAGCCGAGGGTGACCGGAGCACCCCAAGGAGAGGAGCAGCCAGGGGGGCAGCGGGGGGCGACCGGAGCACCCTGGGGAGAGCAGCAGCCAGGGGGGCAGCCGGGGGTGACCGGGGCACCCCAGGGTGCGCAGCAGTCAGGGGGGCAGCCGGGGGTGACCGGGGCACCCCAGGGTGCGCAGCAGTCAGGGGGGCAGCCGGGGGTGACCGGGGCACCCCAGGGTGCGCAGCAGTCAGGGGGGCAGCCGGGGGTGACCCGAGCACCTCGGGGAGCGCAGCAGCCAGGGGGGCAGCCGGAGGTGACCCGAGCACCCCAGGGAGAGCAGCAGGCAAGGGGGCCGCCGGGGGCGACCGGAGCACCGCAGAGAGAGCAGCAGGCAGGGGGGCAGCCGGGGTTGACCGGATCACCCCAGGGAGAGCAGCAGCCATGGGGGCAGCTGGGGGTGACCGGGGCACCCCAAGGAGAGGAGCAGCCAGGGGGGCAGCGGGGGGCGACCGGAGCACCCTGGGGAGAGCAGCAGCCAGGGGGGCAGCCGGGGGTGACCGGGGCACCCCAGGGTGCGCAGCAGTCAGGGGGGCAGCCGGGGGTGACCGGGGCACCCCAGGGTGCGCAGCAGTCAGGGGGGCAGCCGGGGGTGACCGGGGCACCCCAGGGTGCGCAGCAGTCAGGGGGGAAGCCGGGGGTGACCCGAGCACCTCGGGGAGCGCAGCAGCCAGGGGGGCAGCCGGAGGTGACCCGAGCACCCCAGGGAGAGCAGCAGGCAAGGGGGCCGCCGGGGGCGACCGGAGCACCGCAGAGAGAGCAGCAGGCAGGGGGGCAGCCGGGGTTGACCGGATCACCCCAGGGAGAGCAGCAGCCATGGGGGCAGCCGGGGGTGACCGGGGCACCCCAGGGAGCGCAGCAGTCAGGGGGGCAGCCGGGGGTGACCGGGGCGCCCCAGGGAGCGCAGCAGTCAGGGGGGCAGCCGGGGGTGACCCGAGCACCCGAGGGAGAGCAGCAGCCAGGGGAGCAGCCGGGGGTGACCGGGGCACCCCAGGGAGTGCAGCAGTCAGGGGGGCAGCCGAGGGTGACCCAAGCACCCGAGGGAGAGAAGCAGGCATGGGGGCAGCCGGCGGCGACCGAAGCATCCCTGAGAGAGCAGCAGCAAGTGGGGCAGCCGGGGCACAGTGGCGGAGCACCCCAGGGAGAGCAGCAGCCAAGGGGGCAGCCGGGGGTGACCAGCGCACCCCAGGGAACGCAGCGGCCAGGTGGGCAGCCAGGTGCGACTGGTGGATCCCAGGGAGAGCAGCGGCCAGGGGGGGAGCTGATGGACGACCTGGAGCAGCAGTTGGTGGAGTGGAGCCGACTTTTGGAGTTAGATACTCCCATGGCGACTGCGGAGGAACCAGAGGAAGACGGGGAGCCTCCCATACCGCCTTCCCTATGCCCTCGTTTTCCATGTGACACGTGTTTTCACACGTTCGCTACGAGAGGGGCCGCTGCGAACCACATGAGGGCATGCAGGGCGGCTGAGGCGGAGAGGCGCGCGCAGGCACTTGGCTCGATCCCGTCCCTGGTGGAGACCGACACGCAGGAGAGACCGACGCCGCGGGACTTTGGGGACGAGGCGTGGGCCGGGGTTACGTTATGGGAGTGGGAAGCATTTTTCAGTGTGGAGGCGGTTGGAGGGAGGACAGTGCGCCGGATCCCACAGCGGGCCCGGGCGGGGGTCTTGGACGCGCTCTGTTGCATCTTGAAGCGTTTGAAGAACCGACCGGGGGATGAAGCCGCTACCCTCCTGCTCTTGGCGTTTCCGCGCCTCATCCTAGCCGTGCCTCCCAAGCCAGGCATAGGTCAGAAGGCGCTGATAATAGAGCGGCTGGGGGCGTTCTGGGAGGGGAGGTGGCGGGAGCTGTTCGACTCTGCCATGGCAGCGGCGCGGCCAGCAGTTCGTCCACTCGCCTACACTTGTTCTGACCAGGACCCGGATGCCATCCGCCTGTCACGCTGCCGAGCTCGGTGTAAAGTGGGAGAGTGGAGTCGTGGACTGGCTTGCCTTACAGCAGGAGAGTTGGCGCGACCGTCTGAGGCCATGGTGCAGTCGCTGCAAGAGAAGCACCCTGCTAGCACTGGCGAGGTACCACAGTGGGTCCGTGATTTCACCGTCGATGCTCCTCAGCGGCCTCCACTGACGACCGACGTCCTGGCCAGAGCCATTCATACAGCCGCTCGCGCTTCAGCAGCAGGGCCATCGGGGTGGGTCACAGAGCATCTGCGCGACACCTTCCTCACTGAACCTTCCTGCCTTCCCCACCTATTGGAGGTGTTCAACCAATGGGTGGCAGGACAGGTCCCCGAGCGGGCACGGCCCTGGCTCGCCGCATCCAACCTAGTTGGGCTTTCCAAGCCTAACGGCGACGTTCGGTCGGTGGCGATTGGGGAGGTGCTTCCGCGCATCCTTGCTCGAGCTCTTTGCATCTCACTCCGCCCTGCTATGGCTTCCTACTTTCTGCCGTGCAACCAGCTGGGAGCGGGCACCAGGGTCGGGGTGGAGATTCTTACTCATTCTTTCCGGTCAGCGCTGGCCACTCACCCCGATTGGTGTGCGCTGCAGATAGATGTCGCGAACGCCTTCAATTCTTTTCACCGTCAGGCGACGTTTGAGGGGCTGCGGGAGTCGCCTTTCTCGGGGTTGATCCCATTCTTGCGTGTTTTCTACGGGTCACCTAGCGACTTGTATCTCCGAGCGGGCCCTTTCGTACAGAGTCTTGAGTCGGCACGAGGTTCGCGGCAGGGGGACCCGCTCGGCCCTTTTCTTTTTGCGTTCACGCAGCAGCAAGTGATGGCGTCGGTGATTAGAGAGTTCAGGGATATACTTTTCCTGAGTTATGCGGACGATACCTACATCCTGGGACCAGCGGCTAGGATCTTAGAGGCTTTTGGGGTGCTGCGGGAGCGGTTGGAGTGGGTGGGGCTGGAGGTGCAGGCGCACAAGTGCCGGTTTTGGGAGCGCGAAGGCGGGGATGTGGAGCGGGCACTGCCATTAGGGATGCAGCGGGTGGAGGAGGGTCTCACTGTGGTGGGCGTACCTATTGGGGAGGAGGATTGGGAGGTGGCCCGATTACGGGAGCGGCTTCGACAGTTGCAGGGGCCATTGCCATGGCTCCCCCTGCTTGACCACCCCCAGATGGCTTCACATCTCCTCGCCATTGCAGTTTCAGCACGGCCGATGTACCTGGCCCGGACTATGCCGCCGCGTCCGGAGGTGGTGGAGGCCTTTAGGGTTTGGGACAGCTGTCTGGAGGATTGCTTCGAGCAGCTTTTCCCACCTGGCACTTGGGAGCAGGACCCCGACCGGTCTAGGCGCGCGCGCATGCAGCTGCATCTTCCCGTGCGACTCGGGGGGTTCGGGATTAGGGCGGTGGCCTCTTTGAGCCCGCTGTCCTATGTTTGTGGGTGGGCGCAGGCCGCGCGTGATGTTGCACAGTTGGGGGTGGCGGGGGAAGAGGCGATGTTTGCAGAGTACCTCACCACCTCGGGAGGGGCGGAGCTTCTTGACCCTTGGTTTGCCAAGGCTATTGAGCAGCTGCCAGCGACTATACGCCAGGAGATGCCGGGCTTACCTCTGTGTGCAGCGGCTCCCCCTCTTCGACTTTTCCAGGCGTGGCAGCGGCAGTTGGCTGTAGAGGAGCTCCAGGCACTGCGCCGCTCGGCTCGTGACGATGCCACCCTGGCCCGTTTCACATCCCTTCAGGGCCCGGGGGCTGGTGCATGGGTTTCGGCGGTCCCGGCTCACTCAGATCTCACATTCACTGCGACGGAGTGGGGCATTGCTGCTGCTATACGGCTCGGTCTCCCAATTCAGCAGCTGCAGGTCGCAGGGAGGTGTGTTTGTGGCACAGCGTATGTTGACCCAGCAGACCCGCATCATGCCTTGAGATGCAAGCACCAGCACGGTCCATCTCGGGTGCATGATGAGGTGAAACTTGCGGTGGCGAGGATCTCTAAGGCGTCAGGGGGGGTGGTGACGATGGAGGATGGTGTGGTGCTGCCGGGGAAGCGGGTTGACGTGGCGGTGCGACGGCCAATGGCCGGGGAGGCTCACGCTCTAGAGATCAGCGTCGCGGACCCGCTATCGCTGTCCCCATCTCTGCTAAGGCACTGCGGTCGTTCTATTGGTGTAGCGGCAAGGTAGTGGGAGCGTCGCAAAACGAGTGACTACGCGCCTCTGCTTGCGCGCAACCGGGGCGTGCAGTTCACCCCGTTGATAATAGAGACGTGGGGATGTCTTGGCGGGCGTTTCCGGCAGTGGCTTCGACGACAGGGGGATGCGCACGTGGGGCTAGCCGTGTCACGGGGGGCTTGTCGGGAGGATGACTTTTCGTTTTCGGCTTATCTTTTGGGGTCTCTGAAGGCGCTCATTGGGGTAGCGTTACAACGGGCGCAAGCTCGTGTCATCCTGCTTCGAGCGGCGTCTTCTATGGGGGGGATGAATGTGGACTTGGTGGACCGGGAGAAGGACGACGTCGAGGAGGAGGGTGGGGCTCTTTGGGTGGAGGCCCCGTATATGGTGGATGCGCAAATATGACATGGGGTGCGGGATAGGGCGTGTTGATGGGGTGTCCTGACTGGGTGTTCAGTTTGGGTAATTTGATGAGGTTTTTTTTTTTTTTTTTTTTTTTTTTTTTTACCGCCACCTTGAGGCGAGCCCTGCACATGCTAGGTATCGGCCCCGCGAGAAGTGGGGGGATTTCGCATTCCCAAGCAGGGCGAAATTACGTAATTCGCCAAGTACAATACAACGTGTATACTTTGTCATTAGACCAGATTCGGAGGGAAGTGACAGCTTCCAGACCCTCGTGATTGCATTGAACCAACCCCACCGCTGGAATGTCGTCTTACACCTGGCACTGGTTATTAGCGTGAGTGGCTGACAATGGTATTTACTGGAGGGCATGTTACGTGAGGTAGGGTTTGAATGTGCACAGGACAAGTCGAGTGTGTCTCATCTTGTCACAAAGCTTAGACAAAATGAACGGAACAGTGTTTTGGGATAGGCAAAAATGACTGGAATCTGTAGAAAAGGGAAGAGGTTTGCGTAGGGACCAGATGAGACCTCCTCCTAGGGGCTAATGTAATTGCAAATGGGTGAAGCGAGGTCTGGAAATCAGTGTACATTCCGTTCCCTCGGCATTTTCCGTGCCTGGCACCCAAACCAACCACACGACCTTCACTTTTATGTAGTAGACACCCTCCTTCCCAACCATTCGTCCGACTTCTGCAAGCATAATTTTCTGTTCCGCCCTTGCACACCTTGACCTGGCCATCTTGTCGGCTCGTCAGTAGTTCTCACTCGTGTGGACGGGGTGGTCATGGTTTTGGTGGCGCCAGCTATGCGTGTCATTTGGCACGATATAGCGCAATCGCTGTGTAGATGGTTGTCCCGTTTAGCTTCACGTTAGGGAGGCATGGGTTGGATGGATGACCTAGGACCAGAGCTTATCAGCCGAGTACTATCGAAGAGCAGATTGAGTCCAGTAGAGCTGTGCCGATTGTCGATATTAGGCAGGGATTGGAAGGAGGCGGTGGCATCCCATGAGCTCTGGAAGAGCATAGAGCTCAAAGTTCCGGAATACTCGAGGCCCGTGTTACTCTTAATCTCCAAACATTGTGGAAATCTGTCCGAGCTTCATGTTTCGCGTGATCCGATTCACCCCAGAGGCCTTTCTGTGCCCTATTGGTGAGAAGCAAAGACAAGAGGCAAAAGTCGGAGCAGCCAGTTTACGCTTATTGAATGTACTCTTTCGAAGAAGTTCACGTCTTCAAAATTCTCATTTTCGGTTCGTTTCAGCTCGGCCTGGATGGATGGCGTAGAGGAGGTGCTGAAATCGGCAAGCTTCAGTATGAAGAAACTTGTAGTATCCACTGGTTGCAACATCTACAAGAAGGATTACAGGACTGCTCCTTTTTACACCGAACTCATGACTAGGGTCACGAAGCATTGCAGGTGCGTCAGTTAAGGCTTTCTGTCTTATGATATTGATCTGGAACTATTAAACCTTTATATTATTTTTGCTGCAGGTGTCTGGAGGTCTGCGAGATTTATTATAACGCAGGGAAGTCTGGGCTGAAGAGTGACATACCCCGATGGATATTCGATTTTATCCAAAGATGCCCTCAAATAGAAGTATTTCGTCTATGGTCGCCGTCAGGAGACTGCGGTGGCCTCGATAATAAATGTATTGCTGCTATGGTTGCTGGTTGGGTCTGCCTTCAACACTTGGAACTTACAGGGGAGGCTATCACTCTAGATGGTAAGCGATTCTGTCATGCAGCTCACGAATGTTTTTTTTTTTTTTTTTTTTTTTTTTTTTTTTCATGTTTTTTTATGACGACGTTCTAAAATCTGATTGATGGTCATATGCTCTGCAGGGGTTATTCTTTTGAAAACATGCAGCGGCCTCAAAACTGCGCGCCTCAGCCACATTAGCCTTGGAGCTAGTAAGCGGCCAGACTCGTTACGGGTATCCAGCGACTACCAGGACAGCAGACCTTTCAAATCTACAGATTTTCGAGAGCTGGAGCTGGCACACACTAACTGTGACCTACTTGACCTTCAAATCATTCATCAGGAATTTCCAGGTCTAGATTCCATTCGCATTATTGAGGGCCCAGAGGTGTTTCACTTGGATGATTCAGGGGACGAGGCTGAGACTGTTGAAACAACGTCCCAACGTGAGCATCTCCAACGACTAGCTGACCTTAGGTCTAGTTGTGCAGAGGACGACTCTGTGTCCTCCGTAGTCACTTTCGTTGACCTGTAGCCGTCTGACATGTCTAAAGTTGTGACTAACATAGCACTTGTACAGTCAGACCAGTATAGTGCACCGCAGACGTCTTTTCAGTTCCTGAACTCAAACAAAAACACACATATATATATATTTGTGTGTGTGTGTGTGTGTGTGTGTGTGTGTGTGTGTGTGTGTGTGTGTGTGTGTGTGTGTGTGTGTGTGTGTGTGTGTGTGTGTGTGTGTGTGTGTGTGTGTGTGTGTGTGTGTGTGTGTGTGTGTGTGTGTGTGTGTGTGTGTGTGTGTGTGTGTGTGTGTGTGTGTGTGTGTGTGTGTGTGTGTGTGTGTGTGTTGCCGACAGTACTGTGGAAGAGGTAGGGAGAGGAGTGGAGATAAATCTGGATGTGGTGTTTTGAACAATAGCTACATACGTACGTAGAGTGTTTGAATCAATTCTTGTTGAATCAAATGTAAGTGAGGCCAATGCGCGCAGGTCACATCCTCGTCACCCACTCACTAATGGCGCCATTGGATCCGCGGCTCGCCAGTGGGCAGCTTGCTTCACCAACTTCACCCACCATCGCCCCAACCGAACCCAGCCTGGCTGCGAATCAGCAGACCGCATGGGACATGGATGTGCTTTCAGAAATTAGTACGTGCCGAACGGTACAGCTTTTTTTGAGCTCGGTTTTCTTGAGTCTGGTGCGGTGTGACAATATCCTCCACTCGCCGTACCGAACAGCTACTGAACTTCCCTGCCTCTGAAATCGCAATGCTTTGATTTCATTTCTTGTTGTACCATTTCCCAGCTGTAATGGATAGATATACTGATCTGAGAGAATCAGCATATCGGCAGCATGTGTTATCGCAGTTCTTTGATGGCCACTTGTCGAAGAGCTTCAGGACGTTTGTTGGTCAGTAGTTTTGGCCACCGAGTCACCACGGCCATCGTTGATTGTCTAGGAATCAGGGACAAGAACAAGCGCAGGCAAGTGAGCCAATCAAAGTGGTGAGAAGGATGTTCGGAGGAGCCTGCTTGTGAAAGCTGATTGCTTCTTGTGCGTGCCTGCATGCCGGGCCACAGCACATGAAACGAAGAACTTTGACAGAAATATATACGGAAGCTTCAGCAAACAGGGTAACCCGACTACCACTAATCCAATCGACGCAGAATGGCCGAATCACGGAGTAACGAATCAGCGAGCGCGTTCTCCGGTCCAATGCGGCGAGTAGTAACGGGAGCGGAGGCCGTGAGTCCCACCGGAAGTCCCGCAAGGAGCTTCGCAAGAAGAAGTCGCCACCAACGGTCATGGTCGGGACTACCGTTTGAATCCTCTCCCTTCTCCTGGTCAGGACGGCGTTTCGATTCCCCTCAACCCTCGCGCTCCGGCGTATTGACAAGCCGGCTTTACGAGCTGACGCTTGATGCGCCGGCCAATCAGGAGCTCCTGATTGTCCCCGCTAAAAGCAGCAAGAAGACTGCTCGTGCGCTGAAGGTAGTCGGCGATCCGGAAATTTCTAAAGATCCTCCCTCGCCAGGCTGGGCAGGTGCGTTATCACATGATTTTTGTATCTTATCTCTGATTGGTTGTAATATACAAAAGAAGGCCTCTTTTTCTCTCGTGCATATTCCTCGGCGTGACTACATATCAAACCATTGTGTGAAATGAGTTCAGCGGACGTTGTTTGTTTGGTAGCTCGGTTGACATGAACGTACCCGCGTGTCAGTGACTTCGTTTAATCTCTCTTTCTCTCTGTCTTTCGTTTTCCCGCGTGTTTCACGGCAGAGTTGAAGGCGCAGTGCGAGCGGATGGAGAAAGAGGACCGTCGGATCACATCCATCGATCTCACGCACATCCCTGAGAGCGACACCGAAGCCGACAACCATGGCCTCCATGGGAGCAGGAGGCGACGAGGGAAGGACGCGGACGGTGTTGTCATGTACGGTCTAGGCTGGCAGCCCAGCAGGGACGTGGAAAGATCCAACGGTCCAGATCACGAGGTGGAGATCGAGCTTCTTCCTCAGCGCAGTGAGCCTAAGGAGGGAGGAGGAGGATTAAAGGAGGGAGTAAAGCACGCAAGGAAGTCGCACAGGCGGCAGCAGTCATGCCCTACGGACTACTGCCTTGTTGAACAGACTGAGAGGGCAGACAGGACGCAGAGGGAGCGGGTGGAAAGGGTGGAAAGGACGGAAAGAGATCAAGGGACAGAAGAGCAATGGTTTACGCAAGGCAGCTTACCTGCTGGCCAGCTGGCAGGCAGCAGTGGCGCGCAGTGGGAGGGCGCGTGCATGCAGGAGCACCAGCAACAGCAGTTGCAGCAGCAGCAGCAGCAGTTGCAGCAGGTGGACGTGGAGAATAGAAACAACTACAGTGAGGGGTCTGCATGGCAGGAAGGAGAGCTCTCTCAGGTGCGGGGTCAGCAGGAGCGGAGGGGCAAGCTGAGCCTCTTTGCCACGTGGCACAGTCGAACTCGCTCACGAGCAGAGGAGTTTCAATCAGCAGGTATGAGCTTGTCCGCTTCCCCACCACCGCCCTCCTCTCTCCCCTCCTCTCCTCCACCAGCCTTCTCCTTCCCATCACCATCCCCCCAGTCGCCCTCATCCCGCCCAGCATCTCGCCACCGCCGGTGCTCCTCAGGGGTGCTGCAGCCCACCTACTCACTATCGGACCAGCAGCCGTTAAACGCGCTCACAGCCCAGCAGCCCTCATGCACACCAACAGGGTTTGGTTATGATTGCGGGGAAGGAGAGCGAATCGCAGGCACGCAGTCAAGCAGAGGCAGAACGAGTCCGGGCGTGCAGCAGGAAGCACGGGTGCTCAACCCACTAGGCTCTCGCTTGAACCCACACTTCAAGCCCTGCCAGCCTGGCCCACCACCACAACAAGGTGCCAGTGACGACCCAGCTGCTTCTGCCTCGCTCTCTGAATCACCCCACCGCCTTCAACCTCCCCCGCATGAGGAGCAACCGCCTTGCCAGCCCTGCCTGGCCCCACCTGGCCAGGGCTGGCCTGGGCAGGGTCCATTTGGGGAGGGTGCATTCGAGCAGGTGAGTTTCCGGTTCAAGGCACCACCTGGGAATGCACCTGAGAGGTGGCAGCAAGTGATGGAGGAGAGGGTGCGAGAGGCCTTTGCCATGGGATACCTGGCAGGCCTGCGCGATGCTGCTGCCCACTCTGTTGCTCCTCCTGCTGCTGCTCTGGCTGCTGTTGCAGCGGCTGGTGCATCACCTGGGCGGTTTGTACCGAAGAAAATCTCTTCTGATTCGCATTACGTCACGTCCCAGTCGAGAGAGCGAGCAGCTCCTCCTCGAATGTGCAAGAGCAGCACAGTGAGCGGGATCTCCCACTGTCAAGACCGGTCCCCCCTGCGATGGACGCGGGAGGTACGGATGCCTCTAGAGTCGATTCACCAGAGCAGCACAGTGAGTGGGGGAGGGTCGCACAGCAATGGCGGTTCCCCATTGGGATGGACGGGGGAGGGAGAGGTACAGATGCCTCAAGGGTCTCATGCTCGCCTCAAGGGGCCTCTACAGGCGCGTAGGGTCGCATCTGGTCCGCTGCAGCCTCGCTCTGGCCCGCTACAGCCTCGACATGGGCTGTTAGAGCCTCAATTCGGTCCGCTACAGCCCTGGGCTGGTCTGTTACAGCCCCGGTCGGATGTGCTACAGCCTCGGTCTGGCCCGCTGCAATCTCGGACTGATCTGCAACAGTCTCAGCAGCCTCCATTGGAGCAACCAAACCGAGAGAATTGCCGTTTGAATGCCAGCAGGGGTGACAGCGCTGGCTGTACTTCCGTGCACGCAGAAGGAACAAGAAGTGCAAGAATTCCGCTGAATCAGCTGCAGCCACAGCAAGTACAGCCGCAGCAGCAGCAGGTAGGTGAGCAACAGCAGCAGCAAGCGCAGGTGGAAGGAGAGCAGCAGCAACAACAGAAGCAGCAGGCAGTAGAGCAGGAGGAGGAGCAGCAGGAGGAGGGGTGGAGGCAGCGGAGGAGGCGGGTGCGGCACAGGAGGAGTGGCAGCTTGGGCGCATGTCAGGAGCTACCCTGCAGAGCAGGGGAGGAGGAAGGGTCAGTGCGAGCACTCGCTTTCCACAGTGCTGCTGGGTTTGAGCGCTCCTTCTCTGATAACACAGGGGCAGGACCCGGGGTAGGTGCAGGGGCAGGAGAGGTGGGGGTTCGGGTGAGGGTAAGGGTTGGGGTGGGGGCAGGAATGGAAGGACAGGCTGCGGAGCAAACAACAACAGCCTCTGCTGCCTCCTCTGCTGCTGCTGCTGCTGCCTCCTGTCCTGCTGCTGCTGCTGCTGCTGCTGCTGCCTCCTGTCCTGCTGCTGCTGCTGCTAGGGACGTTATGGGTGTTTGCAGTGACGTGGAGAGTGATGCTGACAGCTGTCAATCCCCTGGTGGTGGAGGGAATGTGGGAGGCGTCCACACGGGTGCCTCCTGCACTGGCTTGCGCTTGAGTCGCAGACTCTTCTCTGGCCGCCTGCTGCTCACCCGTGACTCGTCGTGATATGCATGACTTGTTGTGGCTTGCATTGTGATGCACACATGATTCGTGACCAGATCCAGTGCACTTGGCTTGGCAGTTTTGCAAGCAGTGAAGTGAAATGAGCAAAACCTTATTGCTAATCGAGGCCTCTCCTCAGCATGCGATCAGGTACTGTCCGGCGGCAGTCATCTGCCAGGGTTTACAAAGCTTGCAGCTCTGACAATACAGATAATTACACTACTAGGAAGCCCAAACCATGAACGCATATACATACACACCTGACCTAAACTGTATAATATAATGCATGTTGCTGCTGAAACCTGTTATCTAAAGGCCATAGGTAAAGCAGCTGGAGAAAGGATAGGGGAGACTGATGACATATGGGGGGCTGAGGACAAGGGAGAGTGCAGTGATGGATGGATGGGTGCTGGACGGACAATGTGCAATACCGTAGCTTCTGGCAATGTGAGAGAGGAGGGGGCAACAAAGAAAAGAAATCACCGTCCAGCCCAAGCTCCTGGCCCCGATATTGCTTCTTAGAGCACCCTGAGCTAGGTGCCTCCCAGGCACGAGCCTCAAGAGTCAGAAGCCTCTCCCTTCCGCTCAGGCCAGATCAGGTGAGGCTTCTGGCGGCCATGTCGTTGACATTGGAGCTCGCGTCACGTGCCTTTTGCAGCAGCGACGAAACCATTGCTTCTCCATCCTCTTCGTCCTCCTCTTCGTCATCCTCTTCATCTTCCTTCTCGCCTTCCTCCCCCTCTCCTTCCCCCTTCTCCGCCTCCTCCGCCTTCTCCCCCTCCTCCGCCTCCTCCGCTTTCCCCTCCTCCGCGTCTTCCGCCACCTCCGCGCTCGCCGCGGAGTTTCCCAGGATTCGCGCCACCATGGCGCCCTCGCCGGGTTTCGCGCCGGAAATCCCGCTCGGCGCGTCGTCGTCGTCGTCCGCCGTCAGCTCCCACGTGGCGTCGTGAAACGCATCGGATCCGGGCGACGCAGGAACGTAACGGTCAGCGGCAGCAACAACGGATTTAACCGCGTCAGCACCACTAACAGTGACAGTTTCCTCGGTCGCCGCGACAAGCGGCGATGCCTTATACGTGGTGCCATCAGTGGCGTCACCTTTGCTCTTTTTCTTGCTACCCTTGATAACACTGACAATGGCGAACACCCCGGCGGCTACGACGGCGACTGGAATCAGCAGCGGAAGCAGGCCTTTCTTAGGCTCGTCCTTCTTCGCCGCGCCGGTTATTGCGGCGCCGATAGCGCCGAAGCTCGCGCCGGTAATCACGGGATCCGCGGCTTCGTCGGCGGTAGGAGCGGCCACCTCCACGAACTCGCGAACCTGAACCTCCTCCATGGGCCGGCTCGGACCAAACCGCTGAGAGAGGCACGGGGACCAGTGTGACGCTCACGAGCGGCTCCGCACGCACCTACGCTGTGACCTACTACAGTACAGCCACTGCGGATGCGTAAGCTGGCTTCTGCGAAGTGCAATATCGAGAATGTCTCTGGTCTAGAACAGTGGCGTGGTGTGTTTGAGGCTTGGGGGCATTTCAGTTCAGAGCAGCAATGCCTGAAAATGGCTGGCCCAGGGTCGTTTTGGCGGGAACTCCGAGAAATTAGGGCGGGATGGAGGAAAAGGTTGCATGCCTGGCACGAGCGAGGCGTTTGCGACGTTGGCGAATCGTCATGCGAATGTGCGAGATGTTGCTTGACAAAGTTGAATGTGGGGCTGATGAGATGATTTCAAGGTCGCAACATGTACACCTTACTTCTTACATGCAAATTCGACTGTTATCACATTTGTTTTTACGGTATCGAGACATTCAAAAACAAGCATGCGGTGAATTGCGCTGCAAGGCAAATGTCCAAGTGCATCTGTTGGGTTGCCATGCTGCAAAACTCCCCACTGGCAACTAACCTGGCAAACATGGAAAGGCGGATTTGTGACTAGAACTGCAAATCGTACCTCATCCCCGGTTTCCGTTGGGCCAAGCTATCGACCATGGCACCCACGGGAGACGATTCGGGTTCGCTGCCCTGGTGCCAGCTGTTGCACTCTGAGTGGCGGATGAAAAGAGCGTCGGAGGTTGGTGTCAGTGGCGAACAGCTTACCCAGTTACCACAAACAAGCGATTCTAGAGGAGCCCGAAATTCGTTATATACTGAAGGAAATTCATCAACATATGGGCAGAGTGACGGCGTGGACAACGAGTGGAACTGTAACGAGGATGGCTGGATGCCGGCCGTTGTTCCAGGAACGTACGTTTCCAGGATGGCCGGTGGTGAAGGCTTCGTGCTTGCAGGGACCGTAAGGGAAGAGTGTCACCGGAAACGGCCATGTCGTGTCCTTGTAGACCGTCTGTAGCACCGTTTACACCGTTTGTAGCACCGTATTCTAATAAAATCTCATGTGGTGTCATATGTTGTCCTTTCGAGCCTCCTGTCGTTGCATCACACCATTCACCGTCCACAACGCCCTTCCTCTTCCAAATATCTGCTGATCTTGAGTCCCTCTGTTATTGAATTCGCTTGCTCTTGAGTCCCTCTGTAATTGAATTCGCTTGCTCTTGAGTCCCTCTGTTATTGAATTCGCTTGCTCTTGAGTCCCTCTGTTATTGAATTCGCTTGCTCTTGAGTCCCTCTGTTATTGAATTCGCTTGCTCTTGAGTCTCTTGTGCTTCTCACTCTCATCCCTCCTCCTGCCTCCCCGTCGTGGTGTCAAAGTATTCTGAGAACTATCAAACCGTGCTTCCCCTCTACTCTGACCTTCCCTCGTGCCTCCCTTCCCTCGCACTCTCAAAATCACCAACCTGTGCCTTCCCCTCCCCCACCTTCTTCTCCCTCTCTTCCCCTCAGAGTGCTAACGAGCCTGGTGGCGAAAGGGGTCTTCCCGGACACCCTGTACGGCACCGACACACGCGACTGCATCCCTGACATCGCCCACACCGGTGCCCAACCCCTTCTCCTTCCTCTCACTCTCTTCCCCACAGAGTGCTCACAAGCCTGGTGGCAAACGGGGTCTTTCCGGACCCTCTCTTCGGCACCAACACGCGCGACTGCATTCCTGACATCGCCCACGCCGGCCGCCCCTTCTACACCTTCCTCTTCCGCCGCTGCTTCCACCTGCCTGCCGCTAATTCATCCTCTCAGGCTCTGCTGCACTGCCAGCCGTCCTGCTCGTCTGTAGTTGCTGCTACTGCTGGTGGTGCTGCTGTTGCTGGTGATAAGGGGTGCTGTGGCCGGGATGGCTGTAGTGGGTGTGCTGGGTGTGGGTGTGAGAGTCATGAGTGGGAGCGAGTGTGGCTGTGCTTCCGTGGCGTCAACTACTCACTCTCCGTCTTCCTTAACGGCCGCCAACTCAGCATCGACCAGCCAGCTGGCATGTTCCTGCGGCGCCAGCTGGACATCACTGACCTGGCCAGAAGGGGAGACATTGGCGAGAGCCATTGCAGTAAAATCTGTAGCAATAGGAGCAAGGGATGTAGCAGTGAATGTGGGTGTAACAGGTGTGGCAGCAGCGAGAGCAGGAACCAGTTGGCAGTGGTGGTTAATCCAGTGGACCACCCGGGGAACGTGGATGGGGGAGGGCAGGGCGGCGACCACCAGGTACAGCCTCGTGCATGCATGACCGTATGTGTGTGACGCATGCCAATTGGACGCATGCCAATTGCCTTTCTATTAACGCCATTTGGCATGCTTTATGTGCCTTGCTATGCCCCACGCATGCAGGTGGCCAAGGATGTCACAGCTCAATACGTGGAGGGCTGGGATTGGATCATTCCCATCCGGTACCCATCTCTCTTTCTGAATCCGCATTGCACTTCCTCGTTGGTGTTCGTGTATACACCAGTCGACACTTGATGGGTTATGCACCTGTGAATTTCTTCAATCATGGCTACCAGTCCTTCCCGCGTCTCCCACATTCCAGCCTGATGCTCTTCACTGTCCCCCTCAGCGCTTCCTTCCGGCCATCGCCGCTTGCTCTGCTTTCTACAAGCCTGCTTGCTGCCTTCTTTCTCTGTGTGGGGTGGCAGGGATCGCAACACGGGCATGTGGGATCAAGTGCACGTGGCTGTCACGGGGGTGAGTGAGGAGGGGTGGACATGGGATTGTTTGTGCTTGTGGGAGAAAAGGAAGGCATCTACTACCTTCCTTAACATGATACTTGCACATTTCCCGGGCATGCTGTTTCCTCTCTTTCCCATCCTGACCATGCGTGAATGCATGGCAGCCCGTGGCCATTAGTGTCCCTCACCCGGTGGCCGTTTTCTTAGTTGAATCAATCGCCACTTTCCCCCCTCGCTTCCATGCATGCGTGGGTAGCATCCCGAATCTGTTTCTTGAGAATTCTCAAAAAACAAGACTCGGCCAATGGTCACTCTCATGTGGTGGCGGTCGTCTTTTGACTCGACTCGTAAGCCTGCCTTTCGCCTCTCCTCCCCCCCTGTGCATGGTGTATGCATGGCAGCCCGTGACCATCGGGGACCCTCATCTCGTGGCTGTCTTCGCGTCCCAACGCTGCAATGACACGCAAGCAGATGGTGCGAAGAGGGAGCATGCAGATGGAGCGAAGAGGGAGCATGCAGATGGAGCGAAGAGGGAGCATGCAGATGGAGCGAAGAGGGAGCATGCAGATGGAGCCAGTGCAAAGGATGACGTCACCCATCCATCAGTTCTTCCCTGCAACACCCACACACACACGCCTCCTCCTTCCTCCTCCTCCACTCCCGCCCCTCCCGCCCCTCCCTTCTGCCCCTCTGCCGCGTCTCTCCACTGCTCCCTCACCCTCACCAACTCCCTTCCCATCCCCCTCCGCACGCGCGTGTCTCTCGAGCTTGCCTTCACTCCCGGCCCACACCAGAGGGGCGGTGGAGGGGCGCTTGGACGGGGAGGGGCGAGGGGATGGGGGGGTGGGGAAGGAGGGAGGGTGAGCGGGGAGGGGGTGTGGGAGGAGGAGGAGGGGGAAGGGGAGGGGTTTGTGATGGTGGAGGGAGTGAGGGAGGAGGAGGTGGAGGTACTGGGCAACAGCAGCATCACTCACACATTCCAGCCGGTGCGAATCAGATAACACACACAACTCACACATGCTGTTGTTGTAACGTGAGCGCGTATGGCCATGACCTCAACTCTCAGTCCCACTGTGTCTCTCACTCACTCGCACTCAAGACTCCCACGACCGATTCCCACTGCAAGTTGAAGTGAGATCAAGAATCTCACGTCTGTCCGCCCCAATGCATCCCAAAGGCCCTGTGGCATGGCATGGATCCGCTGTGTCCCTTCGTAGCTCGTTCCTGCCCCTCCTGCTCATTCCCCCCCCCCCCCTCTCTACCGCCTCCTTCCCTTCCCCTCTGCGTCCCATCGCCGGCCGGCAGTCTCTGCTGCCACCATGCTCTCTCCCCCCCTTTCCCTCCCCTCCCCTTGCAGCTACACATTGCTCGTCCTCATCACACGTGGGGGCGTTGCCATCACGGTCTGTGTGCTGTTCCCCCCACCCTTGCAATCGCAAGTCCTGCTCTATCCCTCCGTTCCCTCCCCCCTCCCTTGCAGCTACTCGTGTCCCGCCCCCACCTGTGGTGGCCCAATGGCATGGGCGCACCGTCGCTGTACGATGTGGCAATCACCGCCTCTGTGCTGCACCCCTCCTGCCTCGCATCCTGCCACCCCACTGGGAAAGCCACAGTGGCAGTGGATGACCTGTTGTCGTCAGCCTCACCCACTTCCCTACCAACCTCCTATCCACATCTCTCCTCACCTTCCCACTCCTCACCTGACTCTTCCTCGCCACAACCCCCCGCGCCTGCCTCTGCATCCTGGAGCCGGATTCTCTCTCACACGCTGACTCACAGTCTCGGGCAGGCGAAAAGTTTTGTCAGCTCGGCCTTGTATGGCAGGGATGGGGATGTGGAGAAGGGGGAGGGTAGAGAGCAAGGGGAGGGGGGGTGGATACAGAGTGACGTGTGGGGCAGCAAGTTTGGGTTCCGACAGATTGACAGCTATGTGGAAGAGGGCAGTGGCGGCAGGTACGTGGAGTGATGGGTGCTGAGGTGAGTTGAGGGCTCTGGTTCCGCTTTTGAGGTGAGTTGAGGGCTCTGGTTCCGCTTTTGAGGTGAGTTGAGGGCTCTGGTTCCGCTTTTGAGGTGAGTTGAGGGCTCTGGTTCCGCTTTTGAGGTGAGTTGAGGGCTCTGGTTCCGCTTTTGAGGTGAGTTGAGGGCTCTGGTTCCGCTTTTGAGGTGAGTTGAGGGCTCTGGTTCCGCTTTTGAGGTGAGTTGAGGGCTCTGGTTCCGCTTTTGAGGTGAGTTGAGGGCTCTGGTTCCGCTTTTGAGGTGAGTTGAGGGCTCTGGTTCCGCTTTTGAGGTGAGTTGAGGGCTCTGGTTCCGCTGTTGAGGTGAGTTGAGGGCTCTGGTTCCGCTTTTGAGGTGAGTTGAGGGCTCTGGTTCCGCTTTTGAGGTGAGTTGAGGGCTCTGGTTCCGCTTTTGAGGTGAGTTGAGGGCTCTGGTTCCGCTTTTGAGGTGAGTTGAGGGCTCTGGTTCCGCTTTTGAGGTGAGTTGAGGGCTCTGGTTCCGCTTTTGAGGTGAGTTGAGGGCTCTGGTTCCGCTTTTGAGGTGAGTTGAGGGCTCTGGTTCCGCTTTTGAGGTGAGTTGAGGGCTCTGGTTCCGCTTTTGAGGTGAGTTGAGGGCTCTGGTTCCGCTTTTGAGGTGAGTTGAGGGCTCTGGTTCCGCTTTTGAGGTGAGTTGAGGGCTCTGGTTCCGCTGTTGAGGTGAGTTGAGGGCTCTGGTTCCGCTTTTGAGGTGAGTTGAGGGCTCTGGTTCCGCTTTTGAGGTGAGTTGAGGGCTCTGGTTCCGCTTTTGAGGTGAGTTGAGGGCTCTGGTTCCGCTTTTGAGGTGAGTTGAGGGCTCTGGTTCCGCTTTTGAGGTGAGTTGAGGGCTCTGGTTCCGCTTTTGAGGTGAGTTGAGGGCTCTGGTTCCGCTTTTGAGGTGAGTTGAGGGCTCTGGTTCCGCTTTTGAGGTGAGTTGAGGGCTCTGGTTCCGCTTTTGAGGTGAGTTGAGGGCTCTGGTTCCGCTGTTGAGGTGAGTTGAGGGCTCTGGTTCCGCTTTTGAGGTGAGTTGAGGGCTCTGGTTCCGCTTTTGAGGTGAGTTGAGGGCTCTGGTTCCGCTTTTGAGGTGAGTTGAGGGCTCTGGTTCCGCTGTTGAGGTGAGTTGAGGGCTCTGGTTCCGCTTTTGAGGTGAGTTGAGGGCTCTGGTTCCGCTGTTGAGGTGAGTTGAGGGCTCTGGTTCCGCTTTTGAGGTGAGTTGAGGGCTCTGGTTCCGCTTTTGAGGTGAGTTGAGGGCTCTGGTTCCGCTTTTGAGGTGAGTTGAGGGCTCTGGTTCCGCTGTTGAGGTGAGTTGAGGGCTCTGGTTCCGCTGTTGAGGTGAGTTGAGGGCTCTGGTTCCGCTTTTGAGGTGAGTTGAGGGCTCTGGTTCCGCTTTTGAGGTGAGTTGAGGGCTCTGGTTCCGCTGTTGAGGTGAGTTGAGGGCTCTGGTTCCGCTTTTGAGGTGAGTTGAGGGCTCTGGTTCCGCTTTTGAGGTGAGTTGAAGGCTCTGGTTCCGCTTTTGAGGTGAGTTGAGGGCTCTGGTTCCGCTTTTGAGGTGAGTTGAGGGCTCTGGTTCCGCTGTTGAGGTGAGTTGAGGGCTCTGGTTCCGCTTTTGAGGTGAGTTGAGGGCTCTGGTTCCGCTTTTGAGGTGAGTTGAGGGCTCTGGTTCCGCTTTTGAGGTGAGTTGAGGGCTCTGGTTCCGCTGTTGAGGTGAGTTGAGGGCTCTGGTTCCGCTGTTGAGGTGAGTTGAGGGCTCTGGTTCCGCTTTTGAGGTGAGTTGAGGGCTCTGGTTCCGCTTTTGAGGTGAGTTGAGGGCTCTGGTTCCGCTGTTGAGGTGAGTTGAGGGCTCTGGTTCCGCTTTTGAGGTGAGTTGAGGGCTCTGGTTCCGCTTTTGAGGTGAGTTGAGGGCTCTGGTTCCGCTTTTGAGGTGAGTTGAGGGCTCTGGTTCCGCTTTTGAGGTGAGTTGAGGGCTCTGGTTCCGCTTTTGAGGTGAGTTGAGGGCTCTGGTTCCGCTTTTGAGGTGAGTTGAGGGCTCTGGTTCCGCTTTTGAGGTGAGTTGAGGGCTCTGGTTCCGCTGTTGAGGTGAGTTGAGGGCTCTGGTTCCGCTTTTGAGGTGAGTTGAGGGCTCTGGTTCCGCTTTTGAGGTGAGTTGAGGGCTCTGGTTCCGCTTTTGAGGTGAGTTGAGGGCTCTGGTTCCGCTTTTGAGGTGAGTTGAGGGCTCTGGTTCCGCTTTTGAGGTGAGTTGAGGGCTCTGGTTCCGCTTTTGAGGTGAGTTGAGGGCTCTGGTTCCGCTTTTGAGGTGAGTTGAGGGCTCTGGTTCCGCTTTTGAGGTGAGTTGAGGGCTCTGGTTCCGCTTTTGAGGTGAGTTGAGGGCTCTGGTTCCGCTGTTGAGGTGAGTTGAGGGCTCTGGTTCCGCTTTTGAGGTGAGTTGAGGGCTCTGGTTCCGCTTTTGAGGTGAGTTGAGGGCTCTGGTTCCGCTTTTGAGGTGAGTTGAGGGCTCTGGTTCCGCTGTTGAGGTGAGTTGAGGGCTCTGGTTCCGCTTTTGAGGTGAGTTGAGGGCTCTGGTTCCGCTGTTGAGGTGAGTTGAGGGCTCTGGTTCCGCTTTTGAGGTGAGTTGAGGGCTCTGGTTCCGCTTTTGAGGTGAGTTGAGGGCTCTGGTTCCGCTTTTGAGGTGAGTTGAGGGCTCTGGTTCCGCTTTTGAGGTGAGTTGAGGGCTCTGGTTCCGCTTTTGAGGTGAGTTGAGGGCTCTGGTTCCGCTTTTGAGGTGAGTTGAGGGCTCTGGTTCCGCTTTTGAGGTGAGTTGAGGGCTCTGGTTCCGCTTTTGAGGTGAGTTGAGGGCTCTGGTTCCGCTTTTGAGGTGAGTTGAGGGCTCTGGTTCCGCTTTTGAGGTGAGTTGAGGGCTCTGGTTCCGCTTTTGAGGTGAGTTGAGGGCTCTGGTTCCGCTGTTGAGGTGAGTTGAGGGCTCTGGTTCCGCTTTTGAGGTGAGTTGAGGGCTCTGGTTCCGCTTTTGAGGTGAGTTGAGGGCTCTGGTTCCGCTTTTGAGGTGAGTTGAGGGCTCTGGTTCCGCTTTTGAGGTGAGTTGAGGGCTCTGGTTCCGCTGTTGAGGTGAGTTGAGGGCTCTGGTTCCGCTTTTGAGGTGAGTTGAGGGCTCTGGTTCCGCTTTTGAGGTGAGTTGAGGGCTCTGGTTCCGCTTTTGAGGTGAGTTGAGGGCTCTGGTTCCGCTTTTGAGGTGAGTTGAGGGCTCTGGTTCCGCTTTTGAGGTGAGTTGAGGGCTCTGGTTCCGCTTTTGAGGTGAGTTGAGGGCTCTGGTTCCGCTTTTGAGGTGAGTTGAGGGCTCTGGTTCCGCTGTTGAGGTGAGTTGAGGGCTCTGGTTCCGCTTTTGAGGTGAGTTGAGGGCTCTGGTTCCGCTTTTGAGGTGAGTTGAGGGCTCTGGTTCCGCTTTTGAGGTGAGTTGAGGGCTCTGGTTCCGCTTTTGAGGTGAGTTGAGGGCTCTGGTTCCGCTGTTGAGGTGAGTTGAGGGCTCTGGTTCCGCTTTTGAGGTGAGTTGAGGGCTCTGGTTCCGCTTTTGAGGTGAGTTGAGGGCTCTGGTTCCGCTTTTGAGGTGAGTTGAGGGCTCTGGTTCCGCTTTTGAGGTGAGTTGAGGGCTCTGGTTCCGCTTTTGAGGTGAGTTGAGGGCTCTGGTTCCGCTTTTGAGGTGAGTTGAGGGCTCTGGTTCCGCTTTTGAGGTGAGTTGAGGGCTCTGGTTCCGCTTTTGAGGTGAGTTGAGGGCTCTGGTTCCGCTTTTGAGGTGAGTTGAGGGCTCTGGTTCCGCTTTTGAGGTGAGTTGAGGGCTCTGGTTCCGCTTTTGAGGTGAGTTGAGGGCTCTGGTTCCGCTTTTGAGGTGAGTTGAGGGCTCTGGTTCCGCTGTTGAGGTGAGTTGAGGGCTCTGGTTCCGCTTTTGAGGTGAGTTGAGGGCTCTGGTTCCGCTGTTGAGGTGAGTTGAGGGCTCTGGTTCCGCTTTTGAGGTGAGTTGAGGGCTCTGGTTCCGCTGTTGAGGTGAGTTGAGGGCTCTGGTTCCGCTTTTGAGGTGAGTTGAGGGCTCTGGTTCCGCTTTTGAGGTGAGTTGAGGGCTCTGGTTCCGGGTACGTGCGCTGTTGCCTTTCTCTTCCACACGCTTGTCCTTTCCTTCCCTCTTCTTGCTCATCCTTTCTCCTCGCGTCGTACTCTGCTTGCTCTCCTTTCCTCCCCTCTCCCCCCTCCTCCCCCCTTTCCTCTTCCGCCTTCCCTCTTCCTTTCTATCTATTGCATCCTTCCCTCTTCTCTTGTTCGCGTATCGCATGTCTCGTTCATACCCCTCCATCCATTCCCATTATCCGTATGCCTCGGCTCCCTTCACAGAGTGCTCCCCCATCACTGCCTGCCTGCTCCCCCTCCCCCATCCGTGTCCACATATTCTGTATCTGCTCGTGTACCAGGGTTTTTCACATCAACGACTGCCCGCTCTTTTGTGCTTCCCCATCTATGTCCACATGCACTGTATCTGCTCTTGTCGTGTACCAGGTTTTCTTTCATCAACGGTTGCCCATGCTTTTGTGCTTCCCTCCCATCTATGTCCGTCCACATGCTCTGTATGTGCTCTTGTCGTGTACCAGGGTATTTTTCATCAACGGCTGCCCGCTCTTCATACGCGGGACCAATTGGATCGTCTCGGACGCGATGCTGCGCCTCTCAGCGGAGCGCTACTGGGCAGAGATGAAACTTTTCGCGTGTGGGCGGGGGCTCTCATGGAACGGCCTGAGTTCTACAACGCCTGTGACCAGCTGGGGATCCTGGTGAGGGTTTGGGGGTGAGCTTGGAGGGGGGTGAGCTTGGAGGGGGGTGAGCTTGGAGGGGGGTGAGTCTGGAGGGGGGTGAGTCTGGAGGGGGGTGAGCTTGGAGGAGGGTGAGCTTGGAGGAGGGTGAGCTTGGAGCTATGATGGATTTGACACGCTCAGCGTTTTGACTCTGAGTCAAAACGCTAGCGTTTTGACGCTATTGACGCCCCCTGTCTGAGGGGTACCCCCAGTTTGACGCTCGGGCGGGCAGACAAGAAAACATCCCGGGAAGGGGAAAAAAAACTGGGAACAGTGGGGCTAGTAAGAGAGGTTGGGGGGGGGGGGGGGGGGGGCAGGAGTTGTAGGACATGTGGGGCAGTCATGGAAGGGGTTTCCAAAGGAGAATTGTGGTGAAGTACTAGGGGATGGGTCGGGTTGAGTAGTTTCAAAGGGGTGAAGGGTGGTTCAGGTGTTGGTTTGGTTGGGGCCTGTTTTGGGGTTTCAAGATGTCGAGTTCTATTTGGCAGGGCGCGTTTTGAGCGCGGAATTTCGATTTTGTATATTTTTTTTTCTTGTTTTTTTTTTCAAAATCAAGCTGCCCGAAATTTTTTACCAGTAGCGTCAAGCGTCAAAACGGATTGACGCGTCAAGAGTCAAAACGTGGCGTTTTGACCCTTGACGTTTTCAGTTTTTGGAGTCAAATCCATCATAGGCTTGGAGGAGGGTGAGCTTGGAGGAGGGTGAGCTTGGAGTAGGGTGAGCTTGGAGTAGGGTGAGCTTGGAGTAGGGTGAGCTTGGAGTAGGGTGAGCTTGGAGTGGGGTGAGCTTGGAGTGGGGTGAGCTTGGGGTGGGGCGGGAGTTGGAGTTGGAGTGGGGCGGGGGCTCTCATGGAACGGCCTGAGTTTTACGATGCCTGCGACCGCCTCGGGATTCTGGTGAGGGGTGGGGCTTGGGGTGGGGTGGGAGTGGGAGTGGGCGGGATGAGTGGGTGGGCGGGGGGCACTCATGGAACGGCCTAAGTTTTATGACGCCTGTGAATGGGTGGGGATTATGGTGAGTGGTTGGGGTTGGGGTGGGGTGGGGTTTAGCGAGGGGTGGGGGCTGCATGGGGGTTGATTGAAATGAGGGCTTTCTTGGGCTTTGAAAGCTCTATAACATTCATTCACTGGGAATTTGGGATTGCTGGCCTGGCGTCTTGGGAATGGCATACAGGTTGCTTTTGAAATTCTTCAATAGTGACTTGAATAATCCAGTGTAACAGTTATCTGTCAAGAAGACCTTGAGGCATGTCTGAAGGTCTCGAGCCCTCTCTGACCGCCAGAGAGGGCTCGAGTTCTCTCCACAGTTGTGTTTTGAGGCGCCTCAAAACTCGACCTCTCTGACCGTTAGAGAGGGCTCGAGTTCTCTCCACAGTTGTGTTTTGAGGCGCCTCAAAACTCGACCTCTCTGACCGCCAGAGAGGGCTCGAGTTCTCTCCACAGTTGTGTTTTGAGGCGCCTCAAAACTCGACCTCTCTGACCGCCAGAGAGGGCTCGAGTTCTCTCCACAGTTGTGTTTTGAGGCGCCTCAAAACTCGACCTCTCTGACCGCCAGAGAGGGCTCGAGTTCTCTCCACAGTTGTGTTTTGAGGCGCCTCAAAACTCGACCTCTCTGACCGCCAGAGAGGGCTCGAGTTCTCTCCACAGTTGTTTCTGCTTTTGAGTCGACTCAAAAAGAGGGCTCGAGTTCTCTCCACAGTTGTTTCTGCTTTTGAGTCGACTCAAAAAGAGGGCTCGAGTTCTCTCCACAGTTGTTTCTGCTTTTGAGTCGACTCAAAAAGAGGGCTCGAGTTCTCTCCACAGTTGTTTCTGCTTTTGAGTCGACTCAAAAAGAGGGCTCGAGTTCTCTCCACAGTTGTTTCTGCTTTTGAGTCGACTCAAAAAGAGGGCTCGAGTTCTCTCCACAGTTGTTTCTGCTTTTGAGTCGACTCAAAAAGAGGGCTCGAGTTCTCTCCACAGTTGTTTCTGCTTTTGAGTCGACTCAAAAAGAAGGCTCGAGTTCTCTCCACAGTTGTTTCTGCTTTTGAGTCGACTCAAAAAGAGGGCTCGAGTTCTCTCCACAGTTGTTTCTGCTTTTGAGTCGACTCAAAAAGAGGGCTCGAGTTCTCTCCACAGTTGTTTCTGTTCTATGGCTTTCGGATTGGTACATGCATCTACTCTACTGCCATGCATTCCCTTGGCATCACGAGCCGCAGGATCTTCAAGACTTGAATTGAAACGGTGTAACCTGTTCTCGCTCGGTTCTATGTCGCCGCGAAGGTTCTATTTATGCTGTTCAAGAGTGCTCATGATGTTCTTGCTCACATTGCTCTATGTCGCAACATCCTTCATGGGTGTGGCGGGTTTGTTGGATGACGGCAGGCATCTGCAGCGGCCGGGCCAGGGTCTGCCCCACTTGGTGTGTTGTGAATCGAAACAAGCATGACCAAACATGAACACCTATCCTACTATTCCCTTGCACACAGGTGTGGCAGGAGTTTTGGATCACGGGCGACTGCAACGGCCGCGGCCTGCCCCCGTCAGACCCCTCCTGGCCGCTGGACCACCGCCTCTTCCTCTCCTGTGCGCAAGACAGCGTCCGCATGCTGCGCAACCATGCCAGCCTGGCGCTCTGGGTGGGCGGCAACGAGACCGTGCCCGCTGCTGACCTCAATGACTCGCTCAAGAGCATGCTGCGCTTTTATAAAGGTGCGTGGGATGGTGTGTGGGGTTGTTTGGGATGGTGTGGGATGGTGTCGGGCTGTGTGGGACTGTGTGGGCTGGTGTGTGGAGTGGTGTGGGATGGTGTGTTTGGTGCATTGGGTGATTGGCCTCCATTCAGCATCCGGAAACCCCAATATTTCGACTGCACTTTGCCTCCGAGTCTTCGTGGACCCGTTTCTCTGTTGTGTTATCCAACTCCTCTATTTGTTCATCACCCCCCTTCTCCCCCCTTTCTCCCCGCCTCCGTCCCTCCTCTCACAGCTAAGTCAGACCCAGACCCGTCACTACTGCTGGACGGCACAAGGGCATACATAGAGGGCTCCCTATGGAGCGGCAGCTTTGCCGACAGCCAGGGTGGCTGGATCACCCTCCCCTGCCTCCCCTTCTACCCAACCCCCCATCCCTCCTTCCCCAGCCGAATCAGATCAGGACCCCTCACTACTGCTGGACGGCACAAGGGCGTACATAGAGGGCTCCCTATGGGGCGGCTTTGCCGACAGCAAGGGAGGCTGGACGGACGGGCCTTATGGCATCCAGAACCCTGAAGATTTCTTCTGCCCGGATTACTACCCGTACGCGTTTAACCCCGAGATCGGGTCCGTTGGGGTGCCCGAGGCGGAAAGCTTGCACGAGTTTTTTCCCGAGAGTGATTGGAGCCCGCCGGTGTTTGGGAGGGCGTGGGAGGAGTGTGGAGGGGAGTGTGTGGAGGAGGAGAGTGAGGGGTGGAAGGTGCATACGTACATACCGTATGGCATGGTGGGAGTGGAGTCAGATGGTGGGGGCGAGGTGGGTGGAGGAGGGGCGAGACGGCAAGCAGGCAGGCAACAGCAAGCAGGTGTGCTGCAGCAAGGAGTTGTTATTGGATTGGAGCAGGGGGGAGAAGGAGAGGAAGCGAGGATGCAGGAGGCAGCAGAAGGGAGGGTGAATTGGAAGAGGGGGTCGGTGCGAGTGAAGAACCAGATCCTCACGTATGGGCCCGTGGAGGGACTTGATGACTTCTGTGCCAAAGTGAGTGCACTGGTGCAGGGCCGCATGTAAGCGGGGGTGGGTGCAAGGGAAGTGGAAGAGGGGGTCAGTGCGAGTGGGCAGGGGCGCGTGGGAGTGGGCAGGGGCGCGTGGGAGTGGGCAGGGGCGCGTGGGAGTGGGCAGGGGCGCGTGTGAGTGGGCAGGGGCGCGTGGGAGTGGGCAGGGGCGCGTGCGAGTGGGAGTGGGTGCAAGGGAAGTGGAAGAGGGGGTCGGTACGAGTGAAGAACCAGATCCTCACTTCACGTATGGCCCAATCTTTTAGTCGACTAATAAAAAAACAGGTCCTTACATATGGCCCTGTGGATGGGCTCGATGACTTCTGTGCCAAGGTGAGTGAGGAGTCATGCTGCGGGGTGGTCAAGGATGCAACATTGTCTCCATCCCTCCCAGTATCTTGTCCGTGTGACTTTTGAGAATTCTCAAAAGTCACAAGCTGAGCGAGGAGCCATGCTGCGGGGTGGTCAAGGATGCAACATTATCTCCATCCCTCCCAGTATCTTGTCTGCAGCCTGGCAAGCTGTTGTGCTTTGCATTATTCTTCCACAAGGACTCATCTCATCTTCATTCCAGCTAGTCACGCCCCAATTTGTGCCATATGCCATGCCATGTGCCATCCATAAGCCATTCAGCCATATGGTCTCAAGACGCTGTGGATGTCTGGCACGTTTCTAAACTCCTCGCCTCCCCATCCACCCCGCCAGGCCCAGCCCGCCAGCTTCTTGCAGTACCGTTCCCTCTTCGAAGCATGGAGCGCACGCTTTATGGGTGGAGGCACGCAAGGGTGCTGCTGTGCTGCCAATGCGTGACACATCTCAAAACCCCTCTCTCCACGAATGTCCACCCCACCAGGCCCAGATCGCCAACTACTTGCAGTACCGGTCGCTCTTTAAGGCTTGTGGCGTGTGCATGTGGCGTGCGTACATACACCGGTTATACACATCTCAAACGTCCCAAAACGCCTGCCCTCCCCTCCACCCCACCAGGCCCAGCTCGCCAACTACCTGCAGTACCGGTCACTGTTTGAGGCATGGAGCGCGCGCATGTGGGAGCGGTACACAGGGGTGCTGCTGTGGAAGGGGCAGAACCCCTGGGGGGGGCTGCGCGGGCAGCTGTACGACCACCTGCTGGCCGCCACTGGCGGGCTGTTCGGCGTGCGCTGTGCCCTGGAGCCCATTCACGTGCAGCTGGACTTACACTCGGGCAAAGTGCAGGTACGTGTGTGTGGTGATTGTGTGCCGTGTGGCGATTGTGTGCCGTGTGGCGATTGTGTGCCGTGTGGCGATTGTGTGCCGTGTGGCGATTGTGTGCCGTGTGGCGATTGTGTGCCGTGTGGCGATTGTGTGCCGTGTGGCGATTGTGTGCCGTGTGGCGATTGTGTGCCGTGTGGCGATTGTGTGCCGTGTGGCGATTGTGTGCCGTGTGGCGAGTGTGTGCATCTGCGGTTGTGGCAAGCAGCTTCAATCAGTGCCACCTGTTATGGGCATTCTCATATGGGAGCTGTGTTTGCAGTGTGCTGTTCCGTGCAGCCCCTTCACGTGCAGTTGGACCTGCACTCGGGGCAAGTGCAGATGTGTGGTGGTCGTGCAGATGTGTGGTGCTCGTGCAGATGTGTGGTGGTCGTGCAGATGTGTGGTGGTCGTGCAGATGTGTGGTGCTCGTGCAGATGTGTGGTGGTCGTTTGACTGCGGTAAGCAGTCAGTTGCCACCTGTTTGCGGGCTGTACGGCGTGCGCTGTGCTGTGCGCTGAACTTTATTCACGTGCCGCAGCACCTGCACTCGGGGCACATGCAGGTGTGGGGGGTGCATGGGGTGTATGGTGATTGTGTGATTGTGGCAATGTCCTGTTCCTGTTCAGCTGCTTCCTGTTCTGCCCAATGTCAGCCGTCTTGGGCATGCCATGTGCCTTGAAGGAACCCGTTCAGTGCACCTGGACAGCACCTGGACCTTCCTGGGAGATACATTCAACCTGCACCTGGACCTTCCTGGGAGATACATTCAACCTGCACCTGGACCTTCCTGGGAGATACATTCAACCTGCACCTGGCACATGCCTTGAAGGAGCCCATTCACGCACACCTGGACCATCCCAACCGTCTCCCCCTCCTCTCTCCGTTCCCCCACTCCCCTCTCCCGCCCATCAGGTGGTCAACACCACACCCCATGCTCTCTCCTCCCTCTCTGTGGAAGCTTCCATCCACCTTCCCAGCGGCCATTGCCTGTGGCACGCCTCCTCCTCCCTCCCCGCCTCTTTCACGCCCCCACCTGCTCCCCACTCACTCGCCTGCCCGCCGTTTTCATGCACAGAGACTCAGCTTCAGGTGAGGACAGCATGGGCTCAGGTGTGGGCAGGACAGGTTCGGGTGAGGGCAGCAGGTGGGGGAATGAGAGTTGGATGCAAGGGAGCACAGCTGCAGGCACATATGGATGTGTTAGCACAGAACCTATTGCACTTGCCAGCATGCACACATGCGGTCATGCAGGCATGGATCAGTCCCACTCGCTCCCATCCCTGCCAACAACCATCCCAGCCGCAAGCCTTTCTCCGTCCGCTCTGGAATGTTATCTTTCATATTCTATCTTTTTACCTTTCATCCGACATATTTCTGAACCTTCCCACCCTTTCCCACGCAATCCACCATGCCCTACTCGCATGCCTTTCCTCCCCATCGTTCCCCCCCTCTACTCCATCCCCCCAGGTGCACCTCCCACGCCTCCCCGTCTCCCCTCCCAGCCCACCCCCCACCGTCTTCCTCCTCCTCCGCCTGCTCCACTTCCCTGACCCTACCACATCCTCCTCCCAAAATCTCCCATCCTCCCCATACCACACCGGCTCCTCGCCGCACCTCCCACCAATGCCATCTCTTTCCGCGGGCAGTCGTGCAACCAATGCCCGCACAGTGTCGCGCAGCCTCTACTGGCTCACTGCACTGCCTCCCGCTGCACCCGGCACTGCCCCTGCAGCATCGCCACCAGCAGCACTGTCAGCACCAGCAGGACCATCAACTCCGGTAGCAGTATCAGCAGCACCATCAGAGCCATCAACGCCATCAGCATCATCTGCACCAGCAGCACCAGCAGCACCATCAGAAGCATTACCACCATCAGCACAATTTCACAATACTAGCACCATCACCCCCTTTTCCCCCCTTTCTCGCTCAAGCCCCTCTCCTCCCTGCGTCCCCTCCGCCCTCTCCACTCCCTCCGATCCCTCCCCTACCTCCTCGGCCTCAGCCCTCCTGCCCTTCTCCTCCTCCTCCCCCACCCCCTCCTCCCCCTCCTCTCTCGCCCCTTCCTCCGCCCCCTCCGCCCCCCCGCCCGCCTACGCCTATCTGGGTGATTTCCGTGCCCTGGGAGGCCCCTTCCGCCAGCACAAGCTGCGCCTCTCCCTCTCCCTCCTCCGCGTCTCCTCCGCCCCTCCCCTGGGTGAGGCAGGGATGCATCTACCACCCAGTGAGGCCCATGGAGGGAGGTCTATCTGGTGGAGGGCGTATCTGCTGGTGAGCAATCCTGTGAATGGAGGCGTTTTGGATGGAAGGCAGAGCGCAGATCGGCAAGGAAACGGAGGAGCAGCAGTGGGGGGGCGCACTGGGACTTTGAATGAGCCTGCTGCAGGAGTGAATGAGGACGAGAGCGTTGCTGGAGGTGTGGCGTTCTTTGTCCGTTTCAATGTGCGCCGGCGGGTGGACGGCAAGAGGGTGCTTCCTGCAGTGTACTCTGAGAATTACCTCTCGCTGCTACCTGGTGAGGAGGTCACTGTACAGGTGGAGTTCGCTCATGAGCCTTGCTCTGCATGCGTTGAGGGAAGTCCCTCCAGTGGCTCGAGCTGTTCAGGCTGCAAGTGTGACAAGGGAATGTATGTTGAACTGACTGGCTGGAATGTTTTTACGTCTTCTTGTGATGTCCCATTGCTGAATCCTTGAACCTTATGCTTGTGGGAAAATGGATCAGCAGGGTTAGAATCAGGATATGTGTGTGTGCTTATCTCCACATTGCTCTGACTTTGATCACCTCCATGTGTAATGGTAGTATGAATGATAAGCTTGGTAGGTCTGCGTTGGTTGACAGGTTCTGGTGCATAGAGCGCTACATACAGAGCAGTCTGCCCCAAAACCAAATAGAGGGCTTGCTCGTGGGGTGGCGTTATTAAATCGATCCAAGATCCTGGCAGAAAAACTGATTCAGCACATTTAAATTGCTGGAACAGCCCACTTGCCTTGCATTGTTGCTTACGGCATTTTGTGAGTGTTGTTTCAAAATTCACAGAGGTTCTCCAAACCAGACGACAAATTGCTGGAAAGGCAATGCGTATACGGTGCACGACATATACACCAAGATCCCCTCTTTTTCTTATGCTACCAAATATGGATATGCTGTGAAGGAATCAGACATGATGAATCCTTGTTTTACTGGTTTTTTTTTTTGGTGGATTAACCGCCTTGTACCGTATGCCCATCAGTGTTTCAGTAACATATTGTTTGTTCATCAGTTGCTTGTTCGGGGAGATATAACGTCTCGACTTTTGGGCTTCGTATTCGGCCTGCTTCTGAGATCACAAACTCCAACCTCGGTGGCGCCACGTGGAATTTTCGCAACCAACCACAACACTCCTCAATATTTCGCAACCGGCAATTAGGACGTCGAGGTAGACCTATCTGTGCCCTTGTCGTCTACGTTCCGTCAGAACGTCAGTCACTGGATCCCCCCCTTGCACCTTGCCTTGCCGAGCCAATTGTCTCCCACTCACCCGCCAGCTGAAGTTTGGGGTTTGGACTCCATTCTCGCCCTTTCTGCCTCCTCCCTGAATTCAGAGCCCTTCTCCTAACTCAGGTAGGTTAGGTTCTAATGGCTGCTTGACTTATTCTTGCCATTCGCGTTGCAGTCGGATCATCGGTTAAGCTTATCCGCTGTTCCATTATGTCGTATTGATCGCTGCGTTCGTGACGGGCTAATCATATAATTTGTTTCGTTGTTGTTGGTTTGTTTGTTTGTTTGTTTGTTTTTTTCTGCTGAACGTCGACCCATTTCAGGTTGCCAACATGGGTAAGGAAAAGTTGCACATCAACATTGTCGTCATCGGCCATGTCGACTCCGGCAAGTCGACGACGACTGGTCATCTCATCTACAAGCTGGGTGGGATTGACAAGCGTGTGATTGAGCGTTTCGAGAAGGAAGCCGCTGAAATGAACAAGAGGTCCTTCAAGTACGCCTGGGTGCTAGACAAGCTCAAGGCGGAGCGCGAGCGTGGTATTACCATCGATATCGCTCTGTGGAAGTTCGAGACCAACAAGTACTACTGCACGGTCATTGACGCTCCCGGCCATCGCGATTTCATCAAGAACATGATTACGGGAACCTCGCAGGTCAGCTGATTGCGCTCCATCGTTTTTGTTCGGAGTTCTGGTTTCTTTTGTCTCATTCCATGCGCTGAGTGCCCGATCTGACCTAATTTGGCATGTCTATTACAGGCTGACTGCGCTGTTCTGATCATCGACTCCACCACTGGTGGTTTCGAGGCCGGTATTTCCAAGGATGGTCAGACCCGTGAGCACGCTCTGCTGGCGTTCACCCTTGGTGTGAAGCAGATGATCTGCTGCTGCAACAAGGTAAGCGGTTCGCGTATCATCCTATTTTGCCGTCCACATCCTTTCTCGATGTTTGGCGGCTTAATCCGTTAAAACATTTATAATTTCGTTGATCCCTGCTGCCATGGTCGTATTTCCAAGTATCGGCCGTAGTCCTCTGGTATTGACGCTGATTTTGTTGCGTTCTGCAGATGGATGCCACCACCCCCAAGTACTCCAAGGCTCGTTACGAGGAAATCGTGAAGGAGGTGTCGTCGTACCTGAAGAAGGTCGGCTACAACCCTGACAAGATTCCCTTCGTGCCCATCTCTGGTTTCGAGGGTGACAACATGATTGAGCGCTCTACCAACCTGGACTGGTACAAGGGCCCCACCCTGCTGGAGGCTCTGGATCAGGTGTCCGAGCCCAAGAGGCCGTCCGACAAGCCCCTGCGTCTGCCCCTTCAGGACGTGTACAAGATCGGCGGTATTGGAACAGTTCCGGTCGGTCGAGTGGAGACTGGTGTGCTGAAGCCCGGTATGGTTGTGGTGTTCGCTCCCAGCGGTCTGACCACTGAGGTTAAGTCGGTGGAGATGCACCACGAGTCTCTGCCCGAGGCTGGCCCCGGTGACAACGTTGGCTTCAACGTGAAGAACGTGTCGGTGAAGGAGCTCAAGCGTGGCTACGTCGCGTCTGACTCGAAGAACGACCCCGCCAGGGAGGCTGCCAACTTCACCTCGCAGGTCATCATCATGAACCACCCTGGCCAGATCGGTAACGGCTACGCGCCTGTGCTGGATTGCCACACGTCCCACATTGCTGTGAAGTTCTCTGAGATTATCACCAAGGTGGACAGGCGTTCCGGCAAGGAGCTGGAGAAGGAGCCCAAGTTTGTGAAGAACGGTGATGCTTGCTTCGTGAAGATGGTTCCCACCAAGCCCATGTGCGTCGAGACCTTCTCCGAGTACCCTCCTCTTGGACGCTTCGCTGTGCGTGACATGAGGCAAACAGTGGCTGTCGGTGTCATCAAGAGCGTTGAGAAGAAGGATCCCTCCGGTGCCAAGGTGACCAAGGCTGCGGCCAAGAAGAAGTGAATGCTGGCAACAGTTGAGAGTGTTATGGGTGTTAGCTTGTGTCACCAGTTTCTTATCCTTGAGTGGGCCACTTGTGGCTTGGCCTTGTCGCGGATAATGCTTTCCAGGCGGTTGCAGACGTGGGTGTTGGACAGGCGGTGGCAGGGCTTTGAAGTACTACGTGTGTTTTGGACTATTCGTTGAGAACAAGTTGGTTTTGACATTCTTTTTGAATGCAAACGGTTACAAGGACAGCATCAAGGGAACTGTCAGCATGCAGCTTGTCCATGCTACCTCCAGCATCCTGATGGGAACTGTATGTGGTTGCTTGGACTTCATGGTTGACGTGTTATTATTTCTGTTACTTGATACCAGTCTTCTGGTTTTATCTTTTGACGAGAGGGATGAGCTTGGGCTGTAGAGTGTATTGAATGGCAAGTGTTTGAACAGACTACTGTATGCCGAGCCTCACAGATAACAGAGATGTCGCATCGCAAACAGACTTACCGACCATTCAAACTGCTCTGATAGGTCACCTCACTTTCAACAATGTTGCTCCTCTGTCTGCCACGCGTCCAACGCTAGCTCACTTGTCTCTCGCCCTTTGCCTCATCGTAATCTCGCCGTACGATTCCGCATCGTTGTTGTTCAGTCGTCCGATCCTTCGGGCATCGGTTCTGCTTTTCGTTTGCGTTGCGCCGTTGAGGCTCCGCACCACAGTCACGCCATGCCAAACGTCACTGGACGGCAGATTGGTGCAACTAGCTCGTTCCACGAGCCTTCCACAGGTTCTCTCCACCCCAGGCAATTGTTGGGGGGAGGGGGGAGGGAACAAGTGAAAGGAGGAAGGGGATGGGGGGGAAAGGATGCATGCGCGGAGCGCGAGGAGCGGGTAGCGCTGGTAGCGCGGGGAACATACAGAGGGAGGGTCCGAGTCGACTTAGGGATTTGGTGATTGGCTGAAGGCGCAAGAATGGAGGGACGGAGCCGCCGACCAAAGCGGAAAAATTCCGACTGGGAGACGAAAGAACCAGCCGACCAAGCACAGGAAGCAACAATCACCCGACCTAGAAATAAGCACGGCTCGTGCTTCGGACTCAACCAGAATCCCAGCTTCTTCTTTTCTTTGTAAGTACTCCTCGCCGACTCTCATTCCCCGCTCACGCGTGGTTCAATACGCTCCGCCTTTCAGGAACTCTGTCTCTCGTATTCGCCGAGGCGACTCGATTATTCAAGAGAAACTGCTCCCTTGTCGCGCGCCCTTCCGTCGTCGCCATGACTCGCTCGCTTGCCGCGATTGCCCTCACGACCACAGCGCTCGTCTTTCTGCTCTGTACGCGCTGATCCTTCTTTCTCCCTTCGGAGACCCGGAGTCCGACTCTCTCGAGTCGTTCCGTGGACCGCCCCTTTGCTCCATGTGACTCTGCGTCGTTACTTCCTCGCGACTCCCGCGTTTCTCGCATCAACCTCATGCTTAGCCTCGACTTCCGCCGCGTTCGGTTTCTCATGGCTGTTTGGCCACCTACTCACTTTCTTGCTTCTTGAAGAGTCTCTGCCGCCAGTCTGTCACACCCCCCTGGTCCTGCTCTGCTGCTCTCCTGTTCTTCTGCGCTTGTTCACCCATCATCGCGCTCCTGGAAGCCTTTGTTTCCGTTACTCGCTCATCCCCCCCCGCTTTCCCCCTTCCTGTGTCTTTTCTTTTCTTTCTCCCCTCTGCTTCCCCCCACCCCCCCCCCCTCCACACATCCCCTGGTGGCAGGCGCAATCCAATCAGAGGTACTGCTCTCTCACCCTCCTGTCTCTTGCCTCTTGCTCTCCTACCCTCCTGCCTCTTGCCTCTTTCTTGCTCTCTTGCCCTCCTGCCTTCTCCCCTGTCTCTCACATGCTCCCCTGTCGTCATGCCTTTTCCTCCTGTCACATCGCACTGCAATTATGAGTCTATTACTCAAAGACTCCTTTCTTTCTGAGTCATACTCGTCATTCCTCCTGTACTCGTTTGGTCCGCCTCGATTCTCGCTCACAACTCACCTCTGTTCTTGCCCTCGCATCTCCATCTCACCCTCTCCGCACATTTCTGCACCATCCCTCCATCTGTGTGCCTCTCTCTTCATCTCATTGTCTCCTCACCCTCTGTATCTTTGTGTCTTCGTCTTCCTCGCTGCCATCGCCTTGCCCAACAGGCGAAGGTGTTCACAGTGGGCGGCAGTGGGTTGAGTCCGTGGGGATACGGCGTGAAGAAGTGGAAGCCCAAGGGCGTCATTCACGCCGGAGACACTCTCGGTACACCTCCTTCACCCTCTGCACTCCTCGCACCCACACTACCCCTCCTTGGCAGTGGTCGTTGCAAGGGGATGCAATTTCCAAGAAGGGCAGACTTATCGGTTCCACTGGTTGCAATGTTCTTCGTTTTATAATCCTCTGCTCTAGGATTCATTCTTCTTACAGCGCTCCCCTGACGTGTTATTGCTGCATTGCTTATATTGGTCCGTCTTATTCCACTGGCCTCACTCCCCCCAGTGACCTCATCCAACCTCACTTCCCTGTGCGTCCCTGCCTCTGTCTGCGTCACTGCCTGCAGTGTTCAAGTGGAGGGGCATCCCGCATGACGTGTGGATCATGAACACCATGGACGCGTACAACAACTGTGACTTTGGGGCGGCCACTAGGAAGACTGGCATCACATCTGTGGGGAAGTACAAGTGAGTGTGTAAAGCGCTTCTTGAGATGAGACAATGCACTGTGGGCATGCATGCTACCTGCGGCTTTGGGGCGGCTAGTAAGAAGACTGGCATGTTGAATCTTTGCGGAGTTGGACACCTTGCTGGTGTCTTGGGTTTCTGCTGCGACTACCACAGCCCTTCATTCAAGCATCTGCGAAGTTTCTTGTTATAGGAGTTTCTTGCTCTCAAGTTGAGGCGATTGTTGCCATCCTGTGTTGCAAGTTTTTCTGGGATGGCTTTGCCTTGCGCTGTCCACTCATCGTTTGAATCGTGTGTCAGGTACAAGGTTCCAGCTTCAGCAAAAGGCACATCGATTCTCTTCTCCTGCAGTGTGCCTGGCCACTGCTCCGCATTCAACATGAAAGTGGCTGTACCGATCCATGCATAAGTAAAAACTACTTTTTTTTTTCCTGCGTCCTTTGTTTCATGCGTGCCGCTGTTAGCAAATCTTGTCAATATGTACGTTTCCTGCTTGTATATAACTGCTTTATTGAAGAATGAAGTGAAGCCACAGCAAGCTTTTGACAGCAAATCAAGTTGTTCTAGCATTGATACAACTGCACAAATGATACGATAAACCTTCGCATGTACGAGGAAATTGTTGGTTGTTTTGAGAGGATGATGATAAACCTTTGCCCAACAAACTACAGGCACCGTTGCTCACCTCACTCCGAAGAACACTCCTCGCTGGACCCGACGATCTTCTTGTCCCAGTGGTTGACGCAGAGGAAGTGGTTGACATAGCGTGGAAGCACAGTACAGTACCATTCAGGCGCTGGTTTTGGTTTGAAATGAAAGCCTTCACCTGCCAGCTCACCGGGGTTGTCCTTCAACGCTCACAAGAAACTGCCTGCATTCCTTCCGCATCGCACGGGTACAGTAACAACAAGGCAATGGGCCGCCACCGCCATCCCTTACTCGCCATTTCCGTCTCGTTGTCGTTGAGGGGCAAAACAAGATTCACCACCACCAGAGCAAAGCCGTTTTTTGCTCACCTTTCAAGGCGGCCGCAGACAATAAGCTCATACGTTACTACGCACTTTAACTGGATACCAGCCGTCACGTCCCGAGTGTCCTCCTTTCGTGCGACAAGAACCACTTGTCTCATTTCTGTATTTAAATGTTGCTATTCACCATCCGTTTTCCCAGGCTCAACGTTTCCGGAATATCGCGGCTTCACCCGAATCTCGCGAGTCGCGAGTCAAGAATCCCATTTAGTTTATCCAAGAAACGAGGCCTCTCATTTCTGTCAGTACGACTATCTCCGTATATTCCGCTCATCTCATCAGCACAGCACACCACTGAAACGACTGGTGCTATTCTCGTCGCGCTCTCTGCTGCTCCACTCGTCCTGCGCGCCTCGTCAGCATATAGACTCCATCGTCCGTATCTAGACTCCGAGTCGGTCAGCATTGCCGTCGTCAGTGCGAGCGTGTCTGAGGCCCATCCAGCAACATGCAACGGCTGCCGCCGGCCGTGGCGTCCGCTGCAGTCGCCGTGACGGCGCTACTGCTCGCGGCCATGCTCGCGACAAGAGTTGACGGACAAGCTGATCTTACATGTGAGTCGGGCCTGGACTGCGATGGCTACAATGGTGTTGGCCATTCAATGGTGATGGCTGTATCGTAGATTGGGTTAAGATGAAAGGCGTTTTTTCTCGCCAATAAGACAGACTTAGGATGCCTCCAATTCTTATTCCATTTCCCTATGCCCTTGGTTTGAGTCTGTTACTCTTTTACCATGCCTCTTCTTCCCATGTGCCGCTGTTCTGCCTCCCATCCCATGTGTCTCTGCTCTGCCTCCCATCCCATGTGTCTCTGCTCTGCCTCCCATCCCATGTGTCTCTGCTCTGCCTCCCATCCCATGTGTCTCTGCTCTGCTTCCCATCCCATGTGTCTCTGCCTCGCCTCCCATCCCATGTGTCTCTGCTCTGCCTCCCATCTCATGTGTCTCTGCTCTGCCTCCCATCCCATGTGTCTCTGCTCTGCCTCCCATCCCATGTGTCTCTGCTCTGCCTCCCATCCCATGTGTCTCTGCTCTGCCTCCCATCCCATGTGTCTCTGCTCTGCCTCCCATCCCATGTGTCTCTGCTCTGCCTTTCATCCCATGTGTCTCTGCTCTGCCTTTCATCCCATGTGTCTCTGCTCTGCCTTTCATCCCATGTGTCTCTGCTCTGCCTTTCATCCCATGTGTCTCTGCTCTGCCTTTCATCCCATGTGTCTCTGCTCTGCCTTTCATCCCATGTGTCTCTGCTCTGCCTTTCATCCCATGTGTCTCTGCTCTGCCTTTCATCCCATGTGTCTCTGCTCTGCCTTTCATCCCATGTGTCTCTGCTCTGCCTTTCATCCCATGTGTCTCTGCTCTGCCTTTCATCCCATGTGTCTCTGCTCTGCCTTTCATCCCATGTGTCTCTGCTCTGCCTTTCATCCCATGTGTCTCTGCTCTGCCTTTCATCCCATGTGTCTCTGCTCTGCCTTTCATCCCATGTGTCTCTGCTCTGCCTTTCATCCCATGTGTCTCTGCTCTGCCTTTCATCCCATGTGTCTCTGCTCTGCCTTTCATCCCATGTGTCTCTGCTCTGCCTTTCATCCCATGTGTCTCTGCTCTGCCTTTCATCCCATGTGTCATCAAATCCTGCATTATTTGAGGCATCTCAACTCCTGTGCTGCCAGGAGGATCACGCATTTATCTCCTTTCTCACTGTCGCCAACTACCATTTCCCGAGCTCGAATATTCCGCCCCATGCTATTGCTCAGACTCGTCGTGCTCACCTTCCTCTCGTCGTTCCACACACTCCCCCCTCTCCGTCACCACATTAAACGCCTTTCCACATCAAAGTATTTTCCATTTAAGCTCTCCCTTTGCGCATGCCGTGTCCCTGCCCTCTGCCTGCTCATCCATATGTCCCAGCCCTCTGCCTGCTCATCCATATGTCCCTGCCCTCTGCCTGCTCATCCATATGTCCCTGCCCTCTGCCTGCTCATCCATATGTCCCTGCCCTCTGCCTGCTCATCCATATGTCCCTGCCCTCTGCCTGCTCATCCATATGTCCCTGCCCTCTGCCTGCTCATCCATATGTCCCTGCCCTCTGCCTGCTCATCCATATGTCCCTGCCCTCTGCCTGCTCATCCATATGTCCCTGGGAATCCAGATAAAGGTGCCCTTTCCAAACGTGTCTGTCCCCCTCCCACCCTTGCCGCCAAGCCAGCAGAGACACGGACGTGGCAGCAGGCGGGTGTGTGCATGCAGCATGCATGGAGTGTGGTGGAGCAGCTGCGTTCAGGTGTACCTCTTCTTATTCCCCCCCTCATGCCCCCCTCAATGCTAACCAGTCTTTCCTCACAGCCAGGCAGGCAGCAGGGTTCACGGGCAGCGCAACAGGCGGGCTTGTGAATGGAGGCTGTCCATCAGAACAATACCGCACTCAACAGTACCTGCCCATCTCATCCCACCCCTTGGTCTGTCCCCACCCCTCCTCACAGGCAGGCAGCAGCGTGCACGGCTGTGGTGACAGCAGCGTGCACGGCTGTGGTGACAGCAGCGTGCACGGCTGTGGTGGTGACAGCAGCGTGCACGGCTGTGGTGACAGCAGCGTGCACGGCTGTGGTGGTGACAGCAGCGTGCACGGCTGTGGTGACAGCAGCGTGCACGGCTGTGGTGACAGCAGGCGTGGGCTTGCCATTAGTGTGGCAGAATTTGAGGCGCCTCAAAAGTCGACTTCTGAGGCGCCTCAAAAGCTTGCCAAGAGTGCAGCGAAATAGAAGCACCCACTCATCCATACCTGCACGCCTTACCCCTCTCACACCCCTCTCACACCCCTCTCACACCCCTCTCACACCCCTCTCACACCCCTCTCACACCCCTCTCACACCCCTCTCACACCCCTCTCACACCCCTCTCACACCCCTCTCACACCCCTCTCACACCCCTCTCACACCCCTCTCACACCCCTCTCACACCCCCTCACACCCCTCTCACACCCCCTCACACCCCCTCACACCCCGCTAAACGCCCTTCGCAGTGAGGTCAGCAGACTGCATGGACGTGGAGGCAATGGTGTGTGCGCCGGGCGTGTGTGTGGACGATGGCACTCGCCTCACAGGCTGCCAGTGTGCTGCTGGATTCACCCCACTCAACGATTCCTCCACCTTCCCCTACCCCTACTGTGTTCCTCAACCTGGTCAGCCCCGTAACCCCGTTCAAGTCTCCCCACGTCCCCTTGCTCATGCTGTTGCGAGCATCATGGCCTCACTCACGAGAATAATGGTAATTGTCAAGGCGTGCTTGTCCTCGCCTCGGGGGCTCTGCAATAGTGTGTGTGCTACCCTTCAGGCTATGCTCTGCATGCTCAACTGCACTGCCTGGCAGCCTAAGCACGCCGCATTGCTCAACCTCTGTGCAAACTCGCCCATGAGTTCTTACTCATCCCCCAACCGTGCCTCATCCCCCAACCGTGCCTCATCCCCCAGCCGTGCCTCATCCCCCAACCATGCCTCATTCCCCAACCGTGCCTCATTCCCCAACCGTGCCTCATTCCCCAACCGTGCCTCATTCCCCAGCCATGCCCCATCCCTCGTGCCCACGATCCAAAACTCAACAGCACCCCCCTCGGCACCATCACCACCTCCTCCAAAGGACACGTGTGCACTGCTGCAGGCCAACCCATGCCTGCCCGGCGCCTGTGTGAGCAACTCCTCAGCTGCCCCTGGCTACACCTGCCGCTGCCCCACTGGCTATGACCAGGCCATGCTTGCGGGCAAACCGACGTGCCTGGGTAAGCGTTTTCGGGGAGAAGGGAGGGGGTGGGGCGGATGAAGGTGCATGTGGGAGTGGGTGGGTCTGCGGGAAAGAAGTGTAGCTTTGATAAGATGTCTTTGAATTACACTTCTTTCACGGGGAGGAGGGAGGGAGGGGCGGGCGGGGTGAAGGTGCATGCATATGGGAGTGGGTCTGCAAGCTGCTCGCTGGCAGCCTAAGCACGCCGCATTGCTCAACCTCTATGCAAACTCGCCCTTGAGTTATCACTCATCCCCCAACCGTGCGTCATCCCTTCTGCCGACAGATCTAAACTCAACAGCACCCCCCTCGGAAGCACCCGCCTCGGAAGCACCCGCCTCGGAAGCACCCCCCTCGGAAGCACCCCCCTCGGAAGCACCCCCCTCGGAACCAGCACCCCCCTCGGCACCACCAACCCCCCCGTCACCGTCACCACCTCCAAAGGACGCGTGTGCACTGCTGCAGGCCAACCCATGCCTGCCCGGCGCCTGTGTGAGCAACTCCTCAGCTGCCCCCGGCTACACCTGCCGCTGCCCCACTGGCTTTGAGCAGACCACGAGTGCGGGCGCTCCGACGTGCCTGGGTACGCGTTGTAAGGGAAGGAGGGGGGGGCGGGGTGTAGATGCATGTGGGGTGGGTCTGCACGCTGCATGCTGGGCATGGTGGGATGGCGTGCATGTGGGATGTCAGCTACGCATGGTGGGATGGTAGCATGGTGGGAGTGATTCTGATGGGTTATGCATCGTTGGTGTTACATGCTATGCCACTGTGACAGACAAACCCTACCCCAAGTGTTGAATCACAACGTAAGCGGTGGCTTCACTCACACACTCCTCTTCATCACCTCTCGCCTCATGGTGATGTTGCTAATGAAGTTGCTTCTCACCTCATCCACCTACCCATCATTTGCCAGGAAGTGCACCCTGTTCCCCTGCCTCCCCTCCTTCTGAGGCGCCTCAAAACTCAAAAGTTTTTTAGGCGCCCCAAAACTCAAAAGTTTTTTAGGCGCCCCAAAACTCAAAAGTTTTTTGAGGCGCTACCTCTCCACCTACCCATCGCTTACCTGGAAGTGCTTCCCGTTCCCCTGCCTCCCCTCCCGCCACGCCTCACATCACAATGCCGTCTGCAGCAATGCCACCCTCCAGAGACGGTTGTGCTGCTTTCTCCTCCAACCGTGCCTTCCCGGCGCGTGTGTGAACGACTCGGTGGGCGCTGCGGGGTACTCTTGCAGCTGCCCGCCAGGCCTTGTGCAGACCTCCCGCAACCACATGCCATCATGCTCCAAAGGTGAGCTTTCAGACGGTTTTTGAGGCGCCTCAAAACCCACCTCGGCGCTGCGGGGTACTCTTTTGCAGCTGCCCGCCAGGCCTTGTGCAGACCTGCCCCAACCGCATGCCATCATGCTCCAAAGGTGAGCTTGTCGACTGTGAGTGTAACCGTGGGTATCAAGCAACCTCGTAGTGCCATGCTCCGGGGTGAGTGAGCATGCATGCAGCACAGATGATGGGCCATATCAATGCAGCACAGATGATGGGCCATATCAATGCAGCACAGATGATGGGCCATATCAATGCAGCACAGATGATGGGCCATATCAATGCAGCACAGATGATGGGCCATATCAATGCAGCACAGATGATGGGCCATATCAATGCAGCACAAAAGATAAGCCATAGCAGTGCAGCACAGATAAGTCCGCATGATGCAACACACATGAATGAGCAAGAAGGCCCGTCTACATGTAGAAAGTGCGTTTTTGAGATGTCCCAAAAACACACTTTCTACACATGAATGAGCAAGAAGGCCAGTCTACACTTTCCGCTTCATTCACTCGGCATGTCTCTGCATCCGCGTCCACAAGTTCATGTGAAACGCTACTAGGGGACATGAAACGCAGGAGAGAGAATAGGGGGAAGGGAATGTAGGAGGGAGTATCATATGGATCAATGCATGGATTGCGGCATCAGCACATGAGCACATGAACATCCATCTGTTGGTGCTTTTGAGTCGACTCAAAAGCAGAATAGGGGGAACGGAATGTAGGGAGGCAGTGTCACATGGATCAGTGCATGGATTGCGGCATCAGCACATGAGCATCTGTGCATCCATCGGCTGGTGCATCAGCACATGCATCACCACTTTAGTGCGTGCGTTGCAGCATCAGCTCATGCGTTCCATCATCGTCACACTCAGATGCATCACCACATCAGCGCGTGCGTTGCAGCATCAGCTCATGCGTTCCATCATCGTCACACTCAGATGCATCACCACATCAGCGCGTGCGTTGCAGCATCAGCTCATGCGTTCCATCATCGTCACACTCAGATGCATCACCACATCAGCGCGTGCGTTGCAGCATCAGCTCATGCGTTCCATCATCGTCACACTCAGATGCATCACCACTTTAGTGCGTGCGTTGCAGCATCAGCTCATGCGTTCCATCATCGTCACACTCAGATGCATCACCACATCAGCGCGTGCGTTGCAGCATCAGCTCATGCGTTCCATCATCGTCACACTCAGATGCATCACCACTTTAGTGCGTGCGTTGCAGCATCAGCTCATGCGTTCCATCATCGTCACACTCAGATGCATCACCACTTTAGTGCGTGCGTTGCAGCATCAGCTCATGCGTTCCATCATCGTCACACTCAGATGCATCACCACATCAGCGCGTGCGTTGCAGCATCAGCTCATGCGTTCCATCATGGTCACACTCAGATGCATCACCACTTTAGTGCGTGCGTTGCAGCATCAGCTCATGCGTTCCATCATCGTCACACTCAGATGCATCACCACATCAGCGCGTGCGTTGCAGCATCAGCTCATGCGTTCCATCATCGTCACACTCAGATGCATCACCACTTTAGTGCGTGCGTTGCAGCATCAGCTCATGCGTTCCATCATCGTCACACTCAGATGCATCACCACTTTAGTGCGTGCGTTGCAGCATCAGCTCATGCGTTCCATCATCGTCACACTCAGATGCATCACCACTTTAGTGCGTGCGTTGCAGCATCAGCTCATGCGTTCCATCATCGTCACACTCAGATGCATCACCACATCAGCGCGTGCGTTGCAGCATCAGCTCATGCGTTCCATCATCGTCACACTCAGATGCATCACCACTTTAGTGCGTGCGTTGCAGCATCAGCTCATGTGTTCCATCATCGTCACACTCAGATGCATCACCACATCAGCGCGTGCGTTGCAGCATCAGCTCATGCGTTCCATCATCGTCACACTCAGATGCATCACCACATCAGCGCGTGCGCCGATGCTGTAATGCAATGCATGCACCGATGCTGTAGTGCAATGCATGCGCCGAATCTGTAATGCATCTGCTGATGGGGCACATATTTCCAAAAGTGCTCACCTTACGTGGTTGGTGGGTGTGCTGGTGTGAATGCCAACAATCTATTGCTACGTTCGATACTACTGTCTCACTCCTTCCTCCCAACCAAAAACCCTGTTGTCCCCAACACCCCCCCTTCCACCCTCCCTGGCACAACCTGCCTTACATACCCGCTCATCTCCATCCCTGGCATGACATACCCATTCATCTCCATGGCTCGCGGCAGAGATGAACACATGGCAGTGCGCTGATGCCATCTACGCCCTCTTGGACGTGTCGCCGCGCTGCTTCTGGGTGGATGGCGCCGCCTACTCCTGCTCCTGCGCCATGCCCCACTCACCCTTCAACTGCTCCCGCCTTCCAAGTATATCTCCTCCCTGCCCCCCCTTCAAGAGCAGTGTTTGCGATTGGCCTTGCACAGTACTCTTACTCTTAAATGTGTGCCATCTTGCGCTGCAGCACTGTGAGAGCCCAATCGTAAACACTTTACTCGGATGAATGCATTGAGTCTTGTCTTGTTCCTCCCTTTCCTCTCTTCCTTCCTTGCCTCTCTTCCCCCCCTTTCCTCTCACTCCTCCCTTATCCAATCCATGCTTTCCATGCCACACCAGGCAGGCCGGCTTTTGGTACGTCTCAAAATTCTCCTGTTCCCCTCGTTCCACCCCTTCCAATCCATGCTGTCTGTGTGTGCCGCACCAACTGTGCAGATGTGTTTTGAGGCGCCTCACAAGAAGCCTCTCCTCTCCTTCCACCCCATCCAATCCATGCTGTCCATGCCGCACCAGGCAGGCCGGCCAACTGTTCAGACGTCTTTTGAGGTGCCTCAAAAGGAGGCCTTTCCTCTCACTCCTCCCTCGTTCAATCCATGCTGTCCATGCCGCACCAGGCAGGCCCGCCAACTGTTCAGATGTCACCCTCGGCTTGTGTCTCCCCGGCTTCTGCCGCACCAACGGGTCGGCGTTTCTCGGCTGCTTGTGCGCCGCCGGCTTCAGCCAAGTCAACCCTTCCTCAGGCGACCCTTATTGTGCACCAGGTGATTCAAGCATGGGGCAGCAGTAGTGTTGTGCACCAGGTGATTCAAGCATGGGGCAGCAGTAGTGTTGTGCACCAGGTGATTCAAGCATGGGGCAGCAGTAGTGTTGTGCACCAGGTGATTCAAGCATGGGGCAGCAGTAGTGTTGTGCACCAGGTGATTCAAGCATGGGGCAGCAGTAGTGTTGTGCACCAGGTGATTCAAGCATGGGGCAGCAGTAGTGTTGTGCACCAGGTGATTCAAGCATGGGGCAGCAGTAGTGTTGTGCACCAGGTGATTCAAGCATGGGGCAGCAGTAGTGTTGTGCACCAGGTGATTCAAGCACGGGGCAGCAGTAGTGTTGTGCACCAGGTGATTCAAGCATGGGGCAGCAGTAGTGTTGTGCACCAGGTGATTCAAGCACGGGGCAGCAGTAGTGTTGTGCACCAGGTGATTCAAGCATGGGGCAGCAGTAGTGTTGTGCACCAGGTGATTCAAGCATGGGGCAGCAGTAGTGTCGTGCACCAGGTGATTCAAGCATGGGGCAGCAGTAGTGTTGTGCACCAGGTGATTCAAGCATGGGGCAGCAGTAGTGTTGTGCACCAGGTGATTCAAGCATGGGGCAGCAGTAGTGTTGTGCACCAGGTGATTCAAGCATGGGGCAGCAGTAGTGTTGTGCACCAGGTGATTCAAGCATGGGGCAGCAGTAGTGTTGTGCACCAGGTGATTCAAGCACGGGGCAGCAGTAGTGTTGTGCACCAGGTGATTCAAGCATGGGGCAGCAGTAGTGTTGTGCACCAGGTGATTCAAGCATGGGGCAGCAGTAGTGTTGTGCACCAGGTGATTCAAGCATGGGGCAGCAGTAGTGTTGTGCACCAGGTGATTCAAGCATGGGGCAGCAGTAGTGTTGTGCACCAGGTGATTCAAGCACGGGGCAGCAGTAGTGTTGTGCACCAGGTGATTCAAGCACGGGGCAGCAGTAGTGTTGTGCACCAGGTGATTCAAGCATGGGGCAGCAGTAGTGTTGTGCACCAGGTGATTCAAGCATGGGGCAGCAGTAGTGTTGTGCACCAGGTGATTCAAGCATGGGGCAGCAGTAGTGTTGTGTTGTGCACCAGGTGATTCAAGCATGGGGCAGCAGTAGTGTTGTGCACCAGGCCAGGTGATTCATTTGCGGGGAAAAATATTTGATTTATCACTGCAGCTTGTTTGGATGTTCAAGAGGCAATAACACCTTACTGCAGCGTGTGCTGTAGGCATGTTTGCCATGTATCACTGCAGCTCCTTTGGATGTCTGCGAGAGGTATTGGCAATAACACCTAACTGCAGCGTGTGCTGTAGGCATGTTTGCCATGTGTCACTGCAGCTCCTTTGGATGTCCGCGAGAGGTATTGGCAATAACACCTAACTGCAGCGTGTGCACTATGCATGCATGCCATGTTGCGCTTGGCGTGCTGTTTGTGTGTGGAATGAGAGTTTGTGCAGCTTGGCATGCAAAATCGAGCTGTACATCACTTCATTGTGCTGACCTGGCAGTCTAGTATCACGCGCCTACGCAGCGCCGGTGCGCGGACCCTCCATGTGCTCACAGGCAATTCTGAGTCCTGACAGCAGCACATGCCACAGCAGCACAGCACATACCACAGCAGCACAGCACATGCCACAGCAGCACATGCCACAGCAGCACATGCCACAGCAGTACATGCCACAGCAGCACATGCCACAGCAGCACATGCCACAGCAGCACAGCACATGCCACAGCAGCACATGCCACAGCAGCACATGCCACAGCAGCACATGCCACAGCAGCACAGCACATACCACAGCAGCACAGCACATGCCCTAGCAGCACAGCACATGCCACAGCAGCACATGCCACAGCAGCACAGCACGCCACAGCAGCACAGCACATGCCCTAGCAGCACAGCACATGCCACAGCAGCACATGCCACAGCAGCACAGCACATGCCACAGCAGCACAGCACATGCCACAGCAGCACAGCACATGCCCTAGCAGCACAGCACATGCCACAGCAACACATGCCACAGCAGCACATGCCACAGCAGCACATGCCACAGCAGCACGACACATGCCCCAGCAGCTCATGCCCCAGCAGCAACCTTTCTTGAGGCGCCTAAAAAATCGTCTCATGTCTACTTGGCAACATTTAATGCCATCCCCTGCCATGCCATGTGCCCACAGTCAATACTGGAGTCAGCACATGCCCCTACAGCAACAACCCTTGTGGCAACGGCAACTGCAGTGCCACGGGCAATGGCAATGGTTACACATGCAGTTGCTCGCCTGGTTACCACGCTGCACAAGTCAATGGTTCGCTTACCTGCTCTGTTGGTGAGTCATTCCATTCCAATCCAGCCATGCTATGCCATGCCATACCATGCCATCCCAAGCCATCCGATGCCATTCCAAGCCAACCCATGACATTCCATGCCATCCCGTTCCATCTCCCATCCCATCCCACCCCATCCCACCTCATCCCATTCCATCCCATCCCATCCCATCCCATTCCACTCCCTCCCTTTCCATCACATCCTTTCCCCTTCCCTTCCCGTAGCACTAATTTTGTCCTCGTCCCTGCCATCCCTTCCCGTCCCTTCCTTCCTCTTCGCTTCCCATCCTTCCGTGCATTTGTTAGAGATAAACCGTCTCTGTTACTTATGCTGCTCACATCCCTCTGTACAAGAACACTAGTGAGCTGGGTGTTGCACTAAAAAGTCTCAGCCTCTCCCAATCGTGACCACCTAAACTGTTAAGCGTGGTGCCACACCTCAGCCACTCCCATCCAAGTCCACACATACCATGTACAGAGTACCCGTGCCATGTACAGAGTACCCGTGCCATCTCAGCACCACATACCCATGTGATCCATCATTCTGAGGCGCCTCAGATGTGTTCCCAACTCATGGCGCCACATCCCAAATCCTATCCTCCCTTTCCATCCCACTCCACCCATGCCACTTCCCAACCCCCCCCCTCCCTCCCATCCCATTCCACCCATGCCCAGTTATGGGTGCAGAGCCGCCACCAGGAGTATCATCCGCAGCCATAGCAGGAATCGCAGTCGGCTCTTCATGTCTCCTCCTCCTGCTCATCCTCACTCTCCTGCTCTGGCTACGGCACCATCTCCAACAGCGCAAAAAAGCCAAGGGGCGCAAGGGTGAGGCAGACACTGACCAAGGCCACTGGAGCATCAGCAGCAGCACAGCAGCGGCGGCAGTGTCCTTGTGTCGGGAGATGCAGTTGGAGGAGCTGGTGGTTGCTACGGACAACTGGGCGTCACGCAACCTCGTGGGGTCGGGCGGGTATGGCGATGTGTTCCGAGGTGTGCCCCCTGGTGGCGACCCTGGCGCTGTGTGGGCTGTGAAGCGCGCCAAGATTATCACCAAGGACTTCCGGAGAGAGGTGGGTGAGGATGAGGCGAGATGGAGCCGATTTATTAGGCAAATCAAAAGGCGACCCTGGCAGTGTGTGGAACACAGCAGAACAAAACAAAGCACCGCAGCTGATGCCATTATTCAGCAGAACGAAACAATGTCAACAGGGCGAATTCTAGGTTTGGAAAGCCATGTGTGATGGTCACAATTGAGTGCAGATTTACGGTTGTTGGTACAATTCTCCAATGTTCTAGCGAATCTGTTATGCATGTGCCGTGCACCTGTCTTGGATGGCGCGATGGGCACAAAAACGCGTCCGTGCCGACAAATTTGCAAGAGCTGTCAACCATTAAAGAATGAGAACATTCCAGCTTTCAAATATTTATGTGTCAGCTGTATATATCCAAGCCGCTTTGGCCCCTTGATCATGCCAGCAGTTCCAGCAGATGGCACGCATGGCAGCAGATGGCACGCATGGCAGCAGATGGCATGCATGGCAGCAGATGGCACGCATGGCAGCAGATGGCACGCATTTCTTTTGAGGCCGCCTCACAAGCATGTCATGGCACTTCCTCTCCAATGTACCTCGGATTCCACCACATGCTCATTCGCCTCTGCCTCCCCCCAACCCAACGCCAATCCTACCCTTCCCAGTCGCGCAGATGGCATGCAAACAACACCAACACTTGTTTTGGACTTACCTAGCCATCCTGAAGGCAATGCGTTTTGGTCCCTCTAGAAATGGTACAAGTTGCAATCATCGATTTCCCCAATTTTTGCCGCTGCGTTCTTTAGTTGACTCTAAAGTTCGCCGCTACTCCCAACCAACAGGTGACGCAGATGGCTTGCAAGCAGCAGGCCTTCCTTTCAACCACAAGCAGCATTCACTATCTATATGGCCCGCTCCCCCTCGTTTTGACCTCAACAGGTGCAGCAAATGGCATGCGAGTATGGCTGCCCAACTTATTCTAGAATGTATTTTCAACACTCACCATCACCACCTCAATCCTGTGCCTCCTTTTCACTGCAACAGGTGCAGCAAATGGCGTCGAAGCACCACCCGAACCTGGTGCGGCTGCTGGGGTACTGCGTACACATGGATGCGAAGACAGAGGAGCATGAGCAGATCGTGGTGTATGAGTTCATGGATGGGGGTGACCTGCTTCGCTATTTGCATGCTGACAAAGGTGAGGGGTCACACATATGATGTGAGAGAATTGCCACCGTTACACTTCTTTTTCACTATTGACATTTTCATTTCTCGTGTTTCTCCTTTGTTTTGTATATAATAGGTTACAGAAAGAAAAATCTTCGTTGCAAATTGTAACCACGAGGGAGAGCGTGGTCTCACGTCCTGCCTCTTGTCTTACATGAGATTCCTCCCCAGCTGCTCTCCGTGTGTTCCCTGTTACTCCTTCAACCCCTTTCTTTGCAGACTCGGGTGTGCCTCCACTCTCCCTGAAGCAGCGTATGAGTGTGCTGGTGGACATGGCTCAAGGGCTGCACTACCTGCACAGCTTTGGCATCGTGCATCGCGACATCAAGCCCGCCAACATCCTACTCGACTGCCACATGACGGTGAGCGGGTTCGTTGGATATGCAACTCCATTGACAATCTTCTCTATGAGCAGTATTGGTTTTTGAGTCGTCTCACAAGTCAGCTCGGTTTCAATCAAGTCGACTCAGAAGTCTACTTGGTTTCGAGTCGACTCAGAATTCAACTCGTTTTTTTTTTAGACTCAAAAGTGAACTTGTTGTTAGAGTCGACTCAGAAGTCAACCAGTGAGGTTAAAATGTTGTGTGAACACCCTACTACCGCTTCTGTGTGCACAACTGCTTTTTCACTCAACCAGGTCTTGAGAGCAGGTGAGCATGCTTTTAAGAATGCTTCTAAGATTTCTCACGAGTAAGCATGCCAACTCCCTCCAGTCTCCCTTCCTCTGACGTATCCCCACCACCAGGCCAAGATCGCAGACTTTGGGATTGCACTCATGGGGGACGAGAGCTCGACCGGAGACACGACTCGCATCATGGGCACCCCCGGCTACATGGACCCCGCTTACTCCAAGTCCCGCAAGGCCACCGCTGCTGCTGACGTGTACAGGTGCACAGGCATGCAGGGCGGGCTAGAAGGATGTGTGTGGGTGGGTGGAACCACTGTAATGGCAGTTGCTTTGATAAGTTGTGATGAAGCCACAAGGCACCCCGGGCTACTTTTGAGACGTCTCAAAAGTTAAATTCACCCCGGGGGAATAAGGGGGAAAGGGGAGGGGGGTGGTGTGTAGGTGTTTGCGGTCGTCATCCCCCTGTTGGCTGACCATCACTCACCATCGCTTGGTATGGCATGGCATCGAATGGCATGGCATGGCATGGCATGGCATGGCATGGCATGGCATGGCATGGCATGGCATGGAATGGTATGGCACGGAATGGAATGGAATGGCATGGCACGGAATGGAATGGAATGGAATGGAATGGCATGGAATGGAATGGAATGGAATGGCATGGCATGGCATCACCCCCCCTCGAGGTGTGGAGCAGTGTCTTGTAATTTCTTCATCCACTCGTTCCATCATGCCATTCGCAGCTATGGCGTAGCAATGCTGGATTGTGGGAAGCGACTTGACCTGACTCAGAATTCTAAAAACGAACAAGAGGTCCCATTCCATTTGTTGCAATGCCCCTGTGCTGTGCAGCTACGGTGTGGTCATGCTGGAGCTGCTCACGGCGCGGCGGGCACTGCAGAAGATTGGGGACCAAAACGTGCACATACGACAATGGGTGAGTCCGTTGAGAAGCCTATTGCCCGTCAGTCATAGGGAGCGACTAGGGGTACCAACCTTTCTAATGGTCACTGTAAACCCCCCACACCCCCCCCCCCTGACCCCCTCTCTCATTCTGCAGCTAGTGAGCTTGTGTTACCTCCATTTGCGTGCCAGCTGTCCCCTTCCTACCACGCTGTGCCCTCCCTCACGCATTCCTTCCCCTCTGCCTCCTACACTCTTTGCCCTCTGCCTGACACGCTCCTTGCCCGCTGCTTCTTCTTTGGTTAACCTTCACCGGCCTTCAGATCGAGCCGCTGGTGGCCTGTGGAGATGCAGAGGGCTTCAGAGACCCGGCACTAGATGCTCCCTCTGACACGCTCCTTCAGCTGGGGCAGCTGGCACTGCGCTGCACAACCATGCCCACATCCCATCGGCCCCACATGGATCAGGTTGTCTCGGAGCTTCTGGGCATACAAGAGAGTGTATTTGGGGGCGATAGGACGGAGCCGAATGCGGTCGATTTGATTATTCAAAGTGTTGAGCACCCGACCCGTTCTTTTGATGAAGCAATTGCTTTCGCTGTAGGGAGCCAACTGTCTGCTCCATCACAAGGGTCTGATTAGTGGAGAGATTGGTTGTATCCTCATTTTGTTGTTTCCTGTTCATGCGTATCTTGTTGTCGTGTTAACGAATGCTTTTGAAGACTTTGCGCCCTGCCATGGCGTACACAAATGTTCGCATGCAGGCATCGATTTTCCACCTCTGGAATGACGATTGTATGAAATGGCATTGGAGTTTCCGCAATGGGATTCATGGTAATTACTGTTAAGATTAGGAGATTATGCAGTACTTAGGTTTAGGAGAGGTTTAGCAAGGAGAATCATGGAGGGATAAGTTTGGCCAAAAGAGTGCTTTCATTATGAAGTTGGGAGTACAAATAGGAAGGAGAGGAAGGGGAAAAGGGTACACCACCAGCAGTTGAACCTAATATCTAACTAATACACTAGCAAGCTGTAGGCAGTTATAACAGGATATGCAAATATAATTCAACACACCCCCGTAACTGCCTACGGCTATAGCTAGTGGTGTCTGGCACCAGGTCGCCTGGAGAGCGGTTGCTGTAGCTGGGATAGGCACAGAAACAGCGGTGGCTGACCGGCAGCACCTGTGAACGCCAGGACGAAGGAGGGCGCGGAGAGCGCGGAGGAGGGCTGGGATAGCCGGAGGGCGAAGGATGCCGGTCGCTCGCCATCTACGAGCAAGCACAACTGTTGGTGAGGAGGAGGAAGCTGGTGGTGGTGCACAGGAGGAGAGCAGAGGAGAGGCGGCTGGAGGAGAGGAGAGAGGAGGAGGAGATGCGGCTGTAGGAGAGGAGAGTGGAGGAGGAGATGCGGCTGGAGGAGAGGAGAGGAGAGAGGAGGAGGAGATGCGGCTGGAGGAGAAAAGGAGAGGAGAGGAGAGGAGAGGAGAGGAGAGGAGAGGAGAGGAGAGGAGAGGAGAGGAGAGGAGGGGAGGTGGCTGGCGCGGCAGAAGCTCTCCCGCCACCCCCTCATCCCCCTCCCCCCCATGCGCTGGCGCTGGCGGAAGCGCTGGCGCTGGGCGCTGGCGTCGCGCTGGCGCTGGCGCCCGCCGTTGGCGCTGGCGCTGGCGCCCGCCGTCGGCGCTGGCGTCCGCGCTGGCGCTGGCGACCGCCGTCGGCGCTGGCGTCCGCGCTGGCGCTGGCGACCGACGTTGGCGCTGGCGCTGGCGCCCGCCGTTGGCGCTAGCGCCCGCCGTTGGCGCTTGCGCTGGCGCCCGCCGTCGCCTCGCTGGCACGCTCGCCACTGGCAGAGCGCGACGGGGCAGGCGAAAGGGGGCAGCGCGACGGGTGCTGCAAAAGCAGCGGATTTCGAGCCAGCAGCGGATTTCGCGCTACTAGCAGTAGCAGCCATGCCAGCAGCACAATAAGTCGCCATGGCAGATCGCGGGTTTGATGGGCCCATGAAAAACGAGGTGGGACCACTCTCTGATATCATGTTAAGATTAGGAGATTATACAGTACTTAGGTTTAGGAGAGGTTTAGCAAGGAGAATCATGGAGGGATAAGTTTGGCCAAAATAGTGCTTTCATTATGAAGTTGGGAGTACAAATAGGAAGGAGAGGAAGGGGAAAAGGGTACACCACCAGAAGTTGAACCTAATATCTAACTAATACACTAGCAAGCTGTAGGCAGTTATAACAGGATATGCAAATATAATTCAACAATTACCATAACATTTTTTCAGGAGTACCACACGCTCACACGAACTTCCTGGATCATGCCAAACTTCAATTTACGCACAAAAACCCAAAGGTGGTATTTATTCTACGTTTTTTATGTTACGGTACCGTATTAGTTGAAGAGAGACAAGGGAGTGGGCTTAGTCTAAAGACGTGGAGTGCTGTGAAGGGATGAAAGGAAATCAGGAAGTGTACACCGTCACTCACACGACGGTAACGGAGCTGCCACAAACAGATTGAGGCATGTAACGCACCGACCATGGGAGCTTCTCTGATAGGCTATATGACTTCTCTACCTTTCTGTCGGTGGAGTGCCTACGTCGCTCTCCGTTCGCCACGCGTCCAATGATGAGTCGTCTGTCGTTCACAGCTTCTGCATATCATCACTTTGCCGTTCGATTCTCATCTCAACAATACGGTATCTGTTTATCTAGCCGTCCGATTTCTCAGTCTAGGGTTTTGCCTCTCGCAGTTGTGGTGGGGGGCTCGCCAGCCAGTTGCGCGCTGGGGCAACAGCACAGTACACAGTTGTGGCGTGGCGAGGCCACCAAAACGTCATTGGCGGCATCCAGGTGCAACCACCTCGTTCCACGATCTTTCCTCTCATCTCCTCGTGCGTGAGCCAAAAGGGTGGCTAGCGGGAAAAGATGCGGGGTGGGGGATGGGGATTAAGAGGTTGGGGCGGGGGGGGGAAGGGGGGAGGGGGAAATGTATTGTCGGAGCGTGGAGAGTGGGGAGCGCGGGGAACTCTGGACGGGGAGGAGGGGGAGAGGGGGGGGTGGGGGGAAGGGGAGGAGTCCTTGAAGGAACCGACCAAAGCGGAACCTTTCTGGCTGCGGGACGGAAAAACAAACCGAGCAAACAAGAACCACTCCCGACGACCTACTACAGTAGAAATGAGCTCGACTCTTCTTGGACACAACCAGCTTCTCCTTTCCTTAGTGATCCTCGGGTCTCCTCGCCGACTTCCCGTTCCCCACTTCGCCATATTTATTTTTCCCTAGAGCACCAGATCTCTGACTTTCGTGCGGCTGGTCAACTTAACGCGACTCCGAGTACGACTCCCCTACATTATCTTGTAGTTGTCGAGGCGACTCGATTATTCAAGAGAAGCTGCTCCCGTCTCGCGTGCCCTTCCGTCGTCGCCATGGCTCGCTCGCTTGCCGCGATTGCCCTCACGACCACAGCACTCATCGTGCTGCTCTGTACGCGCTGATCCCTTTTTCGCCCACCGGCTCTCAGAAACCTGTTAGTTTATGCTATTATCATAAGAAACTCACTCGAGTCGTGCCGTGCCACGCCGCTCTGTTGCTCCCACGTGACTCTGCGTCCTTATTTCCACGTAGTTCCCTCGTCTCTCGCATCAGCCTCACTCTTAGATTCGCCTGTTGCCGGTTTGCTTCGGTTTCTCTCGGCTGTGAGGGCGCAACGTGGCTTTCTTTGTTTCTTCAAGAGTCTCTGCTAGTCTGCTTTGACACCCTGCCCTCCTGCTCTGCTGCTCTCATGCACTGTTGCTTTGCTGCCCTCCTTCTGCGCTTCTTCGTCCATCATCTCGCTCGTGAAAGCCTTTGTGTCCATTACTCGCTCATCCCCCCAGCTTTTCCCCTTCCCGTGTCTCTTTTCTCTCTGCCCCGCTGCTTCCCCTCATTACCCCTCTCCATATTTCTCCTGGCGGCAGGCGCAATCCAGTCAGAGGTACTGCTCTCGTGCCCCATTACCCCTCTCCTGCCTCGTGCTCGTGCTCTCTTGCCCTCCTGCCTCTTGCCCCCCCCCTCTTCCGCACCCCGTCCTTTATTCTCAAGTCCCCGCGTTCGTCCTCTCCGCCTGACCTCTCCGCACTTTCCAACGCCACCCCTCTGCCTCTCTGTCACTCTTTATCTCATTATATCCTGGCCTCTTTGAGTCTCTGTCTTCCTCTCATGTGTTTCACTCTCTTCCCTTCTGTCATCCCTGCCGCCCTACAGGCGAAGGTGTTCACAGTGGGAGGCAGTGGGCTCAGTCCGTGGGGATTCGGCGTGAAGAGATGGAAGCCCAAGGGCGTCATTCACGCCGGGGACACTCTTGGTACGCCTCCTCCCCTTCATGCACTCATCATACTCACACGACCCCTCCTTGACAGTGGTCGTTGCAAGGGGATGTTATAATCAAGAAAGACAGACTCATATCGGTTCCACTGGTTTATTCTTCTTACCGCTATGATCCTGTGCGCTTTTCTCTAGCTCTAGCATGAGTATTCAACCCTCTGCATTGCTCATATTGGTCTGTTGTATTCCACTCGCCTCATCCCACTCGCCTCATCCCACTCGCCTCATCCCACTTGTCTCACCCTACTGGCCTCACGTGCTTCTGCGTTGCTGCCTCTGTCCGTCCGTCCCATTGATGCAGTGTTCAAGTGGACGGGCATCCCGCATGACGTGTGGATCATGAACTCCATGGATGCATACAACTACTGCAACTTTGGTGCAGCCACACCCATTGGCCTCATCCCACTGGCCTCACCCCTCTGGCCTCACTTGGTTGTGCTTCCCTGCCACCTTATGCAGTGTTCAAGTGGACGGGCGTCCCGCATGACGTGTGGATCATGAACTCCATGGATGCGTACAACAACTGCAACTTTGGTGCGGCCACTAAGAAGACCGGCATCACAAGCGCCGGGAAGTACAAGTGAGTGCGCAAAGAGCGTTTTGAGTTGAGGCATTGCAGCTTAGATATATGCTTGGTACCGGTACCTGCGGCTTTGGGGCTGCTACTATGACGACCGGCATCACAACGTTGGGAAGTATATGCGCATGATGCCTGCGGTTGTGGCTTTGCTGGTGAGGAGACGGGGCCGGGAACTACATGTGAGTGTGCGACGCATTTGGATGAATCCTGTGTTGGTGGCTGTGGCTTCCTGTTGCTGGACTTCCTAGCTGGTGGCTGTGATCCGTGTTGCGGCTGTCACCGCAGTCCACACGATTATCTGCCAAGGTCTCTCACTATACGCATTTTTGCTCCCAAATACCTCATTAGATTGTTACCATCCTCTAACGCAGTCGTTTCTTCATCGTCTATTTCTTGCGCCCCCACCAATCGTTTGAATGTGTGTCAGGTACAAGGTGCCAGCTTCAGCCAAGGGCACATCCATTCTCTTCTCATGCAGCGTGCCTAGCCACTGCACTGTGGATAACATGAAAGTGGCAGTACCAATCCACGCTTGAGTTTCTACTATCAGTGTTTCTTTCGACGTGCTGGTAGCTAATCTATGTTGATAACATAGATAAGCTTTCTGACTGTATATAACTGCTTGCGGGAGAATGCAGTGTAGAAAAATACCATAGAGCTTCAAGCAGTTGTTTTCAAACGCCATACAGTAAAACAAGCTATTTTACTTGGCTGTTCGGGTTTGTTGCGCTTGACAGGGCTTGGTACATTACTGTATGGTGAAAGTTTATGTATTCCTTGAACTTCAGCTGTGGTACTTGGCCAACTCAATTCACACGTTTCAGATAATACCGAGTCAATTCTGCTTGACAAGCAGAGTATAGTACCGTCGAGTGAAGCCATTGACGGGTACGTCTCCCAGCCACTTCTTTGACGGTACATGCACCCAGAGCCTCCTCCGTTGGCTGACTCCTCCCCGGAGTGCAGAATCTCGCTTCATACATAACCACCACGCACCATAGCGTGAATGGACCAACCTTGCTTTGAGCAATCATTCAAAGCACAATGCATCGCGGACACCACGCGTTTCCTTGCGATTCGTCCTCGCTGCTACGCAAGCCTGGGCGGGGTCGGCGCGTTCGATTTTCACGAAATTTCAGTTCATTATGAGCGGTTACTCTCGTTTTGACACGGTATAGAACGGTTATCCTTGAAAACCGCTGTAAACCGGCTGGAACCTTTTTGCGCCACGACGGATGAACTGTACAATCGTGAAAAATGAACGCGCTGACCCCGCCCTCAGACGAGCCGTTCCCACATTCGCCCATGCACGAATAGAAGCCAAGCACGGTAGGCCCGATGACTGAATGAATGGTCACTATGGTTTAGGACTGGACGGATCACTGTACAGTACGGAGACCATTAGTGGGTCGGTGGCGCTTGGAGCGAGTGCGAGGAGAGACTGTGAGAGAGCCACCGCTCAGAATGCTGTGCAATGTGGCTGGCAGGACAAGTACAGTAGGAAGCAACGTGGCGTCTTGCTTTCTCCCCTCTCGCCTCAACTCGAGCTGGTCAAACTTTGCACACGGCATCATCTCGACCTTCGTACACTCTGCGCGCGCGCACGCGAGTGCGAGAGCATGCCCCTGCTCGACGGGCGCCAACGCTTGAACGAAATGCAGTGCCGCGCACGGCGAGCGGGGAGGAGCAACGCGGCTCAGCCGCATTTTAGAATCCAGGTTCCACCGGCAGCAACGGACCTAGGCCGAATCGTTCGACCAGATTCACGCAAGCCGCGACGTCGGTTCGTGGCGTGCAAGTGCGACGACGGAGTACAGTACAGTCGAGGAGCAAGGACCGGAGGAAGGGGAGCGGCTACATATTCTAAGTGATTCAATTTTTAATGTCGGACACTCTAACACACTTGGCATTACTTCACGATACTCTCGCATAGGAGCCCATTTCTCCTCGCACGCACCTTCACCGCAAAAACCTGTATTCGTGAAGCCCGTGCTTGGCGGTTCGAGCACAGGTCTGAGATCGCGCGCGGCGGTTAAGACGGTCAGGACTGACACAGCGCGTCTATCGCCGTGCTTTAAAAACGTCACACGGTGAAGTACGCACAGGTCTGACACAGCGCGTTTATCGCTTAGGTCGTGCATTTCAGGCGTCTCAAAGCAAGCGGTTAAGGACAGTCAGGGCTGACACATAGCATCTATAGCCTAGACCGTGAACGTCTATCAACCGTCGCTTGAGCGCGTCTTTTCTGGAAGATTGTAAAGCAAGGTCAGTCACCTTACAAATACCTTCCTTCTGGCAAGGTGCATCGGATCGCTCGGCGATTCCGACGACAGTCGCTGTCTTCCTTCTGCCGTTTCGCACAACCGTTCGGCGCCGCAGCGTCGCAGCGCCCGACTCGAGTCACATCTGTCCAAGCCTCACCATTTCGAGGCGCGTCGGAAACCGGATCATCCTTTGAAGCCCCGCCTCGCTTATCGCCATGGCTCGCTCGCTTCCTGCCATCGCCCTCGCGACTGCTGCGCTCCTCATCCTGCTCTGTACGTCTGCCTTCCGCTTGAACTGTCTGCTCTCGCCTCCTTACGTTCGTTGCTTAGTCAGCCTCTTCCTCACGCTCATCTATCAAAGTCTTTCCAAGTCATCGCTTTCGGTTCGCTGATTCTTTTTGGCCTCGCGTCGCCTTTACTGGAATCTGCGGCTTCGGCTCCTCTCCCGCTCCAGTCCTCATGCCGTATAACTTTCGGATGCTGTTTAGACCATTTAGCAACACACTCATACCCTCCTCCTTCCTGTCACTCTGTGCTTCCTTCCCTGTCTTCTGTCCTCCTTCACTCGTTCCTGGGCTTCTATCTCTTCCTGCTTCCGTGCTTTCGTCTCGCTCTCTCATTCTTTATGCTTCCCTCTCTCCCTGTTTGCTGCGCTTCCCTCTCCCCCTGTCCCTCTGTTCTGCGTTCTCTCCCCATTTCTCTGTGTTCTATTCCCCCCGTTACCCTGTGTTTCCGTTTCTCCTTTTTCTCATGCCATCCTCGCGACCCGTCAACTCGGCTGAACGACATGATTTCTTATTGGTCTTCAGGCGCAGCCCAAGCTGAGGTACAAATTCATTCCCCTGCTGCACTCTCCTCTCCGACTCATAGTCTGCATTGTAGATTTCTTCGTAACTAGGGAGTATGCCATGGAAAGCTAATTCGACATGCTCCCGATGTGTGAAACCTATTGTTAAATCAGCCATTGTCATTACGGTTCATTTCAGTATCGGCCATTTCGTCGTGTGTTTTGTATGCGTTCCAATGCCTTCTTCCCTCGTGTCCATCCGTGTCGTTGCATGTTTCGTTGGAGGCTAAAAGCTCCTCTCCTCGTGCCCTTCCCCTGATGCCTCTCAGGCCAGAGCGATCACTGTGGGTGGCAGGGGGCGCAGTCCCTGGCGCTACAACCTGCACAACTGGCGGCCCTCCACGGCTGCCCGTGTAGGCGATGTGCTCGGTACGTCTCCTTGTTACCGTCCTGCTCTGCTACTCGTGCCCTCTCAACTTCCTGCTACTCGTGCCCTCTCAATTTCCTGCTACTCGTGCCCTCTCAAGTTCCTCCTACTCGTGCCCTCTCAACTTCCTGCTACTCGTGCCCTCTCAACTTCCTGCTACTCGTGCCCTCTCAACTTCCTGCTACTCGTGCCCTCTCAACTTCCTGCTACTCGTGCCCTCTCAACTTCCTGCTACTCGTGCCCTCTCAACTTCCTGCCACGCGTGCCCTTTCACCTTCCTGCCACTCGTTGCATGTCGTTGCTTGGATTCCTTTCAGAAGCAGTGAGCTTTGAGGCATCTCTAGATCTCTAATGTCCCCACTGCACCCTGCTGTTGCTCATGGCCTATGACTGTGGCTCGTCATGTTTGGCTCGCGAGCTAATCCGCTGCTCATTTCAATTTGCCCATTACTCATTCCAGTGTGCGCGCATGTGCTCCTCTCTCACCATCTGTGGTGCAACAATGCACGTGCAGTGTTCAAGTGGAGGGGTGTCATTCCCCATGATGTGGTGCTCATGGACTCAGAGGACGCGTATGAAAGCTGCAACTTCGGAGCTGCTAAGAAGCTCACTCGAATCGTCAACTCGAAGACGTACAGGTGAGCAAATCCTTTCCACACCAGCTTGGAGCATTGCCCTAAATGGCTGGACCGGATGATTCTCCTTGGATGGCTGGCTGGTTGACTGCTCTTTTATATATGTTTTCTTAAAAAATCGATTTGCTGCCCACGCTTTTCACTTCCTCAGGTACAGGGTTCTGCAGTCAGCAAGAGGCAAGACCCTTTACTTCTCCTGCAGTGTGCCTGGCCACTGCTCGCCCGGCAATATGAAAGTGGCCATTCAAGTTCAGGCGTGAGATGATGCACTTTGTGGAATGGTGACTATCCAATGAGACGCAAACGCTTGATACGTCCCGTCCTGTACCTTGTGGCACCGATCTGGTAGTACATTTGTCTCGGCCGGTGTACATAATTAGTTTTTTCGTCTAGTATTGGTGTCTTGGATTCTAGTATGTATTAATTAGGTTTTTTTTGTCGAACGACTACACTTTCTGCTCGTGATTCACACTTTGAAGTTGCCTTTGGGAGGGCGCCGTGTTTCCACTGGCGAATGCCGGATGGGCGGAGAACGAACTCTGCAATATCTGAAATTAGGGCGTGGAACATTTGGGAAATTTTCCAAACGAACCGTACCGCCTGAACGGTTGAAAATGGTCCTTTTGTCAAACGCTTTGTTCAAGTAGGTTTCAATACGTTTCAGAGCGGTAATATTCCGAACCGTATGTTCGCTCGGAAAAAAAAAGCCCAAATGTTCCACGCCCTTACAGATCCTGCAGCGCGTTTTCAAAGAGGAACTTGATTTACATTTTGAAAGCGAACCGCACCCTTGAGAATACGCTTTCCACTCCCTAGGAGGAACCTCGATAGTCTACGCTTGGCTTCAGTCATCGCTCGCATGGCTAACAGTCAGTCTCTGGAATCTACACGTCTCTCTGCTTCTTAGGTTCTCGTGCCTTACTGTATCCTTACAATCTCGCATTCGTGTAATGTCCTCAGCGTAGTGTCGAGCTAACCCTTGGCAATTGTCAAACACGGGTAGAGCGAGGCTCATGGCGCCGAAGAGGGAGCGCGTTAGTCGTTCAGGCGAGTCGACGAGGCGCGTGACACGGTCGACGAGTGTGCAGGAGGAGTTGGAGCGAGAGAATGCGGAGGAGGCGCAGGAGGTAGCGGGGGTAGCAGGGGTTGCAGAGGTAGCCGCGGAGGAGGCCGACGGCGAACCACAGACGACGCGTGAGCGGCGCGATGATCGTCGTGCCGAGACGAACGGCTCAGATGAAAGCGGGACTCGCCGGAGCAAGCGGCTTAGGACGGGAGGCGCGAGCGGCGGCGATGGTTCCTCGTCGCAGCAGCCGGTTGACGTGGTGAAGCGCGAGCGAGCCGCGGGCCCGGTGAAACGGGAAGCTGACGTGGCCGCGAGCCGCCAAGCTGGAGTGGTGAAACGGGAGGCTGCTGTCGTGGCGAAGCGGGAAAACGTCTCTCGCGCCAAGGGCAAGGAAAAAGTGGTTGAAAGCAACAGCGGCCACCATGCCGAGGCTGACGGTTACGAGCCAGACGGCTACGCTCGGGATTCGCAGGCTGCCGGACCTAGCACGCAGCCTCGCGCTCGTGAACGCGCCGAGCCTGAAGAAGATGCCGAACGTCCGGTTACTCCGTCCGGTATGGGGGAGGATCGGGACGGACCTGAAGGCACGCCGACACAGGCAATAGTGGCTCTTCCTCGCGCCATGCCAAGGTACTATTTCCGAGGAGCCTCAAAATCTGATTCTTAGCGCCATACCACTGTACTAGTTTTGAGGAACCTCAAAACTTGATTCCTAGTGCCATACCACTGTACTTTCGTTACCTGCTCCTCACGACCATCCCTTCCCACCTTCCAGCTTCCCAACACAACGCGCCCCCTCCCCCTCGACTCCCCTCCCTTCCCCTCCCCCCTCCGCACCCATGTTGTTCCTCCCCTTCTTCCTGCCAATGTGCATGTTGGCGGAAAACTACTTCAGCCTGACAGCTCTTTCCTCAACACAACCCTTCCCCCCTCCCCCCGCCCCCACAACCCCCACGCCCCTCCTCTCCCTCCACCTCTCTCCACCCACCAATCAGAGGCGAGGATGGATTCCAGCCGGGCAACATCCTATTGGTGCAGGTGCAGCACTTCATGACGTATGCTTCCATCTCAGCGCGCCCCTCGCCGCGCCTCAACCTCATCGTCGGGCCCAACGGGTCCGGCAAGAGCTCGCTCGTCTGCGCCATCGGGCTGGGGCTGGGCGGAGAACCCAAGGTAACCGCTGCTCTCGCTTTTTCTATTTAAGACAGAATCTGGTGATTGCAGGCAGAGTCTGGTTCAGTCAGTCTAATGGTGGGACCATTGGACTCCGAGACAGTGTTCAGAGGCGGGACTGCCTCGACTTGCCTTATGAGAATCCCCAAAGTCACCCACCCCTTGCCATTCTCACCCCCATGTTTCCTCCCCTCTTCGCCCCCCTCCCCTCTTTGCTGGGTGGCAGATGCTGGGGCGGGCGGCACACGTGGGGGAGTTTGTGCAGCGGGGGGAGCGCAGTGCGGAGATCAGCATTGTGCTGCGGGGGGATGTGGCGGGGGAGGAGGTGCACGTCACCCGCAAGATCTCCATTGAGAACCGCACCGACTGGCTGCTCAACGGTATGACTCTTCATTCGACTTGAAAGGCATGACACTTGCAGGATGTTCACTGAGAACCGCACCGACTGGCTGCTCAACGGTATGACTCTTCATTCGACTTGAAAGGCATGACACTTGCAGGATGTTCACTGAGAACCGCACCGACTGGCTTCTCAACGGTATGGCTTTTGACTCGACTCAAAAGGCATGACACGGGCAGGATCACTTGAGAACCGCATTGACTGGCTATTCAACGGTATGGGGGCTTTGCTTTAAAAAGTCTAGAAACACGACTTTTCAAGTGAGATTTGGGCGTCATTGAACTTTACTTCTGACTTGCGGCATGCCGTGCAGTGACAGGCGTGGCATGGCATTTCCATACGCATGGCAATGCTGTGCCTTCTTTGAAATAGTACACTTGCGTTGCATGATGGACTTTGCATCCGCTGTTATGCGCTCTGCCCCTCCTTCCATGCTCTCTCGTGCCGTACGATGCGCTCTCCCCCTCTGGGCAGGGCATGCAGTGCGGCGGGATCAGGTGCAGGAGTGCATGAAGCGCTTCAACATCCAGATCTCCAACCTCACACAGGCAAGTGCTGTGCATTGGGTCACGAGGTGTGCCTTCCAAAGACATGCACAACAGCCCACCCCACCTCGCTCCTCCTCTCTCTTCTGCCCCACCACCATCACGGTTGTTTTCCCTTCAACCAAATCCCACTTCTAGTCACACCCCCTCGTTTCCCCCCAATTTCTCAAGAGCGATTCCTCTTGCAGGACCGAGTGGGTGCGTTTGCAGGCATGTCACCAGTGCAGCTGCTAGTGTTTATCCCCATCTACCAAACCCCTTTCTCTTCCCCATCCTCCTCCCGCCCCTCTCCTCTCTCCCGCAGTTCCTCCCCCAGGATCGGGTGTGTGCGTTCGCGGGCATGTCGCCCATACAGCTGCTGGAGGAGACGCAGAGGGCCGTGGGCGACCCACAGCTGTCCCAGCAGCACGCCTTCCTCAAAGACCAGCAGGACGCCCTCGCCACCCTGCACGCGGTATAATGGGCTGGGGTGGGGTGTCCTTTGTATGTTGCATGCATGTGGTGAGATGTGGGTGTGGGTTGTCCTGGGTCGACTCACAAGTCACCCCAACCTCTCCCAGCAGGACGCCCTCGCCACCCTGGGATCTCTTTTCCTTGTTGTTTTTACCAAGGAGGAAAGGAAGTACGCATTCCAAGTGCATGTATTGGACCTTTCAAAGAGCATATGAGGAGCCTACACAGGTGTTGTTCAACCCAAGTGCTGACACATGTTCACAAGGAGGCTTTTTACATACGCGGGTGTTTTTTTAACCTAACCCACTTTTGCCACGCCATGCCCCCATGCATGTCATGCCCCCATGCACGCCATGCCCCCATGCATGTCATGCCCCCATGCATGTCATGCCCCCATGCACGCCATGCCCCCATGCGTGTCATGCGCCCATGCACAGACGTTGGTGTCGCACGAGGAGCAGTTGGGCAAGCTGCAGGTGGCGAACGCGCAGGTGGAGGTGGATGTGGAGAAGGTGCAACGCAGGGAGGCCATTCTCAAGGAGGTGGCGCTGATGAAGAAGAAGGTGCCATGGCTCAAGTACGAGCGCATGCAGCGGCGCGTGAGGGAGATGGAGGGGGCGGTGGAGGCAAGGCACAGGGAGCGGGACGAGCTGCAGACACAAGTCATGGCCGCCAGGGACCCCCTCGTGTGAGTCATGGCCGCCAGGGACCCCCTCGTGTGAGTCATGGCCGCCAGGGACCCCCTCGTGTGAGTCATGGCCGCCAGGGACCCCCTCGTGTGAGTCATGGCCGCCAGGGACCCCCTCGTGTGAGTCATGGCCGCCAGGGACCCCCTCGTGTGAGTCATGGCCGCCAGGGACCCCCTCGTGTGAGTCATGGCCGCCAAGGACCCCCTCGTGTGAGTCATGGCCGCCAGGGACCCCCTCGTGTGAGTGCTGAGTGTTAGAGGATGTTATGTGATTACCAGTTACCAGTTAGTGGATTCAGGTTGCTGGTCTGACTTGTACCTTTCTCACTCCTCGCCACCACCTCTCCCGCATTTTCAACCCCTCTCCACCACTCTTCCCTCCTTCCCCCCCCCCCCCCAGAGCGTTGAAGGAGAGTCGGGCGGGGTTTGCATCACTGGTGGCGAAGATAGGACGTGAGAACGAGGCGAGGGAGAGGAAGCTGCGGGAACTTTCAGAGGAGAGCGACCAGCTGGTGAGTAGCAATGGGGGGGAGGAGTGAGCAGATGGTGAGGAGTAATGGGGGGGAGGAGTGAGCAGATGGTGAGGAGTAATGGGGGGGGTGGAGGAGTGGGCAGATGGTGAGGAGTAATGGGGGGGGGAAAGGAGTGGGCAGATGGTGAGGAGTAATGGGGGGGGGGAAAGGAATGGGCAGATGGTGAGGAGTAATGGGGGGGGGGGAAGGAGTGGGCAGATGGTGAGGAGTAATGGGGGGGGGGAAGGAGTGGGCAGATGGTGAGGAGTAATGGGGGGGGGGAAGGAGTGGGCAGATGGTGAGCAATGGCATGCTTAGCTTAGCCCGAATTCCTCCCAGCCTGACATCTTCGATTCGAGAGAGCTGCTTTTGAGAATTCTCTAAAGTGACTCCCACTTAGCTCAGGCCGACATCTTCCCAGCTTGACATCTTCGAGAGAGCTGCTCCTCACACACCCCCCTTACACCTGCTTGCCCTCCTCCCTGCCCCCACAGGTGCAGCACACACACGGTGGAGAGGGAGCGGGACGTGGTGGATGCGCGGAGGGAAAGAGTCTGATCTGAGATCAACGTGGTCTCTCCCCGAAAGGTCTTCTCACACCACACACTGTGCAATGTACGCCCCCCCTGCCTCCACAGGTGCAGCAAGCTGTGGAGAGGCAGCGCGACGTGTTGGAGGCGAAGAAGAAGGCGGAGAGTCGCGAGCAGCGGGTGGCCAAGGCACAGGCGGACCTGCAGCAGCTGGAGGCGCAGCTGGCCGCGCTGCCGGAAGTCAAACCGCCCAAGGCCGCTGTGGTGGGTGATGGGAGAAGGAAGGGGAGTGGGGGGCCATGGCCGCCCAAGAAAGCCGTTGCGGTTTAGTGCTGGAATGTCCAGGAGGTGTTTAGGTTTCGGCTCTGTTTCGGCGAGCGAATTTGCGCCGCGTCAAAATCAAAGTTGTCCCGCAAAAGCTTGTTTAAGGTCTGCTCGAAAAAAACAAAAAACAAAAAACAAAACAAAAACAAAAAACAAAAACAAAAGCAAAACAAAACAAAACAAAACAAAACAAAAACGCGAGTGTTCAGCAGCGTGTTAACACTGGGACTGGACGTTACCAAAGATGAGCGTATATGTCCACTTACGAAAATGGTATTCTGTAGTGGAACCAGGATTGAAGGTTGGAAGTTGAAGCTACAGTGCCATGTCCCATGGCAGGTGGATAAAAAGGTGACAGCATTCATTGCTTGCATGCATGTGTGCCTCTTTCTCCTCCGCATGCAGCCCTATTTCTCCCCCCCTTCCCCTCTCCCCCCTCCCCCCTCCCGCCACCCCCTTTCGTCCTTAAGCGTCTCACAACTCTCTCCCCGTCCCCCGGTTTGTTTCACCCCCTCCGTGCTGGCTGGGGGCAGGACCCTTTGGCGAAGCGAGGGAGGGAGCTGCGGATGCAGGCGGGGGAGAAGGAGCGCGAGGGGCGGCAGCTGGAGCAGCAGATGAGCGTTCTGAGGGAGCAGATGGGGCGCGTGGAGCGACGGTGAGATGGGTGTGAGGGAGAGAGAGCGAGAGGGGTGAGAGAGGGTGAGAAGGAAAGCGGCAGCTGGGTTGTGTCTTCTGAGGGGGACGAATAATGAAGAGGGCTTAAAGATCATCCTCAGTGAATCCTTGCTCTATCTCGGCTCCAACTTCCAAGCGAGCCATTTTGGATTCCATTTCGGTTGAGCTCCTCGCGCCGCGCATGCGAATGGAATAGTCTCTCATGAGGACAGTCTCCAGATAGTCGCAACGCAACTGTCCGAGGGGAATAGTCGCTCATGGTGGAATAGTCTCAAGATAGTCGCAACTGTCCGAGGGGAATCGAGCAGGTCTTGAGCAGGTGTCTCCCCCAAGACCCGAGGGGTTTCATTTCAACCACTTCCCCTCCCCCTGCGCTCCCCCACCCCTCACACACCCTTGCCTTCCCCCAACTTCAACTCCCACCCCTCCACCCTTTCTCCCTCCCGTCCCACACACACATCAGCATGCATGAGGTGGCCAACAGGCACACACATCAGCATGCATGAGGTGGCCAACAGGCACACACATCAGCATGCATGAGGTGCCCAACACGCACATAGAGCAGGTTTTGGGACGTCTCGAAACCCTTCCTCCCACTTCCCTCGGTTCCCTCCCACCCTTCCCTCCCCCTTCCCCCCCCACCACCCACCAGCATGCACGAGGTAGCCAGCAGTCACAACCGGCACATAGAGCGGGTTCTGAGACGTCTCATGCCCCCACCCCACCCCACAACCAACCACCCATCCACTCCCTCATCCCCTTCCACACATCAGCATTAACGAGGTGGCGAACAGTCGCAATCGGCGCATAGAGCGGGGTTTGACATGTCTCCTTCCCCCCCACACCACCACTCCCCCGCCCATCCACTCCCCCATCCCCTTCCGCACATCAGCATTAACGAGGTGGCGAACAGTCGCAACCGGCGCATAGAGCGGGCGGGCGACAGGGAGCTGAAGCAGGCGTGTGAGTGGCTCGACCACAACCGCGCTCAGTGCAAGGGCGCCGTCTACGGACCCATTCTTGCTGAGGTGCGACGCAGTTTTGAGAGGTGCGACGCAGTTTTGAGAGGTTCGGCGCAGTTTTGAAGGGTGGGATTCAGCTTCAGCTGAGACTTCTGAAAATCCAGTGCAAGGGCGCCGTATACGGACCCATTCTCGCCGAGGTGCGACCCAGCTTTGAAAGGTGCGATGCAGGCTTGAGAGGTGGGATCCAGTATTGGAAGGTGGTATTCAAGCTTCAGCTTTGAGACTTCTGGTGTGGGAATCCAGTGCAAGGGCGCTGTTACGGACCCATTCTCGCTGAGATGGGACGGGACCCTTGCAACATATGTTTGAATGAATAGAATCTGTAGAAACCCACTTGCGCTCTTGCTTTATTTTGAGACGCCGGAGAGCATGAGTATTTCTATCTTGTGTTGTGTGTGAAACGAGTGTGTAACAAACGCGCTCTTGCACTCCGTTTGGCCGCACCAGTTTCCGCTTAGAGATTGAGACGCGATGCAGGTTTCCCTTTGAGAATTCTCAAGCAGCAAGAGTGTTTCAGGGCAGTGAGGTGCGGTGCGTTGCTCCTCTGCTCCCTTATCCCCTCTGCCTCCCCCTTCCAACCTCCCGCACCCCCAGGTGAACGTTATCGACCCCGATGCGCATGCAGCCTGCCTAGAGCAGCACGTGCCGGTGTGGGTGTGGAAGGTGAGAGCAGCACGTGCCGGTGTGGGTGTGGAAGGTGAAAAGTTTCTGACTCTCGCACTCTCTTTGAACGCTGCTTGTGATAAGCCTGCTATTCAAGTGTTCAATTACGGGGTGGGTGTGGAAGGCAAGCAAGCAACATGTGGTATAATGTCTGTTGGTCAGAAGCACACTGTTTCTTTGCACCTCTCTCCTCTTTTTCGATTCTCATCTTCTCCTCTTCTTCTCTCCTCCTGTTAACCCTCTCCCCCGGGCAGGCCTTTGTGACAACAGCACAGGAGGTCCGAGACCTCCTGGTGCGCCACTTAACCGCTCCTGCTTCTCCTGCTCTCCAGATCTCCCCCTCTCCCGCTCTCCCATCTCTGCACGGCAGGCCTTTGTGACAACAGTACCGGAGGACCGGGATTTCCTGGTGCGCCACTTAAAGCCCCTCGGTTTGGCGGTGGTCAACGAGAGCAGTCGCCCTGAGGAGCTGGGTCCTCCTGCACATGCCATGGCGGTGGATGCGCATGTGAGTGATGCACATGCCATGGCCGTGGATGCGCATGTGAGTGATGCACATGCCATGGCCGTGGATGCGCATGTGAGTGATGCACATGCCATGGCCGTGGATGCGCATGTGAGTGATGCACATGCCATGGCCGTGGATGCGCATGTGAGTGATGCCCATGCCATGGCCGTGGATGCGCATGTGAGTGATGCCCATGCCATGGCCGTGGATGCACATGTGAGTGATGCCCATGCCATGGCCGTGGATGCACATGTGAGTGATGCACATGCCATGGCCGTGGATGCACATGTGAGTGATGCCCATGCCATGGCCGTGGATGCACATGTGAGTGATGCCCATGCCATGGCCGTGGATGCACATGTGAGTGATGCCCATGCCATGGCCGTGGATGCATGCACATGTGAGTGATGCACATGCCATGGCCGTGGATGCGCATGTGAGTGATGCACATGCCATGGCCGTGGATGCATGCACATGTGAGTGATGCACATGCCATGGCCGTGGATGCACATGTGAGTGATGCACATGCCATGGCCGTGGATGCACATGTGAGTGATGCACATGCCATGGCCGTGGATGCATGCACATGTGAGTGATGCACATGCCATGGCCGTGGATGCGCATGTGAGTGATGCACATGCCATGGCCGTGGATGCGCATGTGAGTGATGCACATGCCATGGCCGTGGATGCATGCACATGTGAGTGATGCACATGCCATGGCCGTGGATGCACATGTGAGTGATGCACATGCCATGGCCGTGGATGCACATGTGAGTGATGCACATGCCATGGCCGTGGATGCACATGTGAGTGATGCACATGCCATGGCCGTGGATGCACATGTGAGTGATGCACATGCCATGGCCGTGGATGCACATGTGAGTGATGCACATGCCATGGCCGTGGATGCATGCACATGTGAGTGCTGTGCTGTGAGAGGTGGGCATGCAGTTCTTCTGAAATGCTACCAGTTCTGTTGACCGTTCTGTGCAGTAGTCTCGTGTTGAGGCGCCTCAAAACTAGTCTTCTGGAATGTGACCGGTTCTAATGACTGTTCTGTGCAATAATCTTGCATTTTGTGACCTTTCTAGAGCCTTACTCCTCCATTCTCCCTCTGCCTCGAGTTTCTCGTAATCCCTTCGTCCCACTTCCCTCCATCCTACTTCCACCTGCTCCCTCCTTCCTCCCCCCTTCCCTTCCTCCTTTCTTCCTGACTCTTACTTCCTCCTACTCTTCCACTTCCACCCTCTCTTCCTCGGTTCCCTCTCTCTTTCTCTCCCCCTCACTGCTCCCACGTGCATTGCCCCCAACAGCTGCAGCGCCTAGGTGTCACGCACCGATTGGACGAGGTGTTCAACGCGGCCCCAGTGGTGCGCAGTGTGCTCAACCAGCAGTCGCAGCTCTTCCGCTCCGTGAGTGCTGCCTGCTCACATGCGTGTGTGTGAGTGCTGCCTGCTCACAGCATTTGTGTGAGTGCTGCCTGCTCACAGCATTTGTGTGAGTGCTGCCTGCTCACAGCATTTGTGTGAGTGCTGCCTGCTCACAGCATTTGTGTGAGTGCTGCCTGCTCACAGCATTTGTGTGAGTGCTGCCTGCTCACAGCATTTGTGTGAGTGCTGCCTGCTCACAGCATTTGTGTGAGTGCTGCCTGCTCACAGCATTTTTGTGAGTGCTGCCTGCTCACAGCATTTGTGTGAGTGTTGCCTGCTCACAGCATTTGTGTGAGTGCTGCCTGCTCACAGCATTTGTGTGAGTGCTGCCTGCTCACAGCATTTGTGTGAGTGCTGCCTGCTCACAGCATTTGTGTGAGTGCTGCCTGCTCACAGCATTTGTGTGAGTGCTGCCTGCTCACAGCATTTGTGTGAGTGCTGCCTGCTCACAGCATTTGTGTGAGTGCTGCCTGCTCACAGCATTTGTGTGAGTGCTGCCTGCTCACATGCGTGTGTGTGAGTGCTGCCTGCTCACAGCATTTGTGTGAGTGCTGCCTGCTCACAGCATTTGTGTGAGTGCTGCCTGCTCACAGCATTTGTGTGAGTGCTGCCTGCTCACAGCATTTGTGTGAGTGCTGCCTGCTCACAGCATTTGTGTGAGTGCTGCCTGCTCACAGCATTTGTGTGAGTGCTGCCTGCTCACAGCATTTGTGTGAGTGCTGCCTGCTCACAGCATTTGTGTGAGTGCTGCCTGCTCACAGCATTTGTGTGAGTGCTGCCTGCTCACAGCATTTGTGTGAGTGTTGCCTGCTCACAGCGTTTGTGTGAGTGCTGCCTGCTCACAGCATTTGTGTGAGTGCTGCCTGCTGACATGTGTGTGTGTGCGTGGGTGGGTGGGTGGGTGGATGGCTCTATGTGTGTGTGTGTGTGTGTGTGTGTGTGTGTGTGTGTGTGTGTGTGTGTGTGTGTGTGTGTGTGTGTCTGTGTGTGTGAGTGAGTGTGTGTGTGCATGCGTGTGTGTGTGTGTGTGTCTGAGTGTGTGTGCATGCGTGCGTGCGTGCATGCGTTTGTGCGTCCGTGTGCGTGTGAATGAGTGCGTGTGTGCATGGGAGGCCGATCAACATGTGGAGGCAATGCAGAGGCCGGGCGCGGAAAATCTGTGGATATCCGACAGCCGCTTAATCTAATTTCTCCCCATCACCCTCCCTCGTGTACTCTCGCTTCCCCTCCTCCCTCTCTTTCGTGTTCCATTCCACACCACACCACACCACACCACACCGCACCACCCCTTGCAGTTTGTTGGATCGCAGGAGGCCGATAGGAACGCGGAGGTGATACAGGAGCGGGGAGTGGAGGACCTGTGGACGCCAGAGAGCCACTACCGCTGGCTGCGCTCGCGCTACAACGGCTCCCTCTCCATCAATGCGCACGGCGTGCGCCCCTCCCGCTTCTTCTCCCAAGGTGCGCCCCTCCCGCTTCTTCTCCCAAGGTGCGCCCCTCCAAGTGGACTCACATGGATCTTTGAGGTGGCTCAACCCGAGGAGTACCTTTCGATACTGCACGTGGCCTCTGTATGTATGTGTCTCTGTTTGTGTGGGAGGGGGGGTGGTCTGTGGAGGGGGGGAGGGCGTGTGCGTGTGTGTGCGTGTATTTGCGCGGTTGTGTGCGCGCGCGCGTGTGTGTGTGTGTGTGTGCGCGTTTGTGTATTTGCGCGCGTGTGTATTTGCGCGCGTGTGTGTATTTGTGCTCGTGTGTGTATTTGCGCGCGTGTGTGTATTTGCGCGCGCGTGTGTATTTGCGCGCGTGTGTGTATCACGCACGAACACATTGTGAATCCCGTCTTTGTCAGTGTCACTGTGTGCATGTTGTGGGCGCCAGAGTCGGGGTTGCAGGAGGAGGAGCAGCTGCAGGCAGAGAGGGAGCGCATTGATGCGAGGGGCAGGGAGCTGCAGGAGAGGGCGAACGCCGTGCGGCGGGAGCAGCGAGCTCTTGAGGCCGAGGCCGCACAGTGCGAGAGACAGCGGGTGAGGTGGGGTGCTGTGGGGTGAGGTGAGGTGGGGTGCGGTGGGGTGAGGTGGGGGTGCGGAGGGGTGAGGTGGGATATGGTGGGTGTGGAAGAGCTGTGCGTGTGTGCATGTGTATGTTTGTGTCCAGAGTTAGAGAAGTTTGAGCGATGAAGAGAGGCATGTAGCAGCCAGTTGAAATTAATTTATGCGTTCTCTATAGTTTGTATGTCCATACCGTGTGTGTGCCACATGCCTGCATGCAGTGTGTCCCTGCCAATTAAATCACCTCGCACCGCACTGAACCCCACAGGATGAGATTGTGAACGAGTACCACGGGCAGAAGAAGCAGCGCACCGACCTGCAGGACCGCATTGGTGAGTCTCTCTCACCCTCTCTGATCATTATACTTTCTCACTCTCTTCTTCCTCCTCCTCCTCCTCCTCCTCCTCCTCCTCCTCCTCCTCCTCCTCCTCCTCCTCCTCCTCCTCCTCCTCCTCCTCCTCCTCCTTTCCTCTCCTCCTCCTCCTCTTCCTCCTGTGAGCATCACTGGGCCAAAGAGTGTGCATGCTCCGATCCCCGTTGTTCCAGCCATCTCTTGATGTGCCACCGCCTCTTGCCTTCTTTGCCCCCTCCTCCGACATCCTCCCTTTTCCCCAATGTCTGCACTCTCTTCTCCCCTGCAAGGCACTACAGTGCTGAAGCAGGAGCTGCTGGTATCGCTGGGGCGGAGGGGAGCGTTACCCCCATGTGTCCCCTCACCTCCCTCTCTACTCTCCTATCCTCCCCTCTCACTGCTGCAGTGCAGAAGCGTGATTTGGTGGCATCGGTAGGAAGGAGCGAGGTGTACACGCCATCTCCCTTACCCTCCACCTATTTTTTCATAACACTGCAGTGCAGAAGCGGAGGCTGGTGGAAGAATCGGGGCAGAGCGAGAATATGGAGGAGGTGGAGAGGAGGGCGCGGGCGGACATTGCTCTCAGCATGGAGCGGCAGCTGGGCAACGCCAAGAAGACACATGTGAGGGTTGCTTGCTACTTGCAGATGCTTTGTATTTTTACTCAACAGAAAGGTGGAGCGGAGGGCGAGGGCGGACATTGCTGTCAGCATGGAGAGGCAGCTGGGGAATGCCAAGAAGACGCATGTGAGTGCCTCCCATCCACTGCACGAGAGGGCGTTGTAGAGTGAATGGACAGAGGGTGGTGAGGGCGGACATTGCTGTCAGCATGGAGCGGCAGCTGGGGAATGCCAAGAAGACGCATGTGAGTGCCTCCCACCCACTGCACGAGAGGGCGTTGTAGAGTGAATGGACAGAGGGTGGTGAGGGCGGACATTGCTGTCAGCATGGAGCGGCAGCTGGGGAATGCCAAGAAGACGCATGTGAGTGCCTCCCATCCACTGCACGAGAGGGCGTTGTAGAGTGAATGGACAGAGGGTGGTGAGGGCGGACATTGCTGTCAGCATGGAGCGGCAGCTGGGGAATGCCAAGAAGACGCATGTGAGTGCCTCCCATCCACTGCACGAGAGGGCGTTGTAGAGTGAATGGACAGAGGGTGGTGAGGGCGGACATTGCTGTCAGCATGGAGCGGCAGCTGGGGAATGCCAAGAAGACGCATGTGAGTGCCTCCCACCCACTGCACGAGAGGGCGTTGTAGAGTGAATGGACAGAGGGTGGTGAGGGCGGACATTGCTGTCAGCATGGAGCGGCAGCTGGGGAATGCCAAGAAGACGCATGTGAGTGCCTCCCACCCACTGCACGAGAGGGCGTTGTAGAGTGAATGGACAGAGGGTGGTGAGGGCGGACATTGCTCTCAGCATGGAGAGGCAGCTGGGCAACGCCAAGAAGACGCATGTGAGTGCCAGGCTGGCACTGCCAGCCACCACTATACGGGCGATTTAGAGTGAGCGGGAGGGCAAGGGCGGGCGCTGCCCAGAGCATGGAGCGGCAGTTGGGAATTGCCAGGAAGACATATGTGGTGCCAAAGCACGCCCCCATGCAGACTGCTTCCTCCATTGCCTTCGCGTTTTCCCGTTCTTTTGCCCTCACTACCATGTTTAGAAAAAACAATTGCTTCAAGTGGTGCATCGGTGTTATGAAACGGTCTACAGAAACAACTGAGTCTGAGCCTCCAACCTGGAGCTTCTGTGTGCTTCAAATCCAAACCCTCCCCTGTTCGCCCTTTCCTCTAATCCTCCCTCCCTCACCCACCCCCCTTTCCCTGTGTGCACCTCCCCCAGAAGCACCTACTGAGCCTGTGGCAGGAGAAGCGGCGCCTCTCCTCCCTGCAACTTGCTGTGGACGAGCTCTCCTTCCTGGTAACTTCCCATGAGCTTGCCTTATGGCATGTGTAACATAGCATGCACACACCATGCTCATGTCATGTGCACCATGGTAGCGCCAGATGCCATAGCCATACGCCACATGCTACGTGCCATATAGCAATGCACCACTTGTCATATCCTCGCTTCATGTCATGCCTCCCCTCGACATCAGGTGCGCGAGCGAGAGGGCGAGTTCAAGGACCTGAACGAGCAGCTGCTGAAGCACCAAGGCCCCATGCACCCAACTAACACACAAATACAGCGTGCACCCAACATAGCCATGCATGCACCATGCCATCTCCCCCCCCCCAGGTGCGGGAGCGAGAGGGCGAGTTCAAGGACCTGGACGAGCAGCTGCTGAAGCTGCAGCAGGAGGTGATGCGCGGTGAGCAGGGGTGGGGGTTGTGGGGATGCGATGTGAGAACAGAGAAGGAAAACGAGGGGGGATATGAGGAGTGAGTTGGCGTGGTGTGGATGATGAGGCCGTGTGATGGGTGAGGCCATGTGATGGGTGAGGCCATGTGATGGGTGAGGCCATGTGATGGGTGAGGCCATGTGATGGGTGAGGCCATGTGATGGGTGACGCCATGTGATGGGTGAGGCCATGTGATGGGTGAGGCCATGTGATGGGTGAGGCCATGTGATGGGTGAGGCCATGTGATGGGTGAGGCCATGTGATGGGTGAGGCAGCAGCAACGCAGTTGGCACTTACGCACTCACCTTGCACACCCCCGTTCCTCTTCCTCCATTCCTCCCCTCCCTCTCCCCATCTCCATCCACTTACGGCCACCGGAGGATCTGGTGCAGGCAGCGAAGCAGGAGGATCTGGTGCAGGCAGCGAAGCAGGAGGGAGTTTGAAACCATTTTTGTGAGCGATTTTTTAGAAGTCCCCACGGTCCCACCCATCCCTCTCCCCATTCCTGCCCTTCCCCTACCCTCCCCCCCTTCTTCCCCCCACCGTCTGCCAGTGCAGAGGAGGACCGGCTGCAATTGTCGAAGCACCGTGGAACTCACCTTTCTCCCATCCCTCTCCCCAATTACTACGCTTCCACTTTCCTGCCCCCTCTTCCCTTCTTCTGCCCACAGAGGAATATCGGGTGCAGCAGCGGAGCAGGAGCACTGTTGTAACGCTCCTCATTTCTGCCCTTCCCCTGTTGCCCCCACCCACTGCGTCTCTGCACAGAGGAGGATCGGGTGGCGGCAGCGAAGCAGGAGGCAGCAGCAGCACTGGAGACAGCGAGAGGGGTGGTGGACCTGAGGAGAGATGAGGAGGCCAAGAGGCTCTTTGAAACGGTGAGGATGGGTGACAAGGTGTTGGTTGTAAGTGGTGATGTTGATATTGGAATGATTTTACTCCAAGTCACCTCTTTTCCGTTCACCCCCCCCATCCCCGTCAAAATGCTCGTTTGCCCCGTTGTTCTCCCCCACCCCCGCTCTCCCCAACTCTCTCTCCCCTCGAGAACCCAGCGTCTGGGCGCCGTGCTCTGTTTCAGTTCCCTCTCCGTACCTTTTGGTAGCGGTGCACATTGGGCCGACTTCTGACGCCCTCGGACCTGCCTGAATCTCTACGCCCGTTCCCTCAGCTGCCCGACTCACTGGAGGAGCTACAGGAGGAGGTGGAGGAGCGCGTATGGCAGGCACGTCTTGCCTCCTTGCGTTTCTGTTATGCGCGCTGTGTTGTGTTGTGGCGTTCCCGCAGCTTCCCGCCCGACTCATTGGAAGAGCTACAGGAGGAGGTGGAGGAGCGAATAGGGCAGGCAGGCTGTGGTCGCCCCTGCCTTACCTCTTTGCTTTTCGTGTGTGCTTCTGTGCCGCGTGCGGTGTTGTGTGGTGTTGTGTTGTGGCGTTCACTCAGCTGCCCGACTCGTTGGAGGAGCTACAGGAGGAGGTGGAGGAGCGCATAGGGCAGGCGAACCGCATCGTGTGCCCCAACCCGCACGTGCTGCAGCAGTTCCAAGAACGGCAGGAGCAGGTGAGTGAGAGGGAGGAAAAAGCTTGTGAGTAGGGAGGTGGGAGAGAGCGGGTGAATGGGAGATAGAGTAGGTGGGAGAGGCGCACACCTAAAGACACCTAAAGAGCAGGCGGGAGAACAGTTGAAAGAGGAGGTGAGATATACTGTGTGTTTTCCAGCAGTACCACCAGGAGCGACTGGGGCAGGTGAGAGAGGGGAGCATCTTCTTTCCAAGCTTGTTGCAATCGATGAAGCACATCCTGTTGGCGCAGCAGCTGTTTTTAGTCGGCTCTAAACTTCTTTCTAAGTTGCTGCATTCTTTGAAACACATCCTGTTGGGGCAGGCAGCACCTGCAAGGCTCTTGACTCACATCACACCTCCTGTCGCCACTTCTTGGCCTTGCCTCGCACCCACTTTCTCCCGAATTTTGGGACATCTCAAAAGTTGTCTTGCTCCCACTTCCTTCCGACCAAACCCCACGTACGCCTCCATCCAGACCTGCAGGGTGCGGCCAAGTTGATGAGTGAGACCCCACACATTGCATCCCTCATTGCCCCCATTTTCCCCGATTTACCGCTTTCATTTATCGCGTTCCCCGCTATCCCCCCTAACCCTCCCCTCGCTGCATGTGCTTCAATGCAGATCCGCAGCATGCAGGGCAAGGTGGAGAGTGAGCGGCAGCAGCTGGATGAGCTTAGGGCAGAGGTGGAGCGCGTGCAGGTGAGAATGGGTGGGGTGTGTGTGACTGTAATGTGTGTTGCTGTAATGCGTGTTACTGTAATTGGTGTTCAGGTGATCGTTATGGGGGTTGGGTCTGTGTGACTATAACGGGTGTTACTGCAGCAGCTGGAGGAGCTTTGGGAGGAAGTGGAGCAGGTGCAGGTGAGTGTAAGGGGATGGGGGCTAGATGCAATGGAGAGGGTTCAGGTCAGACATGGGGTGTTGGGACATGCGATTCGAAACATGCCATGGGCTCTGCCACGTGTCGCGGTCTCATTGGCTTGGACCGCGTGTCATCATCTCGTTCCATCTGCCATGTGCTTCCTTCTGTTGCTTCTGCCGCATGTCTCATCCCATCACCATATGCCACGTGTCACCATCTAATCACTACCTGCCACGTGGCACCATCTAATCATTATCTGCCACGTGGCACCATCTAATCCTTATCTGCCACGTGGCACCATCTAATCCTTATCTGCCACGTGGCACCATCCCATCCCAGGGTCTCTGGCTGCCTCGCCTCCGTTCGCTGATCATTCGCATCAACGAGGCCTTCTCCAGAAACTTCCAGGAAATGGCCGTTGCTGGGGAGGTGGCTCTAGGTGAGCGAGGGAAGAGCGGGTGTTGGGGGAGAGGGTGTTGGGGGGGGAAGCGAGCATGAGAACGTGTGAGTGGGAAGGGAAACAGCTTAATGGAGGCTGGTGCGGAGTGAGGGAGTGAACTGCGAGAAGGTGTGGTGGAGGAGGCAGTAATTCTGAGTCGATGGCATGGCATCAGATGGAGAAGTGCTTTTGATTCTACTCACAGGCAGTGGCGCTGGGCGTAGGTTTGAAAGGGGGAGTGAGGGAAGATGTCAGCTTTTCCCTTCTCATTCTCAATAAGCTACCATCCCAAAGAATCACTAACCTCAAGATTTCAAGAACCTTTCAGCTAACGAATGGCCATATGCGGTCTACCCTCACCCTCACCACCGCCCATCATTCAGCCAACAAATTGCGACGCACCTCCCCTTCTTGTCTCCCTTCAGATGAGAGGGGCGCTGACTTTCGTTCATACGGCATTCGGATCCGAGTCAAGTTCAGGTGATTCAGCTTTAGGTGGTGATTATGCTCCATTGGAGTTGCAAGAAATTTTCATCGCAGGTCCCTTGATTTCCCTAAGATTCCTACCAAGGCCAATTTCTCAGAAACTCTCGTCGACTTGTGCATTTTCCCATCCCACGCACTTGCCCCTATCAGTTGAGTTCCTTTCCCACACACATGCGTTTTCTTGTAAATGCCCACACCTCAGAATAACAGCCCTTGTGATCACACATTTCATCCAGTCCTAATCACAAGTCTCTGCACGTTGCCGCATATCTCTTCTCGTCGTCTACCGTCCTCCCCTTGGCCTCCTGCCCCTTTTTCTGCTCCTTAACCCCCTGCCTTGTGCTCTTTATGTGGTGATGAATGCATGCATCAGGGAGAGTGCAGAGCTGCAGGACCTGAGTGCGCACCACCAGTCCGGAGGGGTACGTTTCTTGCTTAAAGGGGTTCTTGCTGTGCTGTCCATCTGTAGCGTGCGTCGCCTGCTGGTGTTGCCTTAACTTTGCTCCTTGTGTTGCTGCTTGTATTACTTGCTTGCTTTCAACCCCCCTCTCCCTTCCCCTCGGTCCACCATTCTCCACCTGCTCTCCTTGCACTACCTAACGTGCACAATGCTCAATCCCCTCGGCACGGCATGAAATCACGCTCTGTATCTTCCACCCTCCCCATCCTGCAAACCTTGTTCCCTTCCCCCATGCCAGGAGCGCTCGGTCTCTCAACCATCCTGTACCTGGTGTCGCTGCAGGTCCTGACGCGCTGTCCGTTCCGAACCAGGACATGCAATCCCTCCCTTCCTTGTTTCCTCCCGTTTCCCATGTGCCCTCCCTTCCCTTCCCCCATGCCAGGAGCGCTCTGTGTCAACGATCCTGTACCTGGTGTCGCTGCAGGACTTAACGCGGTGTCCGTTCCGAGTGGTGGATGAGATCAACCAGGGCATGGACCCCACCAACGAGCGCAACATGTTCCAACAGCTCGTGCGCGCCGCCACCCACGACCACACCCCGCAGTGAGTGGGCACCCACGACCACACCCCGCAGTGAGTGGCCTTCATTATTCCATGGGGAGGGCGAGGACCCCACAGTGGGTTGGGACCAGCATAGGTTGTACATCGTAGCATACGCATACCTTGTGAGGCGTATCAAGCACAGGGGTAGCACAGGCCACGCCATGTGTGTCTGGCATGGCATCCTCAAGTCAAGTCAAGCCATGGACGGCCCCAATGAGCATCGCTGTTTGTGCCCGCGATAATCCTCTCTGTCACATGTGCACCTGTGCGTTCCCGTGTGCACCCCTCCTTCTCTCGTCCTCCCCATGCACCAACGTCCCCTCCTGCAGGTGTTTCCTGCTGACGCCAAAGCTCCTGCCAGACTTGGACTATGGCGAGTCGTGCACGGTGCACTGCGTGATGAATGGCGTGCATGCCGCTTCCCTCGCCTCCACTGCTGGTGAGTGCCGTGAGGACTGGTGGCCTGCTGACTTGAGCTGACTTTAAATTAATTGGTTTATGGCGACACGTGCACTGGGTCATCATGACTGGCGTGCATGTCACGCCCCTGCCAGCCATTGCTGGTGAGTGTGTGAGACCAGCTGTGACTTGAGTTGACCTGAGTTGTCTGGAGCCTTTTATTAGTTGACGTGAGCTGACTACCAATGAGTAGACTTGTGTTGACTTGATTTGACCTGAGGATTGCGCACAGCCTTATATATAGACCGATATGGGGGTGACATATTCCGTCTTGTACCTGTCTCTCTTGTCTGATTCGAATTCAGGATTCAAGGAGGGCCAAGCACTATGGGACTCGCTTCAACAAAGCGCTTCTACGTCTTAGGGCGTTTTCCTACCTACGGCCCCGTACTGGACCAGCCTCTCCTCAGACTTGTGCTGCATCGAGCTGAACCACGCTTGAGATTGCGTGCATCAAAATTGTACAACAGAGAATCGCAAGCGTATGTTAGCTGCGCAGCTGCTCTTTTGAAGAAATATATTCGAGCATGATGACCACAGAATGGGATGTTCGAGCATGATGACCACAAGCACAGAGACTGCCCATCAGTTTGCTGATTAATCCCCCCATCACTGACACCCAACCTATACCACACCCGTATGAACCACAAAACTCATCCCGGAAGTTTTGTATCACTCCAAAAAATCCTCAAGTGTTACGGTACAAGCACACGCACTGCCGCCCTCCCTATACCACATCCATATACATCTCAAACTCATCCTTGCAGGTCCCCACTGACTCGCATCAAGCAGCAACCTCATTGGGGGCGAGCTGAGCGCCTCCTGCAGCATTCACTCGGCGGACTTGGAGCAGAGGCTGGGGGGAGGGGGTTTGGGGGGTGGTGTTTAAGCGCCGAAGAAAAGAGGCGTCTCCACAAACTTGGGATAGGCATCGGGTTGAAAAGGAGGTTTGGAGGAAGGTGGGGGGAGCCAGCGGGGGAAAGGATGGTGTCAATTGAGAAAGTGCGGTGTTCCAGGAGTGGAGGGTAGAGTGCCAAGGGAAATGGCAGCCCCATTCGAATCACAGACGTTATTCGCATCATGGAGCCAAAAACGGAGGCGGTACGTTGTCACTCATGGTGGAGGGGCAGCAGTACTCGAGAAAAGCTTAAGCAAGTAAGAAAGAGAGTAAAAGAAGCCCTAGCTAAGAGAACTCTGATCACAAAAACTGTATTATAAGAAGAGTCACCAGCAGCATATGGCGAGACAGATTGGGGTTGGGGGAGGGGGGAGGGGGTTAAGAGGAGGCAGAGTAGAGCGACAGTGATAGTAGCAAAACGAAAACAGCTTGTGATGGGAAGGAACTGAGTAGTGAACACATGAATACACAGCAGACGTGAGTGAATCAATTGCAGGGAGGATGTGGGCAGGGAGAACTGGCATGGGCAGCTGGCATGGGGAACTGACATGGGGAGCTGGCATGGGGAACTGGCAAGGGGAACTGGCACGGGGAGCTGGCACGGGGAGCTGGCAGTGGGGAACTGGCAGTGGGGATTAGGCAAGGGAATCTAACAGGGGGGTTTGGCAGGGGGAACTGACAAAGCAGATTTGGAGGGGAAATTGAGAGGGAGAGGTGGTGGGGAAAACATGCAAGGGGGTACATGGGGAACTGGCAGGGGAACTTAGGCATGAAGGACTCAACTTAAGTGATCAGCACACTGTGCAACATCTGATCCACACACTCGTTACAACATGATGAGCATCCCAAGTTCCTGTCACAAGCTACAACGCTGAACGTCACTATTTGCACAGAAGTTCCATATCTATGACTAAGGGGGAGGAGGGAAGCATCATCTCTTCAAATTCCAAATCTATCACACGAACGCAAGTTCACAAGCTTCTGAACGAACTCCAGTATCATGACACACAAATAATGAACTCTCAGACTCGGCTAGCTAGCAGCCTTCAACCTGTTGGTCTCTTCCAGTCGAGCCCTGCGTTGCTGTCAGCCTCCATCCGAGCAAGAATCATGGCAATATCGCAATCATGAATCCCCCGCCACACAGCAACATCAGTGCCATCCAGCAGAGCGGTCTCAAGGGACACCCGAATCTCCATGGGGATCACGTCACACAGCCGCTTGTGCATCACCTTGGCATATGAGAACATGTTGATCTGCAGATCCCTCGCTGCCTGGTCCTCATTGCTGATCAGGTTAGCGAGTGAAGCAGTGCTGGAGGCGAAATCCTCAACAGAGGGTACAGGAGGGGAGCTTCCATTCGCAAGATCTGGCTGAGTCTTCTTGTAATTGGCGATCTGTGCTTGGATTTGTGAGACAGTATCCATGTAGCTGTGGTTAAGTGTGAAGACCAACTTCTTCTCGTTTCTTAACAAGAGCCGAACAAAGCGGTTTGCAGAATCCTTGACCTCCCTCAGAGCGTGTAGGCCTGAATGAAGCTGAGCGACGTCGTTCAGCCCGGGATGTATCCCGCTGACATGTGCCACCACAACTTGGTGCACAGCGGTTGCAAAGGCGAAACAGTCATTCACCAGCTAAAGGCACGGCGCTTCAATTCTCTCCACCACCTCCTGAACCAGCTTCCTCGCCACAGCCTGATCTAGCATGTTTGGAAGAGGAATTTCAGGCATCTCTGTCAACACCTTCTTACACCTTTCAGTGTAGTCTGCACCAAGGAAGTCCGGGAGAGCAGCCCGCATTTGAGCCTCGAATTTGTTGAACATTTCGCGAAGCCTAGCAGAGTAGAGCACCGTCTCGTTGCTTGGAGGGTGGCCTTGCTTCTCACTGGCGATGACATTCTTCCCGCCGATGACGCCACTCATTACATCACGCCTCTTCGCAACAAGTGCTTTCTGGATGGCCTTTCTCATCTGTGGGACCTTGTCGGCTACCCTCTTGGCTTGAATCTCCATCAAGTGTTTAGTCAGAGCCGGAACTCCGCGGGAGCTTAACCCAATCCGGCTCAATTCCGGATGGTTATCAAAGAAGGCGGCTTCTGCCTTCCTTGCATCCTCATAAGAAGCATCCGCGTCAGTCTTATTCCTGACACATACATAACCAAGCTTGATCCGCACGGAATTTCCTTGAATCTTCTCGTAGAGCCCGTCAGGCGCGCGGTCGACCTTGGTGACGACAGCGAGGGTGCGATCGCCGTCAGGATCCACCTCCTGCGACATGACGATAGACTCGCACGTGGAGAAATCCACCTCGGCTGCCAGGACATTGAGAATGATGCTCTCCTTCGGTGTGATGTAGTGCATAATCATCGCCTTGATTTGACCGTATATATCCTTTGGCTGATCTTCAACAGGCACGCGCGTGATTCCCGGGAGATTTATGAGTGTTAAGTCAGGCAAGCCGGGTCGCTGCACTTGCAGGGTGATGGGGGAATTTACGACGCCTTTCTGGTTCCCAGCTAAGGCCACCGTCGCCTCGGAAATTTCCTGCTCGATCATCCCCTTATCAGGTAAGACTTTAGACACCTTACCAGAAGAAAGGGTGTATTCGATTTTTATCAAATCCTGTCCGTTCGCGCATGACTGCAGCTGCAGAATCAACGGCACTTGAGCGACAGACTCCTTCCCTCGCGGCAGGCTGATTCCGGAGAGGCTCTCCAAGACGGAAGTCTTGCCGCTGGATTGATCACCGATCACGACGACCGTCGGGAGCTCGATCCCTTCTTCCTTCAAACCTAGAACCCGAATCGCACTAAGCATAAGATGGACATTCTCGTTAGAGGAGGACGCGAGAGATGAACCATGGCGAGGCGAGCAGGTTCGGTGAAACAGCGACCAGGGACTGGAGAGCGGAGCGCCATTCACAATGATAGTACCTCGGAGCTAGGCCTTCTTATTCGGCAGCAGGAGGGCCCAACCTACCAGCCAGGGACTGCTACTAGCCCACCCGTCACGTCATGTACTCGCAGCACTGCTCACGCCAGCATCATAAAGATGTAAAGCCCACGGGCTTCTCACAAAAGAGAGGCTGCCGCAACTATTCGCGGTGACGAATTCTTGAGGGTGGTGAAAAGAACTCCTAGCAACTGTCAGCAGTGTAGCCATTGTGGAATCTAACGTGCATAAACGAAACAAAACGCCGCGAAACATGGAGTACGTTGAATACCCGCAGCATTTGGTCCCGGGCGACCTGAAGCTGTACCCTCATATTATGTTGCACATGCCGTGGCGTTTCGCTTGCGAGCATCACTACCTTGGATCGTACGCGAAGAACTGGTGTCCAATTTTGGTGAAAAAATCCTCAAGGTTCGATACAATGTAACGCAACAATATTCCAACCTTCAGACAAGACAACTAAATTTGGAGACGAAAATAAAACATTCACTGCATTAGTTTTTCGCATGCACATTATTACATAATTTACATTGCTTTCTCCTCCGCCTAAGTCGCATGGAACCTCTGTGCTTCATTTTTTAAGCACTATAATTCTGGCCATCAACATCTCTATGTTCTTTTTTATTTCCTTGCCTTGTTCTGTCTAGGTGATTTATTTGATAAACTGATTGTCCCAGAAGTTATGCGCAGTTGCATCACACTGTAATGAAGATAGGTTCAATGAATTTCACAGGATGCATGTTCGCAGGATGCTCCTTAGGGCGGGTCCAGTGCGTCCATTTTCCGTACATTACGGTTCATCCAGTGCGGTAATCTGTAATGCGTCACGGTTCAAAACGGTGCAATTTTAAAACCGCTGTTCACCGCCTGATATCTTTTCAAACCACGACGAATGAACTGTATAGTACCTGTAAACGTATGCGCTGGACCCGCCCTTAGCTGTGACGGAGGCAAATGGTTGTGACAGAAATAAGACGGTAGCAATGAGACGGAAGCCATGGCTTTGACGCAAGCCAAACCGCACAGGACACAAAACGTTCAGCACGATTTAATGCCGGAAACAGGGCTGCAGAGGGTACACGTCTCGTTTTGCGCCGCAGGATTCTAATCTGCACGTCATTTTACACAATGGTTGCACTGTTAGTGCGTAGAGTGTCCCTCGACAATCGTAATGTCGTTATCACCACGAATAGTTGCGGGAGGTCCAAACTTGTGAGTAGATCCGTGAGTTTGAATGGTCCCGTGACCTTGCCTTCTTTGTGACGTTGGCTCCGCGTGAGTAGCGCTGCGAGCGCGCGACACGACACGGATTGGGGGCCCGTTTATGGGTATGACGGGCCATTTGCTGCCAATAAGAAGGGTTAGATCAAGGAAGTAACACTGCAAAGCATGCTACGCTCTCTCCTGTCCTACTTTCAAGGCTTCTGAGCCGAACCCTTCACTTCCTGCCATGGCTCCACTCATTTCCTCCTTCAACGAGAATGTCCGTCCGATGCTCGACGCGATCGACAAGTTGCGAGTCCTGGGTCTCAAGGAAGAAGGAATCGAGCTGCCAACGATCGTCGTCGTCGGCGATCAATCCAGCGGCAAGTCGTCTGTGCTGGAAAACCTGTCCGGGATCAACCTGCCGCGAGGCAAGGGGATCGTCACTCGCGTGCCGTTGATCCTGAGGCTCCAATCGTGCGTCAACGGTCAAAATGAGATTACGATCGAATACACCCCGGTTTCTGGTAAAGTGTCCAAAGTCCTACCTGGCGAAGCGATGATAGAGCAGGAGATTTCCGACGCGACGGTAGCTTTAGCTGGCAGCCGGAAAGGCGTCATGAATTGCCCGATCACCCTGGAAGTGCGGCGACCAGATTTGCCTGACCTAACCCTCGTCGATCTCCCCGGAATCACGCGCGTTCCTATCGAGGACCAACCGAAGGACATCTACAATCAGGTGAAGGCGATGATTATGCACTACATCACTCCAAAAGAGAGCGTGATTCTGAACGTGCTGGCAGCCGAGGTGGATTTCTCCACGTGCGAGTCCATCGTCATGTCGCAAGAGGTGGACCCTGACGGCGATCGCACCCTCGCTGTCGTCACCAAGGTCGACCGCGCTCCTGACGGCCTCTATGAGAAGATTCAAGGCAATTCCGTGCGGATCGGGCTTGGATATGTGTGTGTCAGGAACAAGACTGACGCGGACGCTACGCATGACGATGCAAGAAAAGCAGAAGCGGTTTTTTTCAATAACCATCCGGAATTGAGCCAGATTGAGTCCCACTCCCTTGGGATTCCCGCATTGGCTGAACGCCTGACGGAAATTCAGGCCAAGAGGGTGGCAGACAGCATCCCGAGAATCAGACAGGCCATTCAGAAAGCCCTTGCTGCAAAGGAATCTGAATTGCAGACGATTCCGCTTGCAGCCACATCGACTGCTGCAGCTCTGGGTGTAATTTCTTCAGCGATCCAGGAGCTACGTGACCTGATGAGCAGCGTTATCAGCGGGAGGTACGGGTCGTTTCAAGGCAACGCCGAAATGCACTACGCTGCTAGGTTGCACGAGAGGTTCAGCAAATTCGAGGCTGAAATGCGCGGTGCTCTCCCGAAATTCCTTGGCAAAGAATACTCTGAAAGGTGTAAAGAGGCATTGAAAGAGGTGGCGGGGATTTCACTCCCAAACATGCTGGATCAGGCTGTGGTGAGGCAGCTGGTTCAGGAGGTGGTGGATAGCATCGAAGGGCTGTGCTTGCTCCTTGTGAATGATTGCTTTGCGTATGCAACGGAGGTGCAGCAGGCTGTGGCGTCTCATGTCTGTGGGATATACCCTGGCTTGAACAACGTGGTTCACCTGCAAGGCCTCCATGCTCTGAGGGAGGCCAAGGAGTCTGCAAACCGTTTCGTTCAGGACACGCTGAAAAAGGAAAGGAAGGTGATTTTCACGCTCAACCACTACTACATGGATACGGTTTCCAAAATCCATGTGAAGATGGCCGATTTCAAAAAAGCAAATGCTCAAGGCCAAGCTTCCCTTTATCCCTCTGTTGAGGATTTCGCTTCCAGCCGTGCTTCACTCGGCAACCTGATCAGCAATGAAGACCAGGCAGCGAGGGACCTGCAGATCAACATGTTCTCGTATGCCAAGGTGATGCACAAGCGGATGTGTGACGCGATTCCCATGGAGATTCGCATGTGCCTTGAGACCGCCCTGCTGGATAGCACTGACGGCGCTGTGTGGCGGGAGATTCATGGAGGAGACATCTCCAAGATTGCGGCTCTCAAGGCAGTTGACCAGCAACGAAGGGCTCGGCTGGAAGAGAGCATAAAAAGGTTGAAGGCGTCTGAAGCCACACTGCTGGGCCTTGCGTTTGACCCTCCCAGGCTGCTGGCTTAGCATGCTTGAAAATGCAAAGCTGTAATTGATGCTGTTGACAAATCCTGAGTCCTGACTACCGCATGTTTCTGCTCGTAAACACGACCGTGGGATGGCTGGTTATAGCCTGTGGAACAAGTTGGCTAGCAAGTGGGGTGCAGGGATACTGTGCAAGGGGCTGCTGATGCATCTCATCCAGTCAATTGCTTTCATGCATCTCATTTTAATGCTCTGAACTTGAACTCCTGAGCCTGAACTCTCTTGAATCTCCAGCTTCTCCTAATCCTCTTCACCTTTCCTCTCTAACTGGTCTCAAATGGGCTAGTGGCAATGCTTGCTGCACTGCCATGGTGACTGACTGTGATTGTTGTGTGTGACCCATGGCGAACCATTGCGAGCAATTTTGATGTGAAATTCTTCCTTTGTCCAATGAACACCAAGTTGGGTAAACTCACCCCCTTTATTAGACGTTGCATTACAAAATTGCTGCAGGCTGAATACCTATCTGCTTTAAAGCTTGTGGGCGACAATGCAGCGGTGGCGAGGGCTGCTCTCCATCTGCTGCGGGTACTCAAAGCCTCTCTCTGCAATGGCATCCTCGATGGGGAACGTGCGATAGTCGTCCAGGTATGGCTCCGTTGCCTTGAACTGCATATGGGGCAAAGGTGGAGAGGGCGAGTTGGAGGAGGGGAGAGAACAGGACGGGTTGGAGGAGTGGAGAGAACGGGAGTGGTGAGAAGAAGAGTGGAGAGAAGAAGGGGAGTGGCGAGAAGAAGGGGAGTGGAGAGAAGAAGGGGAGTGAAGAGAAGAAGGGAAGCGGAGGGAAGGGAAGTGGAGAGAAGGGAAGTGGAGAGAAGGGTAGTGGAGGGAACGGGAGTGGAGAGTAGAAGAACAGGTAGATGGGCCTTAGGAGGAAGCACACAGCACATGGCACAAAATACACAGCACCACAGCGCACAGCACACAGCGCACAGCACCACAGCGCACAGCACACAGCGCACAGCACAGAGCACAGAGCACAGAGAGCATAGCACACAGCACACAGCACACGGCGCACAGTGCACAGCACACAGCACACCAGCACAGCCCACGCACCGCAGCGAAGGTGAAGGGGTTGTTGGAGATCCTCTGGAAGAAGGGCGAGCGAGGGTTCATCTCCATCACTGCAAACGCGCCCCCTGGCCTCAAGATGCGGTGCGCCTCCTCTATGATCTGCGCAGTGGTCATGGGGTGGTCATGGTGCAGTGGTGATGGGGTGGTCATGGTGCAGTGGGTTCAGGAAGAAGGATCTTGTGGTGCCTCAGGTCAACACCCTTGGCCTCGGACTTTGGGGTGCCTTCTTGATAATCTGAGTAGTGCACAAGGATAGTTGAGAAAACGCGGGTTCAGAAACAAGGAGTCCAACAACACCCGAAATCTCGACATCACCATCCACCGGCTCCCCTGTGTCAAGTCTCAATGACCTCAGTGGCAACCACACACTACCCACCTTGACTGTCCATGGAGCCACCCTGTAGCACACTCGTGTACGCTCCTAGGGGCTGAGCGATGGTGTTCAACAGACAGCCGCCAGACAGACGGATGGATTATACGTCCACGGCAGAGGATGGAAGGCAGCCCAGCCTCCTCTGCCACTCACAGCACAGCCATGCACACCCCCTCTTAAGACTCACACCTCTCACGCCTCTCCCTAACACATGCACACACACACGCCCTGACATTCGTGTTGGCTGATCTTGCCAGCTCGTGGCACATGAGGCATCTGGACACCAGGTTCACCCACCCAGCCTGCAGGCCCCTCTTCTGGTGCTGCTGGGGTGCCTTTTCCACACCTACGCGCACATGCCTGCCTCCCTCTCTCCAACCCGCACACGCATTGCTCGCTCCTCACCTTCTTGGTGGCTGACCGTGGCAGCTCGTGGCACACGAGGCAGATGGACACCAGGTCAGCAGGAAGCTGGGTGCTTTCACGGCGCGCGCACGCACGCACACACACACACACACACACACACACACACACACACACACACACACACACACACACACACACACACACACACACACACGTGCATCCCCCAATATCTCTAGCACTTGCACCCGCTGGGATCCTCACCTTCTTCGTTGCTGATCGTGGCAGCTCGTGGCACACGAGGCAGATGGACACCAGGTCCACGGATTCAGCAGGCAGCCCCGTGTCCTCTGCTGCTGCATGGATGAACGTGAATGGCAGCTCGCGCCCCTGCACGGTTGGGAGGGGTTGGGATGGGTGTGGGGAAGTGCATAGAGATTATGATGCCCAAAAAGTGAACGTAGCTGGCAGCTCATGGCAGACCCGTGTCCTCCGGGGCCGCATGGATGAACGTGAACGGCAGCTCGCGCCCCTGTTGGGTTGGGAAGGGTTGGGATGGGTGTGAGGGAGTACGTGGATGGCAGTTCGTGGCACCACAGAGCCGGCAGGCAGCCCCGTGTCCTCGGCAGCTGCATGGATGGACGTGAACGGCAGCTCGCGCCCCTGCCGGGTTGGAAATGGTTGGGATGGGTTTTGAGGAGTACGTTGAGCGATCATGGAGCATTAGAAAATGAGCTCGAATGGCAGCTCGCGCCCCTTGAGGGTGGGAAATGGTGCAATGGAGCACGTGAGCGATCATTCGTGGATTAGCACTTTGTGCCAGTGCACGGATCCAGGAGGACCAACGGGTGCCAGCTCAATGGGTTGAGTGATGTAGAGTGAGATATCAAAACGCTGCCTGCAGAGAGTCCGAGACGCCTGCTTGCTCTGTTTAGACATCTTAATACTCACCGCTTGTTTGCTCTTCTCCCGGACGTTGTAGTTGGACGCAGCAACGAAGTAGGGCGAGAGGTCCACTCCGATAAACTCCGCGTCAGGGAAGGTCTGCACGGGGTGAACCGAAGGACGGGGTATTCAGGCGAAATTAGAGAGAGAAGGGGCCCTTCAGTTGACGATGCGCAGGAGAGTCAAGTGTACAGCATCAGCAGCAGGAAAATGAGCGCCCACACCACCATCCCTGAATGCATGAAGGCAAAGCAGCAAGGGTCTCGGAAGGAATGCACAAGACGGGTGTTTGAAAAAAGCGCTACAGAAAGACGTTTCTTGGGTCCAGGCTTACCTCGGCGAGCGCGAAGGTGCTGAGGCCGGACGCGCAATGAGGCTGTTGGGCTGGAAGCAGGCTCACACGAGGCTTGCATGGAAACACGCGCACATGGAGGCATGCATGCTTACCTCGGCGAGCGCAAAGGTGCTGAGACCAGACGCGCACCCCAGGTCGACGATGCTCCTGGGCTGGATGCGCAGCTGCTCCACCAGCTTCGCGTGGTACCCCCTCCTCAGATTCGCATCGCCCTCGGGGTCTAGCGTCTTGCTCTATCGTGGAGCGAGGGGGGGTAATAGGGATGGAGGAGAGAAAACGGGGGAGGGGAGGAGGGAAGGGAGAAGTGGTGGAGAGAACGGGCGGGCGGGGGAAAGAATAGGGGAGAGATGAGAGAGGTGTATACGGGATGGGATCTCATAAGTTGACCAGCTTCATGTGGTGCGTGTGCTATGAGTAACCTCCAAAATCGATTGACCTCTCCTCCTTAGCTAGCGCTTCCTCTCCAAGATGCACTGGTCGGTTCGTTTCAGCGTGTTTGGAGGAGACAGAACTGGTTCTGGAGCCTCAGACCCTAGCATCGTGTTCCTTCACCGCAGCGGGTCGACAAGATAGGAAGATAGAAACGCACCTCGGGGTCGAAGACCGGGGCGTGCACAGCCTTCGCTGCGAGCTCCACCTCCAGAGCCGCGTCCAGCGAAAGGTTACCCTTTTCGTACGCGTGGAACGGTTTCGTGTAGTACTCCGGGTAGACGTACTCCCCGCTGCCGTCCCTGGGGACGCGGCTCGTTGCGCCGACTAATCGCAGCTCTTCGTCCCAATCGTGCCGCTTGAGCTCCGCGAGACGCGGCGCCCATGGGAAACCGATGGCATCGCCTCGTTTGACCATCATCTCGCGCGCCTTTCCCGCTGCAAACCTGAAAAAAGGCTGCGATGCCGATACAGCAACGGGATCGGAGGGGGGACAAGGAGTGAGTGAAGAAAACACTCAATCCGACCTTCGCAACATGTGTACATGAAGGTTTTCGATTGACTATTGTTGCTACATGCCCCCATCTTTGACAAGCTGGAGGTGTGATCTCAACCGGGATCACGTTGCAGTCGACTCGACTGCACCTGATATTCGAAAAGCGCATTCGCGGCGCCGGTCATGAAGTTCATTCAGGACGCCTTCGAGTTGTTTCTACTTCTACCGGAGTTCCTTTCTCGTTTTCGAGATCTACGAAACATGTCCAATCTACCTGGAAGCCGAAGAGCGCGTTGATGGCGCCGGACATGAGGTTCATTGTGGACGCGTCGCCTGTCGGCGTGTACTCGCCGGCAGACGCGGAGGCATCGGCCTTCTCGACTCCAGGCGAAGCCACCTTGCAGCGAACCACCGATCGTCTGGCATTTCCACCCACGCTCGCGTTGTTGACAGCCTGCATTCACCATGATGATACCGCCGTTAGGATGAAATGCGCGACCTTGGAAACAACCTTAGTAATTAATGCGTGGTACGAGAATGCTCAGGGTACGCGGCTGACACAGCGTCTGAAGTTGCGTCCTTCGAAACAGCCTGAGCAACGGAAGAGCACATGGCGTTAGAGCGTATATGCGGATGCCAACCTGCGGATTGCAGAGAGCCACGCCTCTGAATGCGACTTGGGAGCTAGCAGCTAGACACGCCATTGGGGACGACGTAATGCGTTAGGGTTCTGCGTGGCTAATGGAGCTGGGACAGGATGCCTGGATCACAGAACGTGGCGGCTCGGGAAGCAGATTCGATCGGAAATTTTATGCCCTGCGTGGCTACCGCCGAGCTGTAAGCAGTCTGACACTCGTTAGGGGGTGAACGGGAGATAGGGCTAGGATGAAAATAAGAAGATGCTTGCCGCTTTTTTATGCATATGTTGTCTTGTGTTGGCAATATGG